GGTCTTGTGATTCGTGACTCCGCCTCCCGTCGAATCGGGCAGAAGGAAGGAGCACTTCCCCGTTTCTTTATTCCTAGATGCAGCCTGTTCCCGGCAGCGCTCTATCTTGCGCCGGCTCTCCTCGCGCCGTTCCTCGCCGTTGTTCGCAACGGCCGCCTCTACTCGTTTCCCTTGTCTGCTCTCTCGTTCCGTTCGTTGTTTTTTCACTGATTGATCTCGTCTTTTTCCACTTTCCAGCGTCGAGTTACAAACATGACTTAAAGCATACAGTGAGGGACAAGAAAACTAGCGTGGAGGGACCGCGAGAGCCGATGTATCGGCATTTCTTATAGTCGGAATCCGTTGTCGAGAGAGCGGATAGACCGAAATGCACCATGGGTTTCGCTGCTTGTACATGGATGTCAAGCGATGCGAAATCTTCATCTTGCGCTGGAACGACACAGGCTCTCGCGACACTACTTCAGACGGTCGTCGCTCGCGCGAGGATACTCGATGATGTCAGCAGAAGTGCAAGATGCCGCAGGCGCAAGAACTCACGCCAGAATGTACGATAATTCAAACCTGCTAACGTAAACTCGGGTCTCGATCGGGAACACCGTCGCGATGCCGAGATTCGGGGCTGCTGCTAGCGGTAGTCCTGGGATAGCCAGGTGGACGAGTGTTTGGTCGACTCTTCGGGTGACCGTCCGTCACACTGCGTGGTTGGTATTCCATTTATATCTGCAGCGCTTCTGGCCTCATTGGTCCATTCATTCATTTGTATCGTGGTCATTATTATTAAAAGCACTCCTCGAAGGTTCTGCGCGGAGGCCATCTCGAAAGGATGATTCGGAAAGCTCACCGCTGTGGTTCCAAGATGGGAGATACTCATCAAGTCGATTACTCTCGCCGACAATCTTCTCTGGATTTTCTCTCACAAGGGATGAAGAAAAAATATCTACTCTGTCATCAGAGTTGCAGGATAAGGATCGCGAACAGGCGTCGACGGCATACTGATTGAGTGGGTGCGCTGAACAATTCATCGAAATCCGTGCCAGCTTGCTCATTCGTGAAGGAGGTGAACACAGCGGCGCGCAGACATATACGTGGATGAGCCTATGGATCCTCGATCACGACATCGGCGACCATCGAAACTGAATTCCGAAGGATCATTGGCCATCGGCAGTCGATCGTTCGATAAGGCGATGTCTCTGTGAGTCGGTTACAACGAATACAGGCGCGTACGACGTACTTTCTCCGACACATATCCGGACAGCAATTTAGAATTGGAGGAATCTAGAATGCCGACGACCCGATGTAGCGGAATCAGTGGCGGATACATTGGGAAGGGCGGCCCAGCGATCAAGCCCTACCGAGTGTTCCAACTGTCCATATTTGCCGTGTCGAAGCTGGACCCAGGCATCAATCCGCCCCACCCTCGACGCATTGAAGGCCGCTTTCGGAGAATTCCTGGATCCGCTCCAGAGCGGAGTCCGTCGGATTTCATTCCGGACCGACCGGAAAAGCCTCAACCCGGGTCCGGTATGACACAAGCCGCTCATTCATAACGACGACGACAGCTCAAAACTCACAGCTTTTGGGGGAACATTACGAGGGTGCCCGAACGTGAACGCCCCGGGCATGCTTTCCATGGCGAGTAATGGGTTACATTGATCCCGCTTCTCTAGTTCTCCGGGACCATGAATTCAGTTGGGAGATTCCTTCGAGGAGAAAATCCGCGAGCGGGAAATCGATCGAGATTCGTCCTGAGCCGTGTCGAGGAGCTTCGCTACTTTCATGCGATTGGTACAAATCTTATGAGAATCAGAGATTCCGAACTCAGGTTTTCCGATTCGTCCGAAGGGAACGGCTCGTCAGCACACGTCTTGACACACCTGTGATGATCTTTCCTTCAATAATGGGGACGCGGTCGCCGAAGAACAGGCACTCCGCTCTGATGAGTTGCGCCCAACTGGCGAGATCTATTCAGATGCCACGAACTCGATTCGCTCTTTCTGATTCCTGACGGTAGATCTTGGACTACATCAGCGCTCAATAGCGCCGTCGCATCGTCGAGTCATTCTTGCGGCCATAGCTGAACTATTCGCAAGGATGGGCAGCATCCGCTGAGGAAAATCCTCTCCCACGAATTCTATCAGAGGACCAGAGACCTACGAGCATCTCATCAATTACGCCGTCCTTGACCGCTTCGGACGTCGTCTCGTGGATTAGGATATACGACATCGCATTCGGAATCGTCCGCATGGACGAGTGCATATTCTTATTGCTGTTAATTTGTGCCATCAGCTCGGGACAAATTCCGGGACTCCGATAGGGTGCTAACGAAACGGCTCCGGATTCACGCTGCGGCGTGAATCCCCTCCCCTATCTCCCTGTCGGGGTGGCTTGCACACGCTCGCATGGTAATGAATTGATTTAAGTTCGTTTTCCGAAACAGCGCCTCTCGGGAACACACATACATACATTGCTCGAGAAAGAACAGACAGACTCGGGTTTGTCTGCGAGAGGGCGCGCGCGCGCTCTCACAGCCAATATCCAGAAGCAACTGACCGAAAAATTAGAACCCGGAGCGCGCCACAACATTTGTCGATTTCGATTTGGCTCGTTTTTCTCGTTGTCTCCAAATTCCTCCTCGTTCTATCTGCCGAACAGCACGTTTCGTTCTCCAACACCCTCCGACGGGTACAGCATAGATTCGCCCGTTCATTGGAGCTTGTCGCATAGTCCTCATCGTGTAGGCGATTTCGCCGACTTCGAAAAGCCTCGTTGAGGTAGATGCGGGGAGTGCTCGAAGTGAGGGGGATGAGCATCTCAATTATGGCTTTCACCATGGCCACGTCCACTCGCTCGATTGTCGTCCCTTGAGTTACTCGCTTAGTTGGCTCTTAGCTCAGCTCCGACCGGGCTGTATTCGTCTTAATGAAGCGAACACGTTACGCATATCAAGAACAGCTTGTTGTCCTAGCTTTGTTTCGTCGACTCTAATTGTTTCCTTTCGCCTATGTTCGACAGTGTTTAGCTGCGAGAATTACCGCCCAGAAGATCATTTATTCCAGAGGGAGCTTCTCGGGTCCCAGCTCCGTGAGGAGCCTCCGTATCGGAACTCTCACCATATTCGTGCGCGATAAGTAGCTCGCCTCGGTTCCACTACTCCTGGGACAACCTATATCCTCCGGGAGGTATCGGCGATGTGTGTTCTACCGTCGAACCCCGAAATTGATTGGTGTTTGCAGTTGAACACGGGAGTACGAAACGAAGTCGTTTCGACGCCCGTGCCCCGTTTGAAGTTTGGAAGAGAGCGAGAGTTGAGCTGTGCACAGCGGCTCGAATTTAATGGACGGCACCGCCGTCGGATCGGAAGATTCTCCGTCCGAGACGGAACTTGGTAAGACAGATGGGTACACGGAGGGACCGGATGGGGGCGGGGAGGCGATCGCTCCGGAATCGAAAGCTGTACACCACGACGTTTCCAATTGAAAAACTTCACTCTGCACGAAAGACTAACTCTGAGTTCCCTCTCTCTCGGTACCCGAGGATCGTGGGCTCCTCCGCTAAGCTGATACCGAAGAGTTATACCCTCAGGTCCTGACGGATGACAGATGCCCCGGATGCCTGACGGCGTTTCCCACAGGTAAGGAGCTAAGGGGGACATAAGGTCGCAGATAGTTCCCTCTCATTAGACTATTATTCGCGCATGTCCGCAAATTCCTTTGATTCTTCCTTGTCGGGCTCGTCTTGCTTACGCTGCGTGCTCGGGATCCAAACGCAAACGTATAATATCTTTGCCCCTCAGCAGGGGAGATCAGCTCACCATAAGATTAGCACATATTTTCAAGGATCCTTACGAATCTGGTCGCCGTAACGGACCTCGAAGTCGAAGAAATTATTGCTGGGGCTTGAGTGAGAGGACTCGGAGTCCTCCTGAATCCTACATCAGTCTTCCCGGTTAATCATGATCGGCTTCGAGGAAATTCTCGGCCAAGTGAATCATGAGATGGCAGTACACCGAGAGAGAGCCCCGCGCCCCCTTTTAGAGCCTCTCGTGCGCTGAACTTCCCTTCACTAGTACATCCCCCCGCACGAAGCACAGGTGGCGCCATCTATGTTGTACTCCGTGATACCTTATCCTGGTGAGCCAAGATAGACATGACGCTTGCATCCCACTCGATTGTATCGGACGGTAGGCATCGTTCCTCGAGTACGGCAATCCTGAAGATATGCTCGGTCCTCCCCATGAGGGCGATTGGAACGAAAGTCGCGTCCGATCCTGAGTGACAGAGCAGAATCAGGAATGCACATCTACAGGGGTCTCTAGATTCGCTCAATTTTCCCCACGGTAGATCAAGCGCTCGACCTTCGGTACCTTGTCAAGGAACATCGATTACGCTGACGGGATGTACCGCAGTGAAGGGTCGTTGCGGACCCCTGACCTGCCGATTGTCCGAGTCGGACCCATACCCTTGTAGAGCAGGCAAACAATTGAATTTGTGACTGAATCGAACGATGTCCATGAGGCATTCGAGTCTTTGTCTGGCTATCTTCTGGAATTGAGGCAGACGTCATCCTAGCGCGGATTGACAGAATATTTCATGAACATCTTTCTCATAGATCCTTGAAGGAAGAGCATTAGGCCTTAAGCACTGGGTTTTCCGATCATCAATATGTGCGGTCATGAGGGGCGATATCAAGCCTAGAGAGATCGAGAGCTCGAGACAGCGTAAGTTAGCGGCTACGGGCTCGAGCTTCTGAGACAACGGCTCATCCCTCTATACTGGCGAGCCCTCCGAGGGGAGGCTGATCGCTCATCTTACAGTCACTTCGAAGCGTGCTCCCCGTCCACGGTTCTCAGCATCGAGAGTAAATGGCATCTATATATCTCCCTGGAGCAGGGATCAAGCTCGGGCTCGACGTCTCCGGTATTTGACGGCATGGCGCGTCGCCGCAAGTCGGCCACGTTCGGCTGACAGAGAGCATCGAGGCTGGCGAGAGAAGGAATCCTCTCAATTTTTGAATATTTATTCGTTTACTTTCCATGCCTCCTTCTTACAGTTCTTGCTCATCCTTATAACTTACACACATTGATTTCAAACAATGTTTCGTGACCTACATCGTCTCTTGCTCATTCATTAGATATCAATCAATCAATTTAATAATCGACCTTCCTCTCTTTGTTCGGCCCGGCCATCCGCAGTTGTTTATTCTTTCTAATGATATTGAATGATGTCCGCTCCTCCCTATCCGGATGAATCGCCCATGAGTGTCTCTTCTTGTCATCCGTTTCATAACTTCTTTGTCCTTATTTACTTTTCAGTTCCTTCTAATCGACAACACCTGCGAAAATCCAGAAACTCGGCGGAACTCGAAGCTGAATTTCTCTCCGTCGTCCCCTACATACGAGCTTCCTTCCGTACATCAAACGGGTCGCCAGAGACTATGGAGTGCAAATGATTCCATTTATCTACCGATATCCCGTTGAAGGAAGCCGGTTGAACGTGGATCGACAGGGGCTTGGTACATCAAATCGGAGCCGATGCCAGTTGAGCTTATCGATTTAGAACCACATGTTCAGCTCTTTCTCTTCAGTATTCATCTTTCGTGTATGTCACTCTTTTCTTCGCTGTGCGGCCGCTTAAATTGTGCATTGGGCCTTCGGCACTTCCCCGCATGACTCGGGACATCTCGCCCCAAGAGTTTCATCCCCAGAATTCGCTCCTATTTTGTCCTAAGGATTTCTATTCGGAGAAGCTAATCGTTCCCGTCCCACAACTAATTTGGTTCCTCGAGAGAAAAAATTTATGCTCACAGACGACTTCGGGCTTGCTCGCTTTTTCTTCGACAAATTGCGGAACATATAGGCCACCAGACATCCATGGATTCGGAGCGTACTCTCCCTTCGCCTGCTTCGTCTTTATCACTGTCGTTTTCATGGTGGATTCGCTGCGGAGCCGCCTATCAGAAATCAAACGCCAATAAAAGTTCCGGCGCGGATTCTCAATTCCGTAGGTCGCGCCCGTTCGGGGGAGGTCTGCTAAATGAAGGTTCGAAGCTGACTGAGGAAGTTGGGGAAGGGTTATTGTAAGCATTCGTGTTCCTTTCTTCTTAAGCGATACGCAAGGGAGGAGAATTCCATGACGGACGAGCAGATTAGCTCATTCAAGAACGACAATGAAATTGACTACGCCGCAGCTCTGTAGAATCAATAGACGACAATGTTAATGAATTTCAATAACAATACAAATATATCAATCCCTCTTCTTCATCAATATGGTCATCTCCGTCAACGTTGTGTTGATCATCTCAGTCTTCTTCGTGGTCAGCAGGATTGACGGTACTATCAGTAAATCATCATCATCATCATCATGAATATCTGCGTCGTCGGTCGCGCCAACCAACACCGCTCCTCTGAACCGCCCGTTCTTCTCACCTGGATCCATTCTCCGCCTGCCGACTACGAGCCATCTCTCGAGCCATCCATTCATTCTATGTTCCATCCATCGATCACTCACGCCTTTTTCAAAGACTTCTGGTATATTCGATCCTGGCTCTATAGTCAATTAGATTTGTACTGATCTCCACCGAAGAGCTCCTCCATCGAAATGCAAGGGGCGAGGCTCAATTGTATACCATCCTTATAATCTTCATCATTAAGCAGAATCAGTGACGACAGGAGGTTAATGACGTTGTTCATGTCAGGGGATGAATTTTCACTACAACAAGGAGCAGAAGCAAGATGAGGAGAAGTTTGAGGTGAGTGACTTCCAGGGAGTGCTACCATACAGCCACGGTTGATGATTTCGCGACCGCTTGCGGACGAGCAGCAGAACGAGCAGTCGCTCTCAGCAGTGGTTTTACAACGGTCGATTGATTCCCTCCTCTGTCAGTCATTCAGAGTAAAACGCATTTTCTTTTCTTGGTGGTCTCTGGAGGTTCGAGGGCCGCCATGATGGCTTCATCGAAGACGTTCTTCAACCCTTTCTGTAAAATTTCGAAAAGTCTCGTTTTGGATTCCGTGTTCCAGGCAATCTAGAATCATGCGGGTTAGAGCCTATGGATATTCAAGGCGAACCTGAGTCAAAGCTGAGCACTCGACGTATTTGACGGCGCGTAGATCCCTGGCCAGCCTCTCGCCTTGTTCGTTGGAGATCGGCTTCTGCTTGTTTTTGGCCAATTTATCCAAAGTATTTTGGTCGTCCCGTAAATCGATTTGAGTCCCGACCTACGAGTTATGAATAGAGGTTTAGCAAATCTCGATGGGAATAATGAGGGTGGAAGACCTAGAATTTCATCGGAACTCCCAGCTTATCGGCGGTTCAGGGATGACGCAGTTCCTCGGGAAGCTCCGAGGAACACAGACAGCTATACTCACCAGAAGAAACGGCGTCTTGGCGCAATGATGGGTGATTTCGGGAACCCATTTCTCGCGGACGTTCTCATATGAACTCGGGCTCACAACGGAGAAGCAAACAAGAAAAACGTCAGTTTGGGGATACGACAAGGGTCGTAGTCTATCGTAATCTTCCTGCCCTGTAATGGAAAATAAACATGAAAAAGCGACCGGATCGATGATCTCTAAAGGACCCGTTTTCAAACAGACTCGGTCGAGGATGGGATAGGTTTTCGATTTTGTAGCATTAGCTCCCCACAGCAATACCCACGAGAACTCACCTGCTGTATCGAACAAGCCTAACGTATACGGCTCTCCGCTGATCATAACGGTGACAGCGTAATTGTCGAATACGGTCGGAACGTATTCGGACGGGAATTTGTTCGTCGTGTACGATATGAGAAGGCATGTCTTTCCTACAGCGCCGTCCCCGACGACCACACATTTGATAGTCTGCATTGCGGTATAAGCGTGGGGTCGACCTGCTTCTCGGGACGAGGTTCAGCTCAGAGGCAGAAACCCTACTTTTGACTTCGTCGTTTCTTCTTTTTTTACTTTGAAAGAAATGTGCCAATGCGCTTTGCTGCTCCCTCCTGTATTCTTCCCTCGATTCGTACTAATCAAGAGATTACACGTAGTCTACGTTCCGTTTCGGAGTCCGAGTCGATGATACCTGGTCCGATCCGGTCCAACGAGCACCCTGGAACGAGATGTGATTTTCATTAGAGAGTGCCATTCATCATACTGGAAAAGTCTTCCCGGCTACATCACCGCTCGGTATAAATGAACAACGATCCCTTATACGGTATGAATCTCGCACCGGTGAGCTTGCTGAAAAAAAGTCTCGCCACACCGGTCTTTCAGCGCGTAGTAGGGATACTTCTTCGGAAGGTCGCCCCGGGACGAATGACGAGACCCTTGTGCATAAGGAATGGGGATCGACACAGATGATTGAGTCTCAGATCCAGCCGAAGAATACCGCACTCAAGGATCGATTGAGTGGACTACGCTAAAGGAAACTCCCGTCAGGACTTCCCTGATGGACATACATATTCTCCGAAAGCGGAGATTCTGAGTATTCCTAACCGCACGGAGGCCACCAAGCTTGGTCGAAGATCCGACGCACCAGCAAGCGGATGGAGCGCGGAGGGTCCGTTAACATGTGACCTTTTCCCAAATCAATCAGCTCCATTTGAGCCCTCATCCTATCGTCTCAGCACAGCTTCTCGCGCCTTCAGAGAGTAGCATCATCATGATCATGGCGATCGGCACTTCGCCCAAGTTTCGAGCGCTGTCTGACACCAATCATTCAGCTCGCAAATTGCGAGCATCTGCTGGAAAGCAGCGTGTCCGAGATCGGAAATTATCGGCGACATCCCTCGTTTATCCGCACGCTCGGAACCCCGCTCCCTTTCCTCGAGAAATCCAGCCGAAAGGACCGCCGCCGGCGTTTCTCGAAGGCCCGTCCGAGGATATTGGGGAACTGATTCGAGAAGTGCAGCCTGATCACAACGCTTTAGACGGGGCCTCCCGAAAAACAATATCAGAGCGGAATTTCTCCCCTTGAGCCGCAGTCCGGCGATTGCGATTCACTCACGAAAGTCGAATTCGGAATCGGCGACGCCTTGAATTTCCGCTTCGATTCAGAAACATCTGAATTTTCATTCTCCTCCGACTCGAAACTGGGTTGACGGGAGGCTTGGTCGGAGCATCGTTCCCGTGCTCCGTCTTTCTCTCAACCGGCAGCGCTCTCTTTCTCAGCGACCTAATCATGTGACAGACAGTATACATTGCTGACGCTCACGTCACCGCCGTCAATGATGACGACGATACCAGCGTCAGGAACGGGGAGAAGTACAGATACGGAAGGACCTGCTGCCTATCCGTTGTCAGCCCCGCTCGGCAGAATCACGGATTCGGGAGCTGAATCATGAGTTCCCCGAGGGGCCAGAATCGGAGATCAAAACTTGTCTGATCGAGAACCACGGTGGAAACGCTTCCCTTTGCAAACTTCCTCACGGTGGTTTCGACTTTTCCTCCTCGATGATCTGGAGGAATTTGACAGAAGCCCCCGGTCATGGCCGTCGCCTGGTCAATCGTCACCATTATTAGCGAGATGGCGATTGTTTCCGCCAAAAAGTCCTCCTGGTCGGCTGACAGATTCATGTCTCCAGGCCCTCCGTCTGCATCATCTCTGTCGACTCGTTGTTGATGTTATGGGTGGCAGCAGCATAAGCGGCACAAGCAGCGGAATTGAGGTTGCCGTTTTGTTGGAACTACGCCTTCGAGGGCGCGAACAGGAAGAGGAAAATGATCGCAGTGTTCGGAGTTAGCGAACAAATGAAATCCCTATGCTGTCATCGGAGAACCCGCGCTCTCACGAACCGCAAGCAGGGTTGGCGTGACACTCAGATGCAAGAGGGAGGACCCATGACCGAGACGCTGGCTCTCGAGCAACGTCGATGCTCCGAGTTGATGCCCTCGATCGTTTTGAGGAATAGCCAGACGTCACTCGGTTCGTCAACCGTCGGAAAGTCATCCAGCCGATGGATGGTAGTATCGATCGTGCGACAGAGCGGACGCTTAGCTGGCCAGCTAAGCGTCTATCCACGTACGGCTGAATGACTATTTTGCGGCAGCAATCGTCATCCGTGAATCATCGTTTCCCCAGCTCCACTTTCGCGTTCAATTGCTCCCTCGCGGTGTTTCTCCATTCGTGACTCGATTCCTTCGAGAGCTGATTGTTGTCAAAGCCGAAGCCACCACCATCCTCTGCTCGATTCGGTCGTATAAGACTCATAACTCCCGAGCAGGCACCTCCCCGTGGTCGATCATTTGAGTGAAGTCTTCGATGAGATTCGCACCTGAGAGCTGACATGCGAATCGGGCACTTCCGCATGACACGAGCTATCCAAGTTTCGAGAGATAGCCCTAGTGATCAGAAGCGTTACGATATCACTGATGACCGACCTAGCAAACATCGGATAAACAAACGATCGAAGGACTGACGGACTGACGCTCACGTCAATGTCTTTCGCTACGATCTTTTTCGCTTGGCAGTCCAGACTCCAGACATCAAGTCGAACACGCTGTTTCGTCCGGCATGTTGTGTCATGGGAGAGCAACGTGAGATGCCGCCCACCTCCCTTATGGGGATCTCAGAAGTTAGCCACTCGTCGCGTTGGGGAAACTTCTTCTGCATTTACAGTCTGTCATCGAGACCCGCTTCGACCGACCGAGCGACTGATCGAGCAAGCGGCCGGCCTACTGGCTGACTGTGCGGTCGATGGTCGGCCGAATGGCTGGCAGGCCGGTCGGGAGACCGACCGCCTGGTTGCCACCCTCCACCAGGCGGCACGGCACATCTCTGTTGCCAACTCAGCACTTGAAATTCTCTTAATGTCCGTCTTTAAGGTCCTCACGCACATCGATACTGACCCCCATTCCTTGCATGTCAGGTCGGTGGAACAATCACTTAGACATTCAGCGCTACTAGGCCTAATCGTCGGAGAAAATTGAAACGCTCGGCTTGAGATGCTCGGCCGCTGACACCGGCGATGATGCTTCTTGTCCGTTTCGTCCTAAACAACCTAACTCACCTCAATGGCAGCTCGCAGCTCGGAGACCCCCGACGAGAAAAAATCCGAGCACAATCACACCCTTAGCAAACGAACGTCCGCAGACAACGCCGCACTCAACAACTATCTACCATTGACTCAATAGACCGACTAGTCCCAATAGAGCCGCAGCAGCAGGGCGTATCAAAACCAGCAGCGGCAGCAGCAGCAGCCACCACTGACGACGACACGACGGAGTCGCGGCGGCGGCTAAACAACAGTAGGATCATTGGTGCAGGCTAGCAGACGAACTCCAGAGGAGAATGGATTAAGCCGCCGCTTTGGCTTTTGGTAGAGGCGCGAAAGTTCCAATGCCGACGGCACCGAATGAGCCTCGGCGAGGCATTCGGGACCGGTACGACGCTCCCAGGAGGCCTTTGCAGTCGATTATGAGCATCAAGCAGGATACCAATCGTCTGTTTCCTTCAATCTTGGAGAGAATCCCTTGTCGTGGTCGGAAGGATCTCACGCATTGTCGGTCCTCCTCATCTTCCGGGGAATATCCCTTAGCTTAAACGAATCTTCCTGACAGTTTCCCGGAGCTTGAGGTTTTCTACAATCGATCTGAATTTCGAGGTCTCAGCCACACCGCCATCACTACGGGGGAACGCTCGCGATCGAGGGGAATCATGGGCGTCGACAGGAGACTGAACATTCCCGAGCGGTGGCTGAGGTTCTAACTCTCGAGTAGGGATTAGAGATCCGCGGATTTCCTAGGCCTCTCGCGATCTCGCAGAAAGTGAGGCATCGTACCATGCCTTCGAGAAGGCTCGCGCATGAGAATCGTAAAAACTCCCGGCCCTTCTCGATCTTATCGGTATGTGTTGCTAGCATGAGGATTCCCCGAGGATCTGACTTGGGTGATGCTATAGTTGTATCTTGGATTTAAGATCGGGTGGTTTGACAGACGACTACGCAGTCGTTCTCCTGACCGAACTCGAATTGCTTGTTGCATCAGAACGTTGCTTGTAGGAAACAGACCCAATGCGAAGACGCTGAAACTCTATGTGTGTTCGATGGGTGCTCGCTCCCTTCCTGAGCATATCCGGCTCTGACCGCGATCAAGAATGACCCAGAATTCCATGATTCTAACAATTGTATCCCTTTTGCTCCTCGAAGTTCGACTCAACTCGCAGATGCTTCAACTCGGGAGACATTGACGTAAGCATCCGAAATCCAGCTCCTAGCCCCGAGTTACACTAAATTCGATCCGCCTTTCAAGCCCCGTTGCATGCCCCAAGCTCCGGACGGATTTGATTTCATTAGCGGCGTGCAAGAAAATGCTCGTACGCCGATCGAAATCTCATCCCTGTCGAGTGTCATACTTCGCTCTCGCAGGCACGCTGAGCCAACGTCGACTTCGAATAAAATACGAGGAAGTGGCAGTTCCACGACGGGAAACGATGATGACAATCCCGCTCTCTGTTCCGGAAATTCACGTTTTCTCCGGTCTCGTCGCTCTCTATCGATCATCGCCTGCAAACGCCATGGAGTCTCAAGGCTTCAGGGATTTAAGACTCCATCTTCCACTTAGGGCTGTCTCTTTCCCGGGAGTTACGAAATCTAGATCTAGTACCTCTCTCATACGATCTGAAGGTAGAGCAATTCATAACCCTTCATGGGGCTCACAGCCTGCTTCCCGTCGTACGAATCGACTAAAAGCTCCACCAGGAATTGAGGCGCCGCAATTAGGCCTCGCAAATAACCGCGAAATCCGAAGACCGCAATTTGCGATAAGTCCGAGACCGCGAATCGGGCGCCGCGAATTAAACCGCTTACGGATCGCGATTTCCTCCGGAGCATCCCGAGCCTCAGTGGGCAAGATATATGCTGCTCTCCATGAATTCTCCTCTGAACATTATCTTCATCTCGATTTGTACGAATTATACTTCGGATGGCTATTGTCAGGATTTATCCACGAACGTGGGGGCGATCGGTAAGGCACAAAATTTCGGCTCAAACGAACCAATTTCTACTCGTATAAGTTAGCGTTCACTGATATCACTGCCTCGGAATGGAACTCCTTAATCTAACGATTTTTGGATATCTCTCAGCTGAACGTGGAGGAACTTTCAATCCTCCTGCTCTGGTTTCTGCTCGTGAAACTTCCTCAGAATAAGGATGTTGTCCAGCGTTCGAGGCTTGAGACTGGTCCTGTTCTCCCCCAGCAACAGCCGGACAACGCTGAAATCTCGCTCTGCTTGAAAGGAAGTCGGCGGTCGAATGTCAAAGAGGAAGCCGCGGAGATTGATATGCTGCGGGACACTGCATTACAGATCACACTAGAACTCTATGCCGATCGCTTCTGCGCGTTACCGAGAGTCTTTCAGGCTCTTCCCCGCTACCTGAGACTACCCCGGGAAATTAACGATTAATCGGTGCGAGGCCTAGGGGCTACCCCTTCGTTTGCCTCTCCATCATCCCACGCTGGAGCCAGAACTAGATGTTCTTCGAGTCGGTGGCCAAGATCATCATGGATTTGCCTCGTCCCGATTCCGCTCCGGGACTGAGCCACAAATCTCGATCGATGGATGGCTCTCATCGCTCTCAGGGACTCAAGCACCTGGGGGGGAATAGTGCTCCTTGAAGTTCCTGGTGTCCGAGGTATGCCTCCCGAAATCAGGGCGTTCTGCACTCGAGAGGTCTGGCTCCCGAGATCCTCGGTACGCGCAGAACGGCAGCAACAACGATCATCACCCCGCACCGCAGCAAGAATCAAAGCGAGACGGCAGGGCACGCGCCGGCCCGGCGGCATTGCCTGTCGCCTGTCGCACCTTAGGATCATCGTCATCATTCGATCTAAATCAGAAACATTCGAACCATCTTTTCTGATTCGGGAAAATGCAGATCTGCGGTCTCGAGACGCTCAGGGAGTCTAAACCAGATCCTGAACACTTCGATGACTTGCCGGTCCTGAGGGAGCATCACTCTTCTCCGCAGACAAAGGCCGGCGCCGGCAGGATTCTCGAAGTTGGAGTTTTCATGCTTGAGGGGGTCCCGATCGGCTTATTCCCATGCTTTACAACACCAGAATCGATGTTCGGGCTTTGCAGGAGAATTAGCGAGCTCCTCGCGGTACACTCGGTGAAAGCGAAAATGGTTTATGCGTACGATGATCACTGATCAACTGATCACAAATAGTATTATCAGCGGATCGCTCTACGAGCCGATATAATCATCGATTCCCTCTCCGAGGGTAATTGGTCCATTCGTACTCTCGGGAGAAATGTCAATTTATCCATGGAGGCTCACAACGAATCGGAGCTTACGGAGAATTCGATCTTCGCTTCGGGAACATGCATATATTGTGTGAGTTGAAGCCTCTCTGTCGGATGTCCTTTCCCCTCGCAGCCAGCAGAGATCATCATAACAGAGCAAAACATGCTGTTGTTCTCCCTGTCCCGGTGTGCGAGGAGATCGGTCTCCTCTCGGCGGGAGGAGTTGCAGTGTAGTTCGATCAGAGCCGATCCCCCACACGGGATCAATAATTTGGACTCAACGCAGGTGAAAACGGGTACACATTCGCTCCACGAGGTCCTCTAGCTGTCGAGGACAAGTTCCGCGAGCGCGCATCTGAGGCACCATGTCGTCTCTCTGCGCTCTCATGCGCAATCTGACTCTCTCGCGGGGGATAATCAATCCTGGATCGTGTTCTCTATCCCCAAAATCGCTCCTGGCGATAAGGTCGGATATTCTCGCTGGCCAACAGGTATGTATTGAATGATAGGAAAAAGTTTCACGATTTTCCGATCGACGGGAGCAGCTCATTACAAACACCCTCGAATTTTTCAGAACCGCTCCATGAATATGAGGGCTGCCCGGAGAATCCGTGGCTATCCAAGACCGCTGGTCTCGAATATCGTCCGACCCGAACCCATGAAGTACGGTTATCGACTCATCAAGCCAGACGTGAGTTCAGTCTCTCCTTTCAGACGCCTCCGTGAGAGATTTTGGAAGCAGTTTGAAATCGGTTTATTTCCATTCGGCTAATGGAGTTCGGCACGTTTGGCAGGAATATACCACTGATGCTTTAAGGATCAAGAAACTCGCCGGGAGAGATCCCGTCACGAAACGAGTTGTCGTCCGAACGATTGGAGGAGGCGTTCAGAAGTACGCTTACTGGGTGGATTTCATGCGCGATGGTGAGCTCACGACCCGAATGATTGTTATCCAGAACCGTAGAGTCGAGCTTGTCGTCGGGAGCTAACATTCTCATAGAATGTACCTCAAAATACGATCTCTTGACTCTGCGCGATCGTTTTCCTCCGTTGACTTCCGTTCGCTCTATCTCTCTCATGATTGTTAAGGTCCTGAAGACGGTGTCTTCGAAGAAAAGGTTTATAAAATCGAGTATGACGGAATAATGACGTGCAAAGTGGCCTTAGTGGCCAACGGCGAGAAGAAGCGTTGGATCGTAGCGACCGAGGGAGTGGAGGTGAGCGATTAGAGTAATTGAGATCCACAGAGGAGCCACGGTATCACGGAAATCATTGAAATGTGATCGAGGATGAGGGCTGAGTGAGGGGCACTTTGAAGATTCGAAAATTCAGAATTCGAAGATCAGAAGTGTGACGAGTATCGAAACTCAGCACTGGAACTCTCCTCCCTCAACATATATTTTCACTTCGGTGGAATGCTTCTAAGACACTCGACTCGCTTTTAAGGTAGGAAGTATCATCTCGACGACCAGGCATATCCCTAAGTAAGTACTGTAAGGATGAGCTTTCACGATTCCTATTGGATTGACTCGTATTCAAGTGCGGAGACTCAAGGAAGCCTACCCCGCAGAATCCCCGTACGCCCTCGTGAAGGAGACGCACATCCGCTCGGAGCTCTGCCCGTAGCGACGCAGGTGCGAGGAGACGATCTTTAGCGTAGTGCGGAGCCTTTAAATATCGGGGTCTTTGCTCGTAGGCGGTTCTGCATATCCCCCTTTTCCACAGGTACACTGTGTAGAGAAAATCCCAGGGATGGGAGGTCAATTGTGCCGCGCAGCTGGCGCGAGCGCTCAAATCCTCCGGAAAGTTGAAGGCCGTGTAATAATACAGCTGCCGTCGAAAGTAAGCATTCATTACTCGTCAGATCCCCGTTATATTCGGAGCTCCATCCTCACCCGGTGGAAAGAGGCTGGAAACGTAAATTTGGAGATAATTAAGAATTTCATGCTGTGTTTCTCACCATTTGCAGCTGCACATGTCTCTGTCGGAGAAATGTTTGGGCGTAGTCGGTCAAGTTTCGAACGCCGATCGGAACGAAACTTTCTACCCTATCGGGAGCCCGAATCGTCTCCGGAGGATCGGAAAAAGACCGCGCACAGGGTTTTGGCATCGAAAAGATGGATACTGTGGACGCAAGATCAAACCGCCTCCCCCTCTCAAAGTTATACCTTTGGCCAAGTCGCGAAAAGATAGTGAATTTATTCTTTGAGGGCTCCTTGGGAGCCATATTGTAGAATAAACGTTCCCAGAAATCTGCAAGCTACATCATTACTGCTTCCGTAGCAAGTCTTCCATCTCCGCACGGATCCATTCAGACGTCCATGCCTTAAAGTTCAGCTGAGGATCAAGCTTCCTCTCAAGCTTTAGAAGCGACTCGCGTCTCACAATGAGTCAGATACAACGCGGGACCGTGCCCGTCTCATAGCTGAAATTCATCTCCTCGACTTTATTACCGCACCGATATCGCAGTGGGGTGACCTAGTAGAACTGGACCGTATGGAGTATGGGTCGATTCTTTGAAGATTCGAATTCTTGTAATAACTCGTCGATGTCGTTATCGAGATCCTCGGAGTCCGCCATCTGGAATATGGATCAAAGGGTCTCAGATTTAAAAAAAGCTATGGGATCGTCATTGCTTGCTCGGGAAATTTCACAAAACATCTAGAATCGGTCCATACAAGCTGAGCCAGTTCACAAAACATGAAAGCGCCCAAAGTTGCTTCCTCGTGGTTATCCATCACGTCGATGTTGACTATGTGCACGGGTGATGTATAACGGATCGGTCGTTTGGAGAACTCTGTGGAGAGAAGAGTAATTGAGATCTAGACGAAAGAATCTCGCCGACATCCCGCGCTTGTCCTAACTATCCATGAAGCTCACAGCTTCTTGCACCGTCGTTAGGATTCGCGGTGCGTAAACTCGGGAGAAAGGCCTTCAGATGAGCGATACGAATCGTACTGGAGATGGCCGCTAGGTGCGAATAAAGGACTGCCGAATAGACGGGAATCGTCCTACTCATAAACCAGACAATCGAATGGAACATTCCGTGCGCTCGAGCAATTCCTCGAGAACAGATACACGGCATCATCCAGATAGCTAGCGCTCGGACCGATAGTTCTCGGGGAGCTTCCTCATCTCTCCTTAGCTCTCAGACGTGAGCCGTAGCTGATAGCAGTCACGAAGTGTTCGCGTACATGCGTCTTTATTCTGTAGATCGGGAAGATATTCCCTGCGTTACCTTCCAGTACTTGATCATAAACGCGCTCCTCCACAGTGAATATTACATCGAAAATATCGAAGTTCTGCTGGAAGCGCTCCGGCGCGAGTTTGATTCGTTTGTTCCGATCCAACATGCTCATGATGCCTGCATGAAAAAACGATATTTTAGTCCGACACAGGGATCTTCCATCCTCTGGTTGGTGCGCAGGAGCAGGGAGCGGACTCCAGGCAGGTTCGCGTGTCACGAGAACTTCGACCCGAGGAGCAATTTCATACCGTTGTTGGTGTACAGGAGGAGGTCCTTTTTCTTGAGATCTTGGAACATCGCCTCGTAAGGAGTACCGAAATCATAAACGTTTGGCTTGTCAGGAGCGTTTCCGGGGAGTTTGACCTGTGATGGGAATCGAGTGATCTTCGACTTCGTATCATTCGACTTCCAGCTGATATCATTAAGGAGAATCATCATTTTCTCCGAAGGGGACTTCTTTCCCAAACGCATACCTTGTCGCCGGTTCCGAAGGATCGTACTTTGAAACCCCGTTTACTAGAAAAGAAAAGATTCCGATCACCTTCAGGTCCGTCTTATATCCTGACGAAAAACATGAATTCTTAACGACCGTGGCAGCCAAGGACTACCTTAGGAAAAGATGAGTTTCCATGCTCCGATTCTGGTTGCTCGAGCAAATGACAGCAAACCTCAAACTCGACGGCATGATTTCTTGTCAATTAGGAATGCACGGTAACCGCTGGAGGGCTTGAGCTTGGAACTGCCACCGTTCCAAGAGCCGAATCTGCAGGGGATCCGCCGATACAGTCTACTTCACTCTATCGATTTCGTATTATTTGCTCATGAGAGTCCATATGTTCCGAGGGGGGGAGAATGAGCCGTATAACCCCTGAACGGGTCACAATCAGGATAAAAAAACAAGTAAGGAAGCAAAGACAGCCCGTCGTGGGAGGCTTCGGGTGTTCAAGCTCCGGCCGGAGTGAGTTTCTCGTGCGAGCGACCCGTCAACCCCACGTATCACGAATCACGACTAAACTGAGCGGCGCAAGTTTGTAGGTGGAGCTGCTGCTGCTGATGTTTTGATGGGTACGATGCGACTGGAACGGGGGGCAGCCGAAATCGCGCCTGCCGACCGAGTCGAGAGTTCGAGAGTGACTTCTCAATGCCCGAAAGCTTCCGAACCGGGAATCTGAGTCATTGAGTCTGCCCTCGAGCGCTGATCCCTGCTCGCTCATCTCCCATTGATCCCCATGGTACTTGGTTGCCGGGCTCTCCATCCCCGAGCTTCTCGATCTCTCCCGTATTCGCTCGTCTTGCAGAACTGTTCCGACGCCTCGCTTCCTGAGTCAGCCTGAACTGCGAGTGCTGATCCGACGAGCAATCCATCAGAGTCGATCCTCCAATGTCTTGCTGCCTTCTCGGATCGTCTCGTCTCAAACTACGCCCGTTTCTCTGTGTGTTTGAATGTGACCGCTGATGCCACCGGATGTACGGTTCTAGAGAGAGCCGCCAAATCCTATTCCATGGGAGAATGGAGAATAAATACATTGCAGTCCTCGGGTATCGGGTTGATAGTCGCGAACTCTGCTCACACTCCTACTAAGCCAATTTCAGCCTTCTAGGAATGCAGGATGCGATCGAGCCCTTTCATTTCTCTGGTCATTACTCACTCAGCGGAACTTTTTCCCTCCATGAATTCTTCTCCGTTCCTGTCCGTCGAATCACGGTCGCGGCTCATTTACAGGTCCTCGAGGATGGATAGTCTCGTGCAAGACTTGGGTGTGTTCTTGCGCATGAAACATTGTCCCGTTTCCCGAGAGTGGTTGTCGAAGCTGGTCACGGAGAATCCCATGCTGACCGGTCCCGAGTGTTACGAGCTAGTGAGTTTCGGTCATCGGTTGGCCGGGGTCGATTGGGGAAGGCTCATGAAATTCGACCTACGTTCACGGCGATTTGTTTTTGGGACTCCGTCACAGATTGAGCGATCTTGCACAGGCAACGAGCGGAGCAATGAGACACTTACTGTCACTTCTTATCCTGATTCCGCAGATGCTGAACACAGACATTGCTCAAATCGGAATTTTCTCGCTTCCGAACGAAATTTACGTACGTATCTCAAAAGGCTTGTGTGAGTCGTCGCTCGATATTTTCCACGAATGACCGGCACCTCTCAGCGGAATGTCGCGATAGACTGCCAACCGATTCGGTGTTGGCAATGATCAAATCAAGGGTTATCTCTACTATGTATGTACTCGTGCCGCTACGGGTCCTTGGAGAGCAGGACCAATGGCATAGCGTGCGCAAAAAGCACGAGTCGAACAATTCTTGAATTTTCAGCGATAACTTAGGCAATATATGACCGTCCGAGAGTGATAAGACTTTCATCTACCTTTTTCAGCCCATTCGCATCAAAGGCATTCTGGAAGGACACATATTGCTACAGATCGTATCTATCAAGGATATAGGCTCCTCATTTTACTCTCAATTGAGACATCTAGAAGGAACCACCAATGCAAACAATGAGGTTTCCGCTGAAGCGTCATCTGAGGAGAGAAGAACCCATATACGTGGCCAACGGTTCGTCGGTTCGGTCATTCGTCTGCTTGTCTGTCAGAGTACGAAGGCGTCGAGTGACGTGATAACTTGATTGTATCTAATCATCAGCTGGAAAAAAGTTCGAAACCATCGGGACGTTTGTCCATACAGTCCAAGCTCAATTATGTTCAGGACCCATGAGGCTAATGAATTTATATTACGGAGGCCGATTCTAGAGAGAAGGATAGGGAGGGAGCGGGGTCAAGATGCACTTGAGGTATCACTGCATGACATACTCTCGAGTGCTCAGAATCAACCAGCGACCATTTCATGACAGAGAGGCTGGAATCCGGCATACTAAGAGTAGTTTCGTCCGGACTTCTCCAGCTGTCTCCTCTTGGAATTGACGGATGGCTGTCAAACCATACGCGCCATGGAGTTCGAACCGGTACCGAGCCTTTCCGTTGGAGTTCGCCGCGGCTCAAAACTTATGCTCAAGTGAGTGGACACGCCCAGCGGATTGAAAAGCGTTGCGATGAGCTGGATGCCCCTCCTGGCAAAAAAGCGTCAATCGAATTCAGTAGTAAACAAGGATACTGTTTTCTTGGATCGACCTCCGCAGGGGCTCTCTAGAACTCAGAAGAGGCGTAATCCTGTTACGAAGAGACTCAGTCATCCTTTTGGGCGGGTCGACGCCGGATTCCGATACGGACGCACTAAGAAAGGAAGAACTACAACGAGCATTGCAGGAATCGTCGAGGTGATTCTCAACTTCGCCGAGATCTCGGACCTTAAAAGCACTGATTCCTTTCCCTCAAATAAAGTCATATATGTGGCATCCGGTATTCCTCCATTCAGACACAACACGAGTGGACTTTTTGAAAACGCATCTGACTGACTGAGTGAGTGAGAAAGAGTATCAACCTAGGTACTTGGTTCTGTTCGATGGGCGACTGTAGCTCTCCTGAGAACGGAGCTCGCTCCTGAAAAACCCTTCGTTCCGTATGATAAGCTACGCGACACAAATACATGAGCCTCTATCGAGTCGAGCTCTTTCGTCTCCGACGAGGATGTCACGTGGTCATGTCACCCACGATAGGCTGGGAGCAGCGGATCTCCACCTGTTATTGTACACAAAGGAGGGAAGCTCCCAGAGGAAAAACGAGAGCCTCGAAAATCTCAGGAGTCGCTCAGCTGAGGTCAAACCGCAAGATCTTCGACAACGGCCCGACACAAGGGAGAAAGAGGACTCGCTGGAGCTAAATGCGCAAGCTCCGCTCATATGGCGGAGGAGCGGCGGGGGGTATCCAGAGGAAACGCGAATAGATTCTAAGACAGCCCCCAATTTCGTTTTGCTTTTGAAACCCGCAACGGAGTCATCGCTCCACTCGCCGTTTCCGGCCATCTTACGCTGCCCCGCAGGGCGATCAGCTGAAAACTTCTGGCAGCGAGTCGAAAGAGGCATGCTCGGCCATGCCCACGAGTTCGAACTTGTCGCGCGGATCCGTCTCTGAGGTCCAGTGTCTACGATCGCGGGGAAATTCTTGAAGCCGTCAAACGATTCGCGAACTCTTGACATATTCCGGGCAGTATTCCGAATAAGCTGAGGCTCCGAATCGGAGAAAACTGCACGAAACGCTGTCTCAACCCTCGTGGCTGATGGATGCAATGGAGGCAGATGCTGCTGGCGCTGCGGAAAGAGCGCCGGGTGTCGCTTCGAGTTTTGGCTGAAATTCTAAACTCCTTCTATTTGAATTACTTCGGATGCCCCGTATCGATCGAATCGAAGAGTTCAATGGTGTTTTCATCAATTTTATGAACAGGAGCGAGCCGTGATTGGATTTGAAAAGTGCAACTCCAGCGCATCGCTGATCTCTGCTGGCCGCCTCGTGGGCCCGTGGACACCACCTACGGCCGTGTTGATCTGGCCGCACCTTGCGGTGTGTTTGCGGTCATTCAGCAAGGAGAGAGCCAATCACTGTGCGTAAGTTGGAGAAATAGGGTTCGGCGTGGTCCTCCGATCCTCAACGCGACCAGCGGTTGGCCTCTGTCAAGTCGGTTTCTAGCTGTAAAGCGTGAACACGTCCGACCGACCGTCTGCACACGAATTCATCTGTCTGTGTGGTGACTGCCAGCAGTGAGTGCAAGGCAGAACAAGCATAAGTTATCATGCTGTATGCGGAAGGCTGTCGCTGAAAACGCTCTGAGCGACTTGAGGTCCCCTCGAGGAGGCTCGCAAGCTGCAGCTGCAGCAGCTAAGCCCAGGAGTGCAACGCCCTAGCCGAGTGAAAAGGAGTCGTCAGCCGCAGCAGCAGGCAGGCAGCAGACAGAACAGCGAGCAGGCAAGCATCGAGAACGAAGAAAGATTCGGACAGGAAGAAGAATATAAGGCGTCCGGGCGAGCTCCTTCATTGAATAAGCTGTTTCCAAGCATCTGCGTCGAGCAATCCATCAGTCAACAATCGATCATCAATCGATGAGAGTGATTTCATTAATTGGCTAGAGGATCTTGAAAATTGTTGTTCGTAAGCACAGAGCTCGTGCTCGACTTGTGGCAGCCGGCGAGCAGCGAGTGCGCATTCCATATGTGTGGTGAACGCCGCATGGCGTGAAGCTTTTTATCAATTTGAGAATATAAGGACCTGGCAGCGAGGAAAAGTGGAAGAGTGCACGAGTTCGGAAGATTGCGGGGAGCGGCGCGGCTGTGAGACCAGTGAGCCTGTGGGGTTGAGTGACGGCTCAGGGGTGGCAAGCTTTGGCAGCGGCACCTCCACCAGCAGTAGCGACGACGACGACAACAACGACGACGTTGCCGCCGCCGACGACGAGAGACTCGCCAAGAGGATGCGAACGGAGACTTCCTCGTCCCCGAGCCGTCAATCGGACGAAATGGCCGTCGATCGAAATGTGGCCTCGACCGCGGCCAGTGCTGGCGGCAGTCCTGGTCTGACCGCACCCACTTACCACTTTAAAATTCTGGTTCCTGCAGTAGCCGCCGGCGCGATCATTGGCAAAGGGGGTGAGACCATAGCCCAGGTGCAGAAAGACTGCGGTGCTCGTGTCAAAATGTCGAAATCGAACGACTTTTATCCCGGTACAACCGAACGAGTGTGCCTCATCACCGGCACGGTCGAGGGCATTGTGAAAATTCATAACTTCATCATGGACAAAATCAAAGAGAAGCCCGATCCGAACTCCAGGACTGGCGTCGATTTCGATCACAAGCAGCCCGCCGAACGTGAGAAACAAGTGAAAATACTCGTACCAAACTCAACAGCCGGTATGATCATTGGCAAAGGAGGCAGCTACATCAAACAGATAAAAGAAGATAGTAATGTTTATATCCAATTGTCACAGAAAAGTCGTGACCATGCTCTAGCCGAACGCTCGATTACGATAATAGGAGAATTGGAACCCACCAGAAAAGCTGTTGATCTCGTGTTGGCTAAAATCGTCGAAGACCCACAAAGTGGTTCCTGCCTCAACGTATCGTACGCCGACGCCCAGGGTCCAGTAGCCAATTTCAATCCTACTGGTTCCCCGTACGCTAACCCTACGAATTTGCAACACAGTCCTCCAGGCGGTGTCAACAACACCGGTTACAATTCAAACGGTTCGGGAGGATCTTCGTTAAGTCCTACCACTCAGATGCAGCAGCACTATGCTGCCGTGGCGAGCGGCTTGCAAAACGTCAGTGTCCCCCAAAGCGTGCTGGGCTGTCAGAACGTTGAAAGTCTCAAGATGTTACTTCGACAGAACGGATTCCAGGAACAAGCCACTTCGGAGATCCTCGGAGCATTTGCCGTGCTAGCCAATCACGGTCTTTTGGGGCCAAACATGTCGGGCCAGTTGGTGAATGGACCTACAGTTAATATGGCGGCAGTCCAGCATTCACTCTACTCGTCGGAATCTATGTCCGTGTTTGGTCCTGTTGGCAGCCTATCGGGATTCACTTCTCCTGCACCGGGCCGCGCGTTAGAAGGTGCTGCTAGTGTGGTTTTCGATCCTTTTCGTAGGGTTGCATCTTCTCCCATGACGACCCCACCTCCCGGTTCAACCTCAACCTCTGCATCTCAGCAGCAGGCGTCGCACGCACAGCAACAACAGCATCAACAACAACAGCAGCAACAGCAGCAGCAACAACACCAGCAGCAACAGCAACAAATCATCAACAACAATTCTTTCGGGCTGGGCACCGCCGGAGGTGCCACAGGCGCCACGACCCCTCTCGGAGGACCTCTGAGGAACTCTCCTGCCCCGGGCGGGGAGCTCGGCTCGAAAAACGTCGAGGCCATTCAGAAAGATGTCGAAGTCGGTGAGAACATTGTCGGGGCTATCCTCGGTCCCGGCGGGAAGCACCTCGTTGAAATCCAGCGTTTTTCCGGCGCTTCCATTCAGATCTCGAAAAAGGGTATCTTCGCACCGGGTACTCGAAACCGCATTGTGTCCATTACGGGTTGCCCAAACGCTGTAGCTACCGCTCATTACCTCATCCAGCAACACGTCGCCGAGGAAGAAGCAAAAAGATCGCAGCAGAACATTTTGCCCGTACTGCATTAGAAACTAGTGAAGAAATACCCACAAGACTCCTCCGTTTCCGAAAATACTGCCACTACTGGTAGAGAAGCTCCAGGGACGAATATCAACAATGAAAACAGCATAGAGCAATTGGAGGGAGCTTATTGGCCCGGCCGCATTGACGAAATCGACTGGGAACGATTCGCTCCCGATCTCTCCCTCAACCTCACCACCCACCCAACACCCCGAACGACTCCTCATCAACGAAAGGAACGGATCCGAATCAAGCTTGCCCAATCGAGGGCGGCTATCATCAACTTATCAAACGATGCCGACCGATTGATCAAGTAAGCTACCTTAAAACAAGAGAGGAGAACCCTTGGAATGTTGTACCAGTCGGAGATTTTCGAATGAATCGGAAGGAGGCGTACCTTAACGAATGACCGTCAGCTAGCGAATCGTGTGTTGAAGGTTCCTCGATACCTCGTTGTCCTCCCTGGTGGAGGGATTCACGAAACAATATGAAGGACATGAACTGTGAGAAACCATAAACACTCACCAACAGAAACAACAGAATCAGCCAATCGTGACAATGGCAACACCAACTCATCACATCAGAAGATGGAGAAGAAGATTCGCCTCGGGCAAGCGTGGAGGGGAAAAGAGCTCGATTCAATCGGAGCTTAAGGGCGCGTTAATTCTAGGTTACATTTTGTGATAATGGCCAGCTGCAATCGAGTCGAACGCCATGCAGCCAAATGCTGTAAGAGACTTCTTAAGCGAGCGTTTTATTTGTCAAACATGGAGCCAGGCAAGCAGGCAACGGGGCGGGCTGACAGGCGGCCCGGTGGTTTGACGATCGAGTTCGAAGGAGGGCAAACATGAGAAACGTGACAGAATTTCGACCCGAGCCAATCATCGATCCTTGCTCCTTTTGTAACAAGGATTCGAAGACTGGCGAAGGTAATTGTCGCAGTCACAAGGGCCGAGCCGATTGAATGTCGAATCGAATAGGTCGAGTGATAGCGATCGGGCTGTCATGGATTTCTGACCTCTCGACCATCTTTTTGCCCGCTATCGATAAGTCAGCTCGTCGCTCTGGATCGATGTCCGGAGACTTTCGGTACAAAGATCCAGCGACCTAAGCCGGGCTTGCCCTTCGTTTCCAAGCTAGCCGGAACGAGACCGCGCTCCTCTCGTTCGACGACGAAAAGCGACCCTCCGTTGAAAACCCGCGAGCCGAGGCTTCTGTGTTCCCGAAACCCACACCACGTTGTCTCCTATGCTTTGCTTTTTACATTTTTTTCTCTACGAGGGCATCATAGCAATAGCTCTTCTAATTTATGGATATTGAGGTTTACGGCCCGCTTTTAGGAAGCATGGTGGAGAGCATGGTGATCGAATGTGTACGTGGCTGACAGCAGATCAAGATCGAGTTTTTTCTTGTCTTTGAATTCTTTGGATGAGCGATTTGTCGCGGTTGAATCAGTCGCAACCTATCGCCAGTTTTGTGAGTGTTCAATCGGGGACCGATTCAAGCCAGTCAATGAAAGTCGTCCAACGTGAAGAACAATTGAGAGTACATCGACCTGAAATCAGAGAGAGAGATCTGTTCCTCTGAGATATGGCAGAGAGCGCCGATGGGGAATTTTCGAATTCGTTCCCGTAGAGGAGGCTACCGAGAGGTCCCGGACGACGGGATGAACGATTTCATGAATGGATTGAAGGAAGATACAGACCGTTGAGACGTGAACGAGGTCAACCTCGGGAGGACCGGGACGAGCGGAGTGAGAAAATGATTCCAGCTCATAGGTGTTGGGTTTTTGCACAGATTTTAGAGAGATAATTAAAAAATAGCCGAGAGGATCGCATCCTCAGATTCCCTCAGATTCCGTTCTTTTCATTTTTGCCTCGGTATTCCCATTGTTCGGACCGTCGGAGCGATCGGTCGATGATCAACTCAACGCGTCCGGTTCTACTCGAGAGACCTCTGTCTTTCTCACGGATCCTTCCCGTCCAAGAATTGAAGGTGCCGCCATCAAGAGTTGGTCGACGAATTCGTCTCCCCGGAAAGGCTGCTCGGGTTTCAATTATTCTCCTTGAGTGTTTCATTTACTTTTAGTGATGCTGATTGAAACCGCTTCGTCATGATGCATCGGAGTTTTCCCAGTCGTGCCCCCCCCCTTCCCTCCGGAGCCGTAGACAGCGTGATAATAGCAATTCGAGACAGCTTTTCCCCATTCGAATTCGTCCGCGAAAGTATTCTTAGCCCGAGAACCGACCGACTGCCTGACCATCAACAGAGTTCGGATCATAGGGTGGAGGCGACTCCGGCTGAGGAAAACGAAAACTCCGTCTTCGGCTCGAATCTGCTCTTTCTTTTGACTATTCTCCGACCGTGTTGCATGGTCTTTGAGAGACGCGTATCCTTGACGCTTTGTTGCTGACCCGTGAAGCTACAGCTGACAACGCGATCAGCAGGCAAATAGAGAGTTGAAAATAATCGAGCACGGGGGCAGGAAGTCCGCGTGACCGCTCAATTGGAGCTGCGACCGGAGGGCGTCATTTGGAAGTTCTCCTAGTGTGTATACGCCGTAACCGGTCCCGTGGAGTACCCACATGATTGCGTTCGGCTCATTCTGGGGCCTCTGGAGTTCCTGAACGCCTTCCCTGAGCTTCGTCTCTCTGGGGAGTGTCTACAAACTTACATACTACATGAGAGGCGGATAGGCAACGAACCTGACGGCTGTGACTGCGCGACTGGCAGCGAGGTCTTCCAGCCGGAGAACCAAGCGATCGGTTGGCCGACTCTTTCACGAATCATTTGATTACTACGAAGTGCGCCAAGCTCTCCATGGAACGCCCGCGTACGTGATCGCCATTGTGATTTCACGATTTGAAGATTGGTCAGTCGAATTCATGGATCCCTCCAGCGATCGATCGAACACGGAAGGGAACATCGGAGTATGGAAATTTCGGAAATTCGATGAGACTGGAATACGATACGGAAGCATCTAGGGGGCAGGCGAAGATAGCCACCCAGTAGACCTGACAGGGAGAAGCATCCAGGGCTACCCCCGAACAGACTGGGTGGTGCGGGAATGATCACGATGCCTTTTCCGGAGTGAGCTCATGCCGCTCTGGTGCCGCGCAGACCGTCGAACCGACAGACGAACGGCGACGTCAATTGCGGTGAACTTACGGAAGTGCTTTACGGGATGATATTAGATCACTATATAGCCCGTGCCATTAGATAGCCGTGCGAAGAAAACACTCGAGGGTCATGACACATGTTGATCGGCGTCACATGGGAGCATTTATCGAATGCGAGTCGAATTTCCGGGAGCATTTCGCGGGAAGAGAGGACAAACGTGTGAAATGAAATCCAACTAGCAAGCTAAGAATAGTCGAACAAGTGTGCCATGCCATGCAGTCAACTGTGGCTGGCTTCTCTCAGGCGGAGCACGTAAGCACGGAAAAATGATGACTATTCACCGAATGTATGGAGCTGAAGGTGTTCATGTATCTACCATTGATGGATGAGAGCGAATTGAGAAACATACGAATACTGAGCGTCAGTAGAACTGCTAAATAAGTTCGGTGGATTCGATGACTTCAAGTACTTAGCACTCGGTGCCTACTGTATGACTAATTATAAGCTACATTCTTGAGACTGACTGGCTACTGATCGAGTCGGACTCTCGACATGGTGTACAATGTCACCCAAAACTCATCAACTTGGTCGAATAAACGACCAAGCGGCCATATTCCCAAAGCCCAATAGAACTTCCCACTTCGCACGGAGGTTCTACTCAGCAGCGCTGTGTTCTGATTGATCAAACCTACCATACTAGTTATCGATGTAAGATGTCGAATCCAGGTGGGAAGATCGTGAAGGCATGAAAGACGACTGGAAAGGCAGGATAGACAGATCCTGTTCATGAGGTGGAATCAGAGAGAATAACCCGAGACCACGCTCTTAGGAAATCCGCTTGCTCTGTCTCTGGTCGATGTACGATATCTGTTCAGAGGTCTTTCTATCTGTCCGTCGGCCGATCCAGTTGTGTAGCTGTATGGATCTGTCACGATGATTTGTATGATCGGAACGAGCGGTATTCTCTCTGAGAGCGTCGGCAACAAATGGGAAAGTGAAAACATCGTTTTGGAGAAACCGGCGCTTAAATAGTTTTAGATTCTAGATGATCGGAATAATGTTTGTCATGGTGGTTTGTAATGGTTGTCTGCTACGATTGCCATTATAGCGATGATTATATGGGACGTTCGTACGGACTTCACGGGATGTTCACTGTGGACTCATTTGGCTCATTGGGCGGGCGCGAGCTGGACGGATCGTGACGTCGGCCGTTCTCGGACATGCGATTACGCACGCATACACAAACTCATTGGAGAAATTGCCACACAGTTTGGTACATCACAGACTTATACACCATACATCATCCAACATCTACTCATCGACGGGTGCATGCTCACGGTTTGTTGATCTTCGAACACGGGCAGACACGATAAATGCATAGGAACATGGGAGGCGACCGACTCGAGACGTACTGCGACGGCTCTCTGTCAAGTGTTACGCGGTGCAATTAATCGAAAAAGTCTTATCCATCTCTACTCTCGATCTACCTCTCGAGCATTTCCAACTTTCGCACAAGAATGCACACACTTTACACAGAACAGGAGTATTGAACGTTTCGGAGGAGCAGAGCCACGAAACACAGCAGACAGGATATTCTATTCTTCGTAACCAGAATTCATGATTCATCAGGGAGTCGACCCCGGACTTCTCTGCGGAATTACTCCTCTGGAGGTGAACTCGAGCGGGGAACGTTTAAGTGCGGGTCCCGAGGTTTACGGATTGTCGCTCGCCGCTTCAGCTAGCGAAGAATACTCCCCCTATGAAGTTGATGTCGATGCGATCCACGCGAACTCATATTCCTTGCCGCATATAATCTGATATTTCCCTCCCTCCTGAGACGACTTTCTCCTCGGGCGACGACTTACTCTATCCTGTAAGTGAAGAGCCGAGAGAGGGCTGACCGATACTCGAGAGGTTCGAGACATCACATAAAATGGAGGAAATTCGTCGCTCAAGTTTTACTCTGAAATGAGACCTCTGTCGATTGGGAGCGCTCCCTGAGATTCCAGCGCTCTTACTCGAAACCGCGGGCAGCGAAGCTTGGTGTGATTCCGACTTGTTTTGTAAATAAGTTCTAACTTCCATCGATAAATTTATCGGAATGCCGCTTCTGCCACCGCTTCCGAGATTTCGAGCCAAGGCCCTCGGATTTCTGTTCCTGCTTTCCCGATAAACTCTCTGATTTGTACAATTAGTGATTTCTCTGGTGCGAAGAGTCGGAATACGAGAGGAGAGCGAATAGCTTGATGAACGTTGTTCAGAGAGAATCTCGAGAGATTATTAAAAATCTAGGAACGAGACCGGCTGAGCTGGTGGTCCATGATGACTGATCAGTGATCACGAAGGCAGCGTCGATCGCCACGACGCTGATTATGGAATGGTGCATGATGATTTACATGAAGACTTCCCGCCTGCTTCAGCCCGTGGCGGATTCGGTCAAGGCCTCCCCTCTTCTTGATTTTTGAGCTTTCAGCTGCTCCAATCCGCGAGCGTGCATTGAATGAAGACGACTGACAGAGCAAAAGACGTTCACTCGAAGTAGCAACACAGAAACAGAAGGAGATATTTTGAGGAAACGCAGAGGTGACTCTACCACACTTTGATCCCCACGCTTTACCTCAACAATTTCGCGGCAAGGGCGAGGATCGGCTCAAATCGGAAGATCTGAGCGGTATGGCCGCAAGGAAACAACGCTAGCGTGAACCCGCTGGGACTCGAGCTCGATTACTCGGCGAAACTGAGCTTGACAGGAGCCTCTATGACATCCAATATCTTGAAACTGAGCCGGGTTCGGGGTTGCGAGTCCCAAAGAAAATAACCCCAACCGAAAATTCCAGTTCTTAGGTAGGTCAGTAAAACGACGCTCGCGGGGGATGAGTGTGATGATGAGAGAACCTGCATCAGACAGCTCGCTGTTGGGAGCATGGCAACCATACACCAAACACCGAAATTCGCATCATGCATAGCCACGTCGAGTGACACTAGATCGAAGGAAGTGTACCAGTTAGGTGAGGAAGCATACGATACGTTCAGTTTCGTTTGATCAACGTGAAGTTTTGGAGTGACTCGAGAAGAGAAGCTAACAAAACGAGTAAGGAAACGACGATGAATCTTACACTTATAGTTGGGAAGATCGTGATCGCAATTTTCAAGTCGATTTCCGGGTAACAAGGTTCTCCACTTGATCTTGGGGCTGGAAAACTCCCGCCGAAACAACTCAAGCGAAGCACACAAATAAAGAATACATTTATGAAATCCAATGGAGTCTGCTGTATTCATTCCTGCCTCGGTATAGAATCCGGACGCATCCCTCCTTCCGCGCGAGGCTGTTACCTCAGTCTCCGTTTTAGGCCTACTATGAAGAATCGACTGAGTGACGAAGTATTGGGTCTTCATTAGCTAATCCCCATCTTCCGTGTTCAACCACCCAGTAAGTGTCGTCTCCCATGGCGACGAGCTCTCGCACGATTTAGACCAAAGGCGATAACTCCCCTCAGCAATTCCTGCGATAATCTTTATTCGATTCTCATTCGGCTATTCGGATGGAATCCGTCGAGCAAGTGTGTATCACATTCAAGTACTTCAAATTCAATCTGAGTTCAGTCTGAATTCTACATCTCAGAGTGTTGAGCTGAAGCCTCAGACCTGGAAGATTCACGAGGTGCGATATTGAAGATGATTATTCCCCTCACTAACATCATCAAGCTGACTTTGGTTCCAAGAGAGATGACGATCAACTCACTCGAGGATAGCACCAACAGGTGGTTCAAGTCTCACAATATATTGACAAGTCTGGAAAAAATGCGGGGTCACTCGGGCTTCTCATGATGAAGGCTCATATATGAGTTGATAGGCTTGGGTGTAAGCGATTCCAACCTCTTTCCGGGCCTCCAGAGATCCTTTCACGGCACTAGCCATTTTCAGTCGCAGGTCAACGAGACCGCCCTCCACTCCTTTCCAGCGGAAGGTGAGGCTGTCTTCTTCGAAAACCGAAGAAACGCAACGCTGTTTCTAAAGGAAGCGAAGAATCCGTACGTTGCCGATATCGAGTGCTCTCTCAACGATGAATATTCGCGAATGAGGAGGGTCCGTGTATGAACTCCTATCCGATACTCACATCCTTGTAGGCTCGTTGCACAATGCCGGTTCTCAGGGAAACCACATCAACCGAGCGGTCGAGTACGCCGACTACAATGAAATCGTCGCTCAACCGACTTTCAGTCAGGGATCTGGAGAGGAAGCTCGAATTCAGATCGAGACGGAGCTCGAGCGCGATATCGGTAGATGCCTGGCACGAGCTGGACTCACCTCACGAAATTCCACACGAATAGCTCTATGCTAGCAACTTCCGCGCATTTGGCAGCTCGTTTTCTCTCGTTGCATCGAGATGCTATTTTTCTCAGCTCACTCGCCTGGTGGTTGAACGACAGAGTTTCTGTAGGAGACCGAGTTTCTTCTCTCTGGACAGGAGGCAATCTGAGCATATGCGGACAACTTACGCGTTCATCGCTCTCTCGAACTTCGTAGCCCAATGATTGAGCTAGAAGACGGTGAACAACGAGATCTGCATACCGTCGAATCGGTGAGGTGAAGTGCGTATACAACGGCACCGCCAACGCAAAATGTCTGTGGACAGATTCTCATGAGTCTTCTTTCACTCGATTTTTTCGTGCCGTCGAGGACCATCCTCGACGTATAGGTTGAGTGTGGTTTTTCCTCACCTCAAATCTTCAGGGGTTTGTCCTTGCGCAACAACGTATTGAGCGGGGCTGAACGGTTTCGAAAGAATCACAGCAAACGCACGCAGAAGAAGTTCCCGAGCTTCGCATTCAGAAACTCGAAGCGATTCTGCGATGTTTTCCGCAACCTACAATCGGATAAGAGCCCAAGGAGCGTCTTAATTCTGCACTCGCGGATTCGTACTCACGGGTTTTTGTATATATGAGTTGCAATGCACGAACCTCCAGCTTGAACATTTGATTCTTGAGAGTGTCGAGACCACTTTGCATACTTTTGGCATCGAAGCCGTCTATTCTGATTCCCAAGGCTTCAAATTCTCTGCAATTGGCCTCGAAAATGTTTCATTCCTTTTCAGAAGACCGTGAACATCGTTGAGGAACAAGAACTCTTATGCATTTAGACCCGCTTATAAGAGACTCGGATCTAAGAGACATTTTCCCGATTCCCGATCTCATAGGCTACGGTGTTGAAGACCTCGGATATTAGAGAAACCCGGACATGAGAGTCGTTTCCCGGCTACCCGGAGGGATCCCTCATAAGCGGGTTCGACTGCAGCACTACTTACTTAGCTATGATATTTATGCGCCTTTCGTCGGGATGTGAATGTCTGCGCAAGAATGCCAAAGCAGGGAACTCCCGCCGGATCTTGCGAGCCACCGCCATGTTTGCCTGAAAGCAGCAGTGACAACAACTCGATTTTTGTTTCCGCGGGTTGATCCATCAGAACATGACATGCAGCTCACTACTCACCAGTAGCATGAATTCTTCGATTAAGCGATGACTCGCGGTGTGTTGGTACACGGAAAATCCCTGCGTGAGAACGGAGACCTCAAATTCTGCATGCCTCTCGGACAGTGTCATCGATGGATGAGGGAATACTGATCAGATCGAATTCACTTACACCGGGATAAAGCCTCACTTACTTGCGGCACACCGTTCCCGGCCAATTGGAAACACAGTTTTAGCTGATCGATGCGGAGTGCACCTTCATCGAAACGTCGTTTCCTCATATGTGTGGCCATATCTTGCAAAACGACTAGAGCTTCCGAGATCCGACCAATTGAATGGCCATTGAAAATAGGAGGCAATTCCTCCGGGGTCCAGGTACGTTTAGGGTCATCTATGGATCATATTGATTCTTTGAGGAGCATGAAAATGTTCCACTCTCCTATCCGACGAACGTCTCGCAAGGAGGGCATGGACAATGTGAGCGATAAGCAGGAATCCTCACCAATGATATCTTGTGCGAGTTCATAAGACATTTTACAGCAGCTATTTATTATTGTCCTGCCGAACCATTCCTCGAACACCTCGCCCTGAGAGTTCATTTTGAAGACCACTGAGAATGTCAGCTGTGGGAATTAATGAATCATGATTTCCCCGATGTTTGCTTTTGGGGTGAATATAGTCAAGTCCCCAGACAAAACTGCCGAGCGCCGATTTCGATTGAGAGGTAATGTTCCCAATGTATGCAAGATGCTCATGCAAATTATCCATATCCGCGTTTCTAGAGTCGATGAGCATACCTTGTCAGCGCCGGGATGGAGCGAACACAGATTATTGCACAACAATCTTGGAAGCATCGGAACTACCTTGAAGGGAAAAGTGACCATCAAGCATCGAGCAGATCCCATCGCAAGATATCGCTCATTCATGGGGAATGAGGACCTCAGCGATTCTCTCCCATGATTGAGAGCTTACCCTCTGAACGAGATAGACCGAAGTGGCTCTGGACTGCGCTTTCGAGTCCAGAGGAGTGTTACGTTTGACGAAATAGCTTACGTCCGCTATGTGGATTCCGACCTGAAGTTTATCGGAAGTTTATCGAAAGACGCTTTAGCAAAACGCCAGCGCGTCGCGATCCGATATCTACGGACCTCGTATAAGTCGTCGGCGATTTTCTTGACAGAAAGAGCGTCATCCAAGTCCCGAGCTGACATTGGATCGATCGTGAACACCAGTTCTTTTCGATAATCCTTCCGGCTCTCGAGTTCCTCAGCGGGTATTTTCCAATTCGGAGAAACATCCATGTTTCTCAATACCTGTAGGGGACAAGAGCGTCATCGGAAACTGAAAACCCAATTCTTTGATCGACGCCTTCCGTGTATGTAGATTGAGCTCACATCATCGTCGATGCAGTCGTCGTCGATGCCATTATTACTGAGGATGGCCGTGGTTTCGGCTTCGATTTCTCCTTTTTTGCCCACGATTTTCAACAGTTTACCCTTGGGAAGAACTTCTTGTGCGTCCCAATCTTCCAGTTGAGCGCAGAACAAAGTGTCCTCAAAATGTTTGGGCCGCTGGAAGAGTAGATGAGCCCGCATGAGAGAGAATATAGACTCCTGGGCTTCCGAGACCGTCACTCGGTGTGGGCTCCCCGGAGTACCCTTCGCTTAGATCTTCATTCAAATATCGGAACCGACAAGTACCTTGATCAAATCTTTGGGACATTCGGCAGCGGGAATGCACATCCGAGGAAAGCGAGGGTCCGTAGGGGAGAAGAGCAGTGATTTGACATTATTTTCGTTGAACGTCTTCAAAGTTCCGCAGACAACCCTCGGGGCTGATGCCTCGAGAACCGCTACTACTCTAGCTTTGCGCTGGACGAATTGGGGCCACTCGGGATGCGCCAGAACATCGTCGATGTGGTATGGACGGAGATCCTGTTGATCTAGCTTCGTAGCTTCATTGGGAGGTTCAGACCTTCTGTGCCGAGGGCTGCCCCGGGGCTTCTCCTTGTGCGATCTGGGAGACCTCTGGGGATCCTTGAGATCTTTCCGTGGTCTTCGAGGCTGAGCTTGCTGTTGATGAGTTTGCCTCGACTTCTTGGACGGGCCGACCATCGCGCCGAGAACACCTAGCGATGCCGCATTGTCGGTAGTGACCTCGGTGAAACCTCTGTAGTCTTCGTCGGGGTCAGGCCGATTTTCTTTTTCAGTGATAATAGATCGAAAACCGAGATCTTCCGGCGTGATGTTGAACCTTTGGACGAGCCCAGGTTTCTTCTTCCTATTCTTCCGTCTCTTCGTATTGGTCTTGGGTTCGTCGTCTTGAGTTTCTTCTTTGTGTTCGGAAGTTTCTTCGGAGGCGATCTCGGTCGACCATTGCTTCTCTTGCGAAGGTTTTTCCTCGATGGGCCGCTTTTTCTTCTGACGAGTCTGCTTCCACGTTTTTTGCTCCACGGCCTTCGACTTGCTGTCGGTATCCCTCTTCTTCGCACGATTCTCGGACGGTGGCGTTGCCGCCGCGTCTTTTGCGTCCTTCAATCGAATATGGCACTCGTCTGAAGATGTCGTGCTTGCATCGGGTATTTTCGAAGGAACCTCCTTGCGAGTTGGAACTTCGGTTCGCTCCTGCACCTGATTCGAGGCAAAGTGAAGACTTTCGGCGAGATCTCCGTGACTTTCATCGCTGTCGTAGTCGTCATGGCCTGTCGATTCCTCGGTGGTCGGTTCGTCCAGCTCGTCAGAGAGTAGGGCTCCGCCCGAGAAGCCTGGAATCGATTCGCATTCATGAGACATCACCGATTCGCCGAATCGAAACCCTGATGAATAAGCTGATGCGAGAGGCAGCTCACCCGGGAGGCTCGACTCGAGTTCCCGAGCCGTGAATTGCAACTCCGGACCGTCGTCCTCGGTGTCGTGCAAGTCCACGTACCTTGGGATACACAATATTTAGGCACTTCTCGTGTGAACACAGCCGATACGAAGCTCGGACCGGCTAGGAATACTCACTCGTAGTCCCCAGCAAACGTGAAGTCATCTCGGAGACGGTCTGACTCACACTGTCTGACAACCTCTCGCATGCGTTCCAATTTCTTAATACCTGCGTATTTGGAGTCGAAAACGATCAGAAAACATGCTCCTCCCCGAGAATTCATGGAGCGAGATCCGGGGTGCAACTTACCCCTGAAAACTATAACGTCTTCCGACGACGTGAATTTGCCCCAATCTACCGACGAGTCTGACTTGGCTTCATTGTCGAGCCTGGGCTCTTGCAATGCATCCTCGCCCTTCGTCGCCTCAGCCTGCCTTCTGTGCTCATCCCATACGCGTTCGCAGGTTTCGGGAAAATTCTCCGAGAACGGCTTCTGCTCGTCGCTCGGGCCGCAATCACCAGTATCGCCCATCAACCTTTCACTCGAGGAGTCTCCTTCGTCTGTGAATGGAAATCCTGAATCTCCTCGACTTCGAGGCATTCCACGCTGATCGAACGCCAAAGTGACGTTGGGCGGATTGCTGTCTCACCTGAGGATGTTTCCGTTGGGATCTCTTCTTTGATTACTTCCAAAGCTGCTGGGATCGGCCCTTTCGAGTCGTCTGTAACAGATAAGACAGTGTTGGATCAGAGGCTAGCCGTTGCATGATGAATTTAGGTCGAGATCTGAAGGACTCGACAGGACTCACTTTCACATTTTGAGCCAGCATTCGCATCCCTCTGCAGACTTTCCAGGAGGGAGAGACCGTTCTTCTTCTCCCAGGAGGAGATGACGTCCCAATGGACCTGTCGACGAGATTCGGATTTGATTTCGCAGAGCGGAAGCAGTCCTCGCGTAATTTACGAAGGTCGATCGCAATAGCTCGTGATCACAATGGAGCCTTGAACCTGCCTACCTTCCACTCTTCCTTGGGCAACAGGGCAACCGCGACTTTATCACCGTTAAGCGCACGGTTTCTGCTAAGTCGGCCTTCTATATGTATATCCCAGTGAGGCCCGGGCTCCTGTCGAAGATCGAGGAACGTCAAAAGCTTCTCAGACACTCATGGCTCTCGGCCGAAACCGCTTCCTCCAGAGCTCAGAAAACGAAGAGACAGGGAACAAGCTTTCGAAGAACGGACCGAGTGAGACGCGATCATCGATGTCTCACTCCGTCAAATGATGCTGCGACAAACCGGCGCAACGAGTTTGTACAAGGGGTAGGATATTCGCAGCTACATACACGAACTTTCGGTAGCCAGGCAGGCAGGCGGGCAGAAAGGATCATTGATCCTCTGTGCGTTTCCATGCTGCTCAATTCGAGTGCTTAGAAGAATATTCTGAGAGTAATGTTACCAGTGATTACCGGTGCTGATATGAAAGAGTCCTCGAAACACCGTGGGTTCACGCGTAGAGTTCCCTAGAACGGATGAGCTATTGAGCGGGAACGAGATCATCGCGAGGTTCCCTTTGATCGAGCTACGGAAATGAAAGCGGGACTGAGTATTATGCGTATCCAGCCGTACTCACCTCGAAGAACTCCCCTTTTTTCAATCCAGCTTGGATTTCACAGAGCGGGAGGAAAGCGTCGAACGGGTGGAAATCGTTGCCCTGGCCCCGGCGGCTCCTCTGATTCGGTGTCGTTGGCACAGAGTAGGAGAATGAATGAGGTTGAGCTGAGGGGCGGCATACGTTAGAGGGCGAGCGTTTCTATCGGGGATGTCTCGGAGCTTTTCATGAGGGTGTCCGATTCCGTAGGAGGTCCGAATCATTCATCGATACCTTGAACAGCCCTCGACGGTCCAGGTGAGGACAAGAGGTCCGTGGACGAGCGACTGCTCACACTTCCCGCATCCGACCATGAACATTTGTGCACCTGATGCTGGTACTTGAGATGAGGTGGCAGTGGGGAGCGCATGGAGTCTCTGTAAGGACAATGGTGGGGCTCAGTGAATGCGGTCCGTCCGGGTTCCGTAGATTGGGCGAGCGGAGGTCCATGGGGAGGAAAACATATTCAAGACTTCTCTACCTGTTTCCGCAAGTATCGCTCTTCCTTCTGTGTACGCCGGATCCGGGCTGATTGTGCTGACCACAATTCCCGCTCGACTTGTTCCTTGCCGAGTTCGTTTTGCGTTTCGGGTGGAGATTTCCCGGATCCGACAAGGAAAGTCCCGCATCGCTCGCTGCCACGCGTAGCCTACGGAGGTACCGCGCAAATCGTGAAATTGGTACGTCTGATCGGTCTAAGTTACAATCCATTCCCCGATGTGTTTGTAATCCCTGTATCGAGATCGAGCGGGCAATGATCATTGTGATGGAAAGAATAAAACTATATTCACGGTTGTTGAGCTCCAGGTCGTGGTCGGGTGGGGCTTTTCGGCACTTGTTGTTTAGGGGTCAAATCTTTCTTCGGGGGGCGTTTCTTTCGGGGTTTCCCGGCCGCCTGTTGGGGCGATTTTTCTTCTAAAACTAGAGTTTCCAAAGCTGATCCCAACTCCGCGTCTGGATTTGCGTCAGCCATCGTCACTGTGGAATGGAATATCAATTTAAGACATTTCGTGGCTGCGGAGACCTTAAGCAAGTGACTCAACCCGTGATTACATCATAAAGACATTTTGTCAAGCCGACGGTCCTCCGCGCATACTATCTCAGCCGTCTTCTAGGCGGATAGAAGGAAAGGGTGAGAAAGAGTTCAGGCGACCGGCTCCTCCGCCGGGACATGAAAAGGCAATTCGATCCGGCCAAGGAACCGACTACGAATGAATCCACAAACCGGAGTTGGATTACCCGCGAATCTGTCATCACATAAGTCCGCAGCTCCAAATAGCGAAGACTAAAATCGGCGGAATGAACGCAGGAGGCGAGCCGGCCTTTCGCGCAGAACCGCATGATTATGCGGGAACGCTCCGTAAGACTAAGATATAGGGCTCAGGATGGCTATTTACATCGACCCGCTGTATCACATTCATTTGATTAGGAAGCGATCCACGACCTCAAACTATGTACAGAGGCGATTCCTCGCTTACGGCCCCCTCCCGAAAGGGGATAGTTTTTCAGGGCGGCAGGAGACTCCTCGAAGCTTTGCTGTGTCCATGTATAGGAAATTTGTCTCCTTGATCCCTGGATTAGCTGATTCCAGGCCAGGATTCTCACCGGGCTCCAACGAATAGGGATACTCTGGCAATCCGGTGACTCAATGACAAAAGAGGGAGCCCTGGGACTCCGGAGTTCGTCTCATACCGGGTGGATCAGTCGCCAAGGATTCGGTAAAAATTCCGTATGGGGAACATCGATGCTCGATGGCAACAAGAGGAGTTCCTGAATCGAATGTGCTCTGGAAACTCCAAATGACAGTCGTGGAAGTTACTCCCTCTGTACCGAAATGTGGATCTTGCAATTGCGCGACAGCGTGCCCAAGCATTCTGTTGTCCCGCCACTCGCTCCAGAGCTCTGCGCTGGCAGAGCGGTGAAGAGGCCTACCTGGTCTCCAGACGACAACGGAATCTTTAGGATTGATATATTGCTGAACTTCGAAGTTTCACAGTTGCCGTGGAAACTGGCAAAAATTTAGTCCTAGTTCGTTCCACTGATGCGGCTGATAGACAGGGTCTACGATGATGATCAGCCGACCGACCGTCTGCGGTGTGTATCTTAAACGACGGAACGACGAGAGAGCGGAGCCGTGCCGACCGGCGAGCGAGGAAGGGTCTTAACTTCGTTCAATGCAAGAAATCGAGAGATCTCGACTCGCAATCGGAAAAATGGGTCTCTCCCATCGGATCTGAAATTTCCGCTAGTCCAAGGGAAGCGCAGACGAAGTTTCGACTGGCGGAGTCTCCTCGACGTCTTGGATTCTGAAAATTTGAAGCCCACAATCAGATGAATCAAGGAGCGGAGCGGAATCACCCTGCTCTGGGCGAAACGGGTGCGGACCGGCGGAAAAGCGTGGCACTCAATTTGCCCATCCGAATTACACGCATTGGAGCTCCCGTATCGTCAAAGGAGGACTGATTTGTCATGTCTTCGGGCTGACCGATACATCGATAGCTGAACATCGATTCCCAGGTAGCTTTTTTGAGGGAATCGGTGGGGCTGTGCGGTAAAGCTACGGTCAACGTGAGGAGCTCTCCTCGTTCTTCGGACCTCCCCCCATCTATCCTTTTGGACAAACCTCCTTTTTTTTCCTCGTGCTTTTGTCTCCGCGGCTCGTCTCAGTCAGTCGCGTGTCCGCTAGAAACTGCGTTGAATCATGTCGAAAGCCGTGTGACAGTGCCGGCACTCAGAACCTGGCCAAATCCTTCCCCAGGATTTTGTGAACACACAGGGGAGATCGATTCAAAGGCAATAGGAAGACGTCGACACGAGCGTGGGACGCTATATGTACTGGGTTCAGATAACTTTTTTTCGGAATCCGCAGTATCCAAAGACGATGGAAGTGGAAGGAATGATCCTCGGCCGCTCTCCGCGAACGAATCGCCTCGCTTTGTTTCGCCTCGATTTGATAATGGGTAGGCAGCATGGAGAACCACGGCGAAATATGATCGCGAGTAAGAAAGGGGACCGGACACGGGAGACTCTTTTCGATGATGCGTGTCCCCTCCGCCCTCCCCCAACTCCTCTCGGATCGGCTGATTCGTGGGACTGACGATAGAGAAGGGCCGAAAACGTGCGTTCGGATATTTCCCCTGAGCCTACTACCTCCCCTTGAGCGACACTTTTCTTGTTCCGCGCCGGAACGGGCGTGCTTCTGCTACGCGAGACTCCTTTCGGGGAGCTGGCCAGCTTGATAACTCAATTTCGGATCAGAGAAGAGATCAAGAAACCGTTCCGGAGATCGTGGGAGGAAAAAAACTTCGAGAGATTTTCGTAGTGGGGCTCCCTCTGGGGGAAGCGCGTTGTATGGTACCCATCTCGAAGTCCTGGGATCTAAAAGACTCTCGGAGATTGGTTGTAGAGCGCGCCGGAGACCCAGCGGACCCGAAGTTGCCTGGCGGAACCAAGGGCTGATCGGGTCTTTCCCATAACGCTTCAATTTTCCTTCACCTTCCTGGTCGGAAGAGCAGAGGATAGCTTCAGGAATGAAAGCGACTTCGGCAACGGAGACTTATATCCGTTTTGTGCTCCCTCAAAGCACGGTCGCTCGTGGGCGATCTGCGTTTCACCGGGCAAAGGTGGTTCCTATGGGGCTCACATAAAGATCAGAGATCCGCCCGATACGAAAAATTGCCGAATTAATTGTCAAACTGCCTGTCGGCTCAAAAGAGTTTGGGCTCAGCTGAATCGCCTGGAACGACGCTTTCCCGAGGGCTCGTCGAGCTCATTGCCTTTCGACGAGAACCGCTGCTCGCTCATCGTTGTCCTGCTCACGGTGACGAGCGCCTACTCTCGATAAACTCTCATGACTTGTGATTCACGACGCATCCCCCAGGCGGATTCCGACGAACACCAACGGAAAACCCGATGTAGTTTCCCCCAGAAGACGAACTCCCATGATCATGGATATAAATTCTGCTTATTATTATCGATTGAAATGAGCCGGTGGGTGGGTTGATTGAAGGTGTCTGCATGATAGCGTTGCATATATCTCTGGCAAGTAATTTGAATATGTGAGCTAGCATGATTGGATGTCAATCTTTCTCCGAGAAAACCCGTCCCCGTGAATGTCGAAGATTGTTCAGATGATAATCATTCTTCATGATCCCCGAATTCGACGCTTCATCTCAGAGTGGGTGAAGTTTCTCTCGATCTTGGTAGCGTGCTCCCCTGCAAAATGGGATTGCCGATTATTATAGAAACTTCTGAATCATCGGAAGCCGTGAACGCCTGGTTTAGGTGTTTCGAAGCCGTAGCAGTGGAGCATCGATGCCGCACCTTGAATGAGTTTTTCCTCGTCTGCTCTGCCGGGAAATCCGGACTGAGCAAATTGGGATTCGCTGATCCCTGTCCGGGTAGAGCTGGAACGATAGGGAGACGAATATTTTATCCATTCCGGGAGAGTCGAATTTTTTCGGTGTCGGGGATAGAGCGCCTCAGAGAGCTCCCTTGGCCTGGAGTCCTGGAGCTATCGGACTGCGTTCAGAGAGATGATAATTCCCAAAACTCACGTGAATCGTCCGCCGACAAATCGAAACGACTTCCTTGTCTGAGCAACATCCAACGGTCAGCATAGTACTTATTGACTTCAGTGATCTCGTACCTCTTTGAAGGTTTCTGCTCCATGAGTCTAGAAATAGAACTGACCTCAGCTCCGGCTGGCAGAAAACACCTCAGAGAAACATGAATTCTCGCATGACTCACCTCCTGAGCATCCGCAGAAGTCTAGGCGTGAAACGCTTGAATTCCCGGGGAGTTCGCGTCGTTCTCCGCTTTTGCCATTCCAAGAAATCGTTGAACCTCGAGAATTCATTTTTTTGAAAATGTATCAAAGCTGATAGAAAATATCGAGACCTATTTTCCGAAATTGGAGCTGTTGCCCGGGAAAACCTACCTCGGATCCGTGATATCGGCTTTATCCCATGGAAATCTGTCTGTCAACGCTATGAAGATGAGCATAGCGATTTGCCATACGTCTGAGCCGAGTTCCACGTGGTACCTTTAATTCGTAGAGGAAAAGTAGCTCTAGCTCTTGAAATGAGTGCCTGCTTGAAAGAGAAGGAAAGCCCACAATGCTCACCCTTCGAGATTAACCATTTCCCAAATCTCCGGCGGACACGTAGGCAGAGAGCGCGTTCGTTTCTTGACCAGAGTCCCAGCTCGTCTCGTAAGACCGAAATCCGTCAATTTCACCTAATCGAGGGGATTGGGAATCAATTTCCGGATTCGGTTCACCCGAAGCTCATTGCTATCGAGAGCGCCATCGTACATTACCCGCTTACCTTGCGCAAATCTCTAGTGAAGAGCAATATATTCTCCGCGCGTACGTCACGATGGACGAGATCTTTGCTATGCATGAATTCCAGGGCAGGTACGATTTGACGCAAAACGATTTTCAAATCCGACTCTTCCAAGCCGCCTTCTTGTTCGATGACCTGCTCAAATTCGATACCGTTCAGGAATGGTCCTACACGTCTGAATAGAGCTCAATCCATCGCTTCGCGACCCCGTATACTCGAGGTGCATCCATGATGTGGGATAGTTTATACGCCACGCCGCAGATTTCGGGTGATACCCACCTGCCACAAATCTCCTAAGGGGGCGACTTCCTGTGCGAAGTAGTAATAATGTGTTGTCTCGAACGAGACATCATAGGTATCCAGGATACAGGGATGTGGAGACAGGAAATACGAATAGTGGAACTCTATGAGGAAGTCTCTCAGAAGCGTCGCGGCTTTCGGTACGGCTTTCAGTGCAACCTTGAATAAGATCTGATGCTTAGCTTTTTTTGCAATAGCTTTACGCTGCGGTGTCGTCCGCGAAGAATTCGAGCGTTCCAGGTCATGAATTATCGCGAAAGACATCCGAGAGCCGAGCTGGGTTATTCGCTCGATCACCTTCCAGGGCAGATCGGAAGAAACGCGTGCATCTGAGCGGTGCTCCTCCGGGTCTTCAGAAGGTCAATCGGGAATCACGGGGCTTCTAGGTAGAGAAATCTAGACCTTCTCTCTTGAGCTTCTTCTCTGGGTCCTCTCGAGGGATATGAAGCTCGTAAATCACATGCAGGAAGGACTCGGAAAAGCTCAGAAGCTCCCTCTTGCTTCCAAAAACTCTGCCGAATCGTTGAGCAAGCTGAGCTATCGAGGGAATTTTTTACATTCCGCCACGAGCGAGTTCGCCAAGCTAGAGACAGATCGACTCGGATCGTCCGAAACATTCGACTAAGCGAAGGTGTTCTTTTCGCGAGCGAGTATTTGACTAAGAGGTCCGACCGGATATCAGGTCAACTTAGACTGGGGGGAGCACTCCCAAGACAGGGAGGGCCCGTAAATCCCCGTTCTCGGATGCACATGCAAGCTTTCGAGCTTGGGAGCAGGCGCGAGGAGGCTGTAGTCCTTAACTATCAGTTATCCGGTTATAAAGATATGTCAGCGTACCTCAGTAGAGGTGAACCTGTTCCTTGCCAATGATACTTTCCCGTAGTCCCCAGATCCGATTTCCCTGAGTATGTCGTATTCTTGTTCGATGTCTTCCATCCAAGGGAGGGTCAACTCTCGAACGCGTGAAATCGTCGCGGATCGCTTGAGACTGGTCTCCATCTTCCGCGGGAGGATCGAGAGCCTTACGAGTTGAGCAGAATACAAATACCATGCGACGATCGCCTTCCCGTTCTCTGGGGATGTCCGATGATGAGAACAACAAAATCGAATATTCCGTAATCTCAACTCGACTTATACTCGGTCGGTGCTTCACTGTCTGAGTACGTACTGCACGTCGAGTGATTGAATGGCGCTTGCACCTGCGTGCTGGTCACAATTCACGGGAACAGGATGACCCCGGACCGTTTGATGTTCATGCTACAGGCGGTGGTGACTGTGGGCATCTCGGAGTTGGCCTCGCGTTTCGCGAGGTGTTATCGCAGGGTTCAAGTCCGCTCCCTTTCGGAGCACGCCGAGCACTCAACACTCACTAGTCCAGAGAACGAAAATTATAGAGACAAGAGCGGATCGGTCGTGAGTGACTTGAAGAGGTTCCCGATGATGTCGATAGATAGGAGCTCGACGACGACGACAACGACGATGACTAGATGTGAACGACGACACTGACCACAACAACACGTTCAGGAGATGGAACAACGGCAACGAACTAGGTCGAGCTGTGATCAGCTGAGCTGTGAACCGTTGCGCGAAGCCAGCTTGTTTGCGGAGGCGGAGTCAGCCACATAAATTGCGCATAGGTTGCTAGCGTTAAGAAAGCAACACCCGGACAATCCTATGCCTCGATGCAACGGGTAGGACGTCTCGGCAGATAGCAGCGCACCCAGGAGAGGCAGGGTGTATAGAGTGCGCGAGCCGCCTGCCTGTTTGCCCGGCTGCTCGTTCGCGACCGGCTGTGAGACTAGCGAGCCCTGTTTGGCGCTTGCCGGGTCGGTCGGTCGCGCGACCTCTCTCTGGGTCTCGAAGCAGTCGTCGAAGACGCTACCGTTGCCCGAGCTGGCCACCAACAGTCGTGCCGCGGCGGTGAGAAGGCAGGCACGCAAGCAAGCCGCAGCAAACCAACCAACAAGACAGTCATCAAGCGAATGAGAGAGCAAGCCACCCAGTAGCCGGTTAGCCGAGCTAACACATAGTCGCGAGCCAGTCGTCGCTTCAACTCAGCTTCCCGGCTAGCGAGCAGGAAGCTGCGGACTAGAGTTCCCTCTTTGACGAAGACGACGCTAGAGCCACGACCGGTCGGCGCAAGCCGAGATACAGTCAAGCCGAGAGCCAATTGGACGACAGTCGCCATCGAATCGTAATGCGACAAAAGTGCCTGCAATAGCCCAGGCAACAGACGAGGAACCAGGTAAATGAGAAGTCCGAGAGATCGTTTGGCCGCTGCCCTCGCTCAGGACGAGCTCTTCCGTCGGACGGAAGGGTTTGGGTGTTTCGAGCTACCTGATTGTTGAACGCTTCGTTTCTTCGAGACACGTGGCAACATTCAAGAAATCCTGTCCCAAGCAATTAATCTGCCCTCAGTCAGTGGGATGACTGATGACCTTCGCATCAATCCTGGAATCCTGGCTCTCGCCGCAATATTATTCAATTCCTGGGCGAAACTTCATATTGGCCAAAAAGTAGAGAAGTCAACAGCTGAGGTCGGGTGGTTTCTCGATGCCGATCCATCGATGTCCCTCCTTCGCTCAGTGATCTTCATGTAGAATCACGTCACCGTCACCACTTGTCCCCTGTGCTCCCGGAATTCTTCGACATTTCGGAAGTAGTGGGTTTTTCTGCTGTCGAGAAGGTCGCGTCCGACAATCATTCCGGGAGAATCACCAAATGCCACCACATACCCGTGAGAGCGACATCTACAACTCCTTCTACGCAATCAGACAATCCTAATGCTGATGAGTAAATTCGATCGAATCCGGAATGTCTTCTACATCAGCAACTCGAGTTCCCCTCATGCTGACCAGGAGGCTTACGGGAAGCTTCACGGGAGCTCTTGTCAACAAGCCATCGAGACACCGAGGCCTCTTACAGAGGCGTCAACTCATGCGTCCTTCCTTCACGATTTCTCGACTCGCATGATCCGAAAAAATGAGATTGTGAGAGCGGATCCTTCCCTTTTCAGATATCTTCCATCAGATATTCTCTGCCAGAAGCAAAACCGAGCTCAAGTGACAGCGGGACTGGCCGCAAAAAGCAGGTGGGAGGGCACCAAGGCATTTCGTCGGGTGGTTTCTCATTGTCAGACGGGTGAATGCCCCGTATAACATTATGGAACAGTGAGTTGGTCAGAAGTCAGGACCGGAAGCGGATTCGCGCGACAAGCCTGGGGGTTCTATCTCTTATATGCATGATGTGTCGAGCGACACGCTCATTCATACGGGTAGAATGAATTTGAGCGGTCCATTTCCGAGTATAGCTTTGCATGGTATGCTTCGTGTATATGGAGGACAATTTGGCGTTCGGATCTCTCGTTCTTCCGAGAGCAAGTCAATCCGCGCTATTTTGCGCTCCGTCGAATGTAATATTCCATGTTCCTGGGACCGTTGAGAGTACCTGCCCCGGAGAGGAACTCCGACGACGCGGAGTGGTAGTTGATATCATAGGTGAATTTATATGTGGAACAAATGAGGGTTCATCAACAGAAATTTTAATAGGTAGATGTAAGTCACCTTGTGTGTCTGAATGTTTGAACGGGGCTTCTACCTCCGGTACTCCTTGACAGACTCGGAAATGTCGGCTCCGTCTCCGGCTGCAGCGTCTGTAGTCCGTCACCGGCATCGTTGACTCGCAACAGACGATCATGAAGAGCTGTCAGGATCGGAAGACGATACGCAACCGGAAGACAGGTCCGGAGGGGCCTCGGTTCCACGCTTGACGAGCCCGTCCAGACAAACCGATAGCAGCGCGATTCGAAAGCTCGACTTCACTATTTACGGAATTCTTGAGCATCAGATAGAAAGTTCACAATTGTTGAGCAATGTCATAGCCGTGCAGTAGGATGAGGGATCGCAGAATGATCAGAACCGGAATCAACTTCTCCCTGAACTTCCGATGCCTCCGGTGCGATGCATACATCAGAGGACATTCATCGCGGCGTTTGTGTACCGCGAACGATTCACCGAAAGGGAGGATAGTCCACTCCATGCTGTGCTAGTTAAGAAGTGGAAGACTTGGCTCATCAATGCCTGGGCGAACACGGATTTTTCCGGAAGATTCCGCGAAAACGGTCTGTAATCGTATGTCTTACCGGGTCAACCGAAGAATGCGGTGTCCGGTCCTGTTTGCCCGAGAAAGCTAGGCTCGAGGGCCCGCTTCCATAGTTCCAGTTCTAATAACCGCGCTGCCGTTAACCGACAACTTTGCCTCGGTTCCTGGGGCGAGACTTCGCGACTTCGAGATAGGGGAGAGCCTGGAAGACGGCGGACGCTTCATCGATTCCGGCGTAGGAGATGAAACCTTACTATAGATCTAGTTCGAAAGCCCTTGAGCGATGGTCAGGCGGTCCCGTAACGTTCGAGTGCGATCGATGGGAGCGATCATCACTGGGAGTCTCTGGATTTCAGAATTTCCTCTTCAGCAGGAAGATTGAAGGTAACAAATCTGCGGCGCCAATGCAAACGAAGTCCGTCTTGATAAAGAAACGTCAACGATACGACAACATTATGCTTATGCTTCCGTTGATCCATATAAGTCATGATCATTTACATATGTTATATTTCTCTTCGTCGGGGGCGATCGCTCAGTGGATCGCTCGGGTCTCCTCTTCCCATCATTGTGGCTGTTGCTCCATTCCATAATTCAATGCTCGTCAAAGGGAAAAAGAAAGCTTCCCCCTCCCCCGTCGATTATTCCGAAGGCTCCAGAAGAATCTATTGACCCGGATCGGTACATGACCCGATGTAGACACGTACATGAAATTCTAACGAGACATCCTTAGTTGTCCGGAATGTCAAACGCCAACGGAAAACGACATAGTTCGTCCGCCGCGCCGCTCCCGAGCCGGGTTCAACCAGAAACGCTCTGGGTATTCACCATGAAGCTCCAGAATTCGCGGGTTCTGCTTCTCGGAGACGTAACGATAACTCGTTGAAGGGTGTCTCGCGAACGTGCGATTCGACTCAACAGGGTCCGCGGTTTCTCCTCGAATGCCGACAATCGTTGCGAATGCTCGAGGGAAAAACGCCGGATACCTCGGTGCCTAACTGATGAACACCAGAAAGTGCGGAAAAGGGCAGATAAACGTCGCGTGTCCCAACCTCACGTGCATTCCAATTTCACAGAACGAAACAGAATTGTGAGATCTATCCCTGAAAGATTTCGCGAAACGGCAGTGCGAAGATCTCTGCCGACGCTCACTTAGAGTCAATGACCGCTGATCAAGTTGCCAGAATCTACGGGGAGCATCAAGAAAGCTTATCTGACTGAGAGGAATTTTCAAAGTCAGATGACACCGAGCTCTGCGGAAGGAATCACCGTCGAATTCGGTTGTCGATTCGAATGATGGCGGAGGATTTTAAAGTTTATCATCGCCACGCATCGAAGCGCGGTCGACTCACGATCGAGGATGAAGCGCTCGCACTTCGCCGCACTTGCCATTCTCATCTGAGTCTTTAGCGGCCCACCGGCGAAATCGAGGAATACTCGGCGGGATACTCCTCCACGTACATATTTCCTCCGGTCGAGTTTAACGATGAATCCTCGTCGTAGGAGTCCACCATCGACTAGATTTCTGAGAGTCTGCTCGAAACCCTTGCTCGAATGAAGATGGACTCGGCGTGGTCTGAGTTGGACTCTAAGAGTTGCCGTTTTCCCGTGGCGTTTTCGATCGTGGAGTAGTTGACGAAAACGAGTGGAGGGGACATTGACGTCCGCATTCGGGAAATCTCAAGCAGCGGCTTAGCGTTTCGGTGAATTCTCCGTTACCAACAAGCAGCCGTGACGGAGTCGAGTCCTGACTGAAGAACTCTCTCCCTCTTTTCACGTTTGAAGAAAAGTTCGCTTGGCGCATCTTCAATCTTCAGCTGGAATCGGCGCCAGTTTGCCAGCTCTCCGCTGCGTCCCACTGCAGTCGGTGGCAAGCGACCTCTCGTCATTCAGTGAACGCCTTCATTATGAGCGGCGGTTGTCAACATAACGGAGGACTTCTTCTGCGCTTCTGAGCAGTGTTATTAAAGTGCTGTGGCCTCGTACTCGCTGTCTGTCGCGGTCAGCGCCTCTCGCTCCTGGTTCAGTCGGAAGACCGTCGCCGAGATGCCTCGATCGTTCATCGGTTCAATTGTCCTATTAGTGGGTTATGCTGTTTTGTGCGACGGTCAAGATACCAGTGCTCTGATTTCCGGTGAGTATAGTAATTCGCTGCCAATACCTCGTGCATATGACTTCTCTGCTTCTCGGGCTCCTGCCCGCCCGCTTGCTCGTGTGCGCTCGTAATTTTTCCTGCTGACTCCGTGGCTTCCTGAGCTCCTCGATCGAGGAGCTTCAGCGTAAATATGGGAGTGCTCGAGGAGGCATGCGAACGAAGTCTACGTCGATCCTGGCCTGTCTTCTCCACTAGATACTGCTTGAACGATTCGGAAATTTTTCGGGTCTCGATGAGGCTTCACCTCTGTGATTGCGTTCGGATCACCGGTGCCATTGTCGCCACAGCGTCAGCCTCCGCTGTCTATCTGCTTACTAAAAGAGCCAACCCTCGTTGTAGGCATCTTGGGCAGTCTAACATCCACGACTAAAGATCGAGGCTGTCCTGGGGAATGCGTTCACGCAATCACCTCTCTGCTGTGCGAGCAAATTCTCGCCGACGGTCAGTGTGGTGCCGCGTATCTGCGTTGCTGTGTCGCATCAAGCGGCGATACAAGCTCAAAGGATACCAAAGCGCCAGCTCTTGAGAATCCTCCCGCAGTTCAGCCCCAAACCACTTTAGAAGCCAACGTGACCGAGGGAGCTTTAGGTAGGGCGTGACTCATCGGACATTAGCTTCCCGTTTGAAGTAGCTTTGAACTCGCGTCTTGCCACAGCATCTCATGATGCGCTTTCCAACAACCAGGCTTTCAGGAGACTCCTATTTCGATTCCAGACAAACGGGTCGAGCCGGACGTGCCGATTCTGACAATCGCGGCGTCGAACACCTCCCAAACAGAATCTCAACTCAAAGATGAAGTCTCGACCGACGCTTCCGATTCGAATAATTGTCCCGGAGCTTGTGTTTCGTTCACGTCGTACTGTCAAACTCGCGTACCGGAAGGACAGTGCTCGGAGGGAATGATTTGCTGTCTCCAAGAGGACTCGCAGAAAGTGATCGAAAAGAAATCCGGGAATCCCATCGAATGTCCGGGCAGCTGCGTTTCCTCCCTGTTCAGTTTGCTGTGCGACAAAGTTGATTACACTGCAACTTGCTCATCGGGCGGGGCGTGTTGTCTCAATCCGGAACCGACGACTACGGAGTCTCCGACGCTTCCTCCGTTCCAGCAGTGTCCCGGGAGATGTCTCCCGAACTTCATGCACAACACGTGTCGAGGCCAAGGGAAATACGTGGTCAACTCTCAAACGAACTGTCCCCCGTCCACAATCTGCTGTTCAGGTGCTCCGAACGAAGTTTACACGAACGATCGCGGTCCCGACGGTCCGGGAATCATCCTTACTGGTCCGAACAGCCCCCATGCCCCACCGTTCCCGCCGTCGACGGCCTTCAGTCTACCGCAGATGAGCAATTCTCAATCGCAAACATCCAATTCGAACCAACAAGCTCACAATACCGCCGAAATGTTTGGAGTGCCGAGGCCGATACGGGAGGAAACGGTCGGACCCATCACGAGCGCCGAACTCGTGACGAAAATCGCCAGTACGATCCATTGCCCGGGCAGTTGCATAGCTCCTCTGATGAAGTTCACCTGCTTCGGATCAAACAACGTTTATCCCCATTTCAAGTGCACCGAGGGCTACGTCTGTTGCGCAGATACAGGAGATGCGAAACGAATCCTCGGCAACGCGATAATTCTCTACCAAGTAGGATCTCTTTCGCAATCTGAGCATACGATTCCACTGAGTGAACCGGACAGACCGATTTTCGAGTCTCGGCCGCCCTCCTCCTCTGGAAACTATCTCCCAGTGGATACGAACAAACTGAATCCAGCTAGTGAGCCCCAAGAATCACAACTGCAGCCGGTTAATGTTCGAGTCCCACCGTCCCACCACAGTTATGCACCTCAGTCGTCCGCGAAACCCTCTGCGGGGTCGGCCTCGGCTCAAGCCGGATTCGTGCCCGCTTTCAAGCCGAGTCAGAAGAACGCGATGCAGTCTCCCTCGAATTCCCCATCTCAGGAAAGCGGTCACCAGGTGCCCTCGATGCCAACACCCCCGCCGCCGCCGTCGAATGCTCCGCCGGTACACCTTCCTGTCAAGCCACTCCCGCAACCACCAGCTCCGCCGTTGACGGTGCCACTCCCGAATGAGAAACCGAAGACACCCGCATTCCAGATTAAGGTTCCCAACCGAGGAACCTTTCTGGGAAGCAAGAACTTCAATCGTCCTTTCAAACCGATAGTCAATTCGAACTCGGCCAACAACGCGGGCAGAGTATCTCCGCCGGTGCTGACCAGCGGGGGTTTCGTCCCTGCGTCCTCACCGGCCACATCGACACCGATCTCGCATCCCAGTCCGCCGCAGAGAGCTCCGAGCCCAACAAAGAGTTCGTGATCTTCGTCGTATAAATTCCACGAGTATCCCGAGACCGTATATCCTCTGCTTCGATCTACAGAGAGAACTTAAACCTTGACGTGTTTTTGCAGCCGTAGTGAGAGACTCTCTCAGTTGTGGTCGGAGAGGAGGTTCGCGCCAGCAGCGTGTGAGTACCGATATCCGTGGGTAGTTCTCGGATGCCCGGATTTGGAGCACTCTGATATTCTTCTTTCACAGCTAATTCCGCAAGTTTCTTCTAGAAGTTGGAAAGAGTGAGGGATCTTAGAGTCGAACAATAATTTGCCTTTCGATGACGGATCGCTCTCCCGCATAGGTGATCGGTGGCAGGGACGCTCAGCATGGGGAATGGTGTTGGCAGGCTGCGATCTACAACGACAAAGGACAGTACGTCTGCGGGGGTGCGCTCATCGGACCTCAATGGATCGTCACCGCCGCTCATTGCGTCACGAAGTACGTGATGATTCCCTCTATCGGCTCCAGAGCATTCATTCAATAGTCTGGGATGTCGACGGCGACGCGAGCTTATGTCCGTTTCCATTCTATCTACAGGTACGTCCGGAACGGGGACACTTTCTTCGTTGAAGTTGGGTCCGTTGATCTCACAGCCCAGCACGGACACAGTCGTAAGAAAGCTTGGGCCAGCTACATACACCACAACTACAACGAAAACACCCTTGACAATGATGTCGCCCTGGTGAAAGTCCTCAATCCTTTTAACGTCAACACGAGCTCAGCGTGCATCGTGTGTCTTCCGGGAAAACACGGATCGAGAGTCGATCAATTGGACAGATGTACCGTAACAGGCTACGGAGCTCTTCATGAAGGCGGGCCTATTGCCATGAGAATCCGAGAGGTCAATCTGCCAATGGTCGAGGAAAGAGACTGCATTTCGAAACTGAGCATCGCAACCGAAAAACAGTTCAAACTCCCCACGAGCACCTTCTGTGCAGGAGGCGAGGAAGGGAGTGACGCATGCCAGGTAGGGTTCCCCCAGGGTGATCCGCGACCACATCCAGGGAGGTCTCCTTCCCTCCGCGAATGGCTTCAAGCTCGATGAGGTCAATGAATCATTCGTTACAGGGCGATGGCGGCAGTCCCATGGTTTGCGATATGGGCGGCTTCTACGAGCTGAAGGGCTTGGTGTCCTGGGGATTGGGTTGCGGACGTCCAGATGTCCCTGGAGTTTACGTGAAAGTGTCCTCTTTCATCGGATGGATCAATCAGATCATCAGCGTCAATACGTCCTAAACGACATCGTCGTCGTGTAAGCTGTATATACGACAACCCATGAGCTCCCAAGTTCGGGAAGTCCCGACGTGATGCTTGCGCTCTCCAAATGTAATTTTATACAGCCTCTAGAACAAAAGTTCCCGAGACGGGAGCCTGGAACCCCTTGGGGGTCCCTCTCCTCGGGGCTCTGAAGATAGAAGAAAATGAGTTATGTTGTGATCCTTCGAAATAATATATTCGATGTAGCTTGCGAGAATGTCGACCAGCCCTACTGCGTCACAATTTATAGCTGTACCGACTGAGGTTCATTCGATGAGAAACAGTTACATTTTCTTTGTCTGGCCAAGCTTCCGACCAGTACTTCCGGAAAAACATCGTGAGGCACCCCAAGTTGGGGAGGAATCGAAAACTGCTGCTCTAGAAGTCGAAGCCCGAAAGGCTCAATCGATCGATCGAGTCGCTCGGTGAAAATGGATGAGACAAAAAATAAGAGAAGCATGCTGCCCTTGCATACAAGCGCCTCTGGTGGAAAAGACGCGATGCGATCGGCACGACGCACAAAGTAATACAACCGCACTAGCTTCCACCAGGGCTCAAAAGTTCAGGAGTCTGAGAATACGATCTGTGAGACTCCGTCGAACGAAAATCCCCGATGGAGGATGAAGCAGTCCGATGAGGGACATTAGGAATTGTTGGTGAGGATTTCTGCTCGGAATTCAGCGGAATCCGCTCGTCGCTTATTCGTGCACATGAGTGTTGCAAGTATCGTGGAACTTGTCGTGAGAAGTTTCAAGTCGGATGAGACTCGGAGACTTTTCGCAGGCCTGCTCTCAAGGACGGCATTCCGCGATCGAGACGAATGTTGAGCTGAGCCGCGATTGATGTCCCACTCGAATTAGCTTATTTACGAATAAATTATAACGTATTATCCAATCAAAGTTCCGCGAGCTGCGGCCAGCTGTCGTCAACACCATTCAGTTCAATTTTCATGCGTGGTTCCTCGAGTGCCTTTCAGTTTCGCACAATTTGCTCTCTCGACATTCGGATTAGAATGGATCTGACCGACTGCAGTATGTCGCTTCCAGCGTTTTCATTTCCCTTCGACGACGCGCGGAGCGCCCGGAAAAAAGGATTGACTTCGAAGGAAGTAGTAATTCACCTTCGCTCTTGCATGTGCAAGATGCTTCGAGTTCAAAAGAGGGGCGAATGCTCGAGCATCCTTTCCGTCTTTCTTGGATTCAGATCCTCGGTCGAAGCCAAGGAATGATATTTCGTCCGGTCCTACGATTTCGAAAACTTCCCAATCGTTCCGTTCTTTCTCCTGGGGACAAAATTGCCCAGGGATTCATCCGCGACGGTTATCATTGATCCTTCAAAACTCTCGATCTTGTCGTTGTTAATTAAACCAGGGAGCCCAGTCCACGGATCTTGCATATCCAAATCCTCGGGGAAGCGATTTTCGGTGGCGCTGTCGCGAGGTTGTCGACTTTCGAAGCCGCAGCGCACATCTTCTGCGTTTGAAACTGAAATCCCAGACAGCGGTCGAATACCCGCTGTTTCTGGGGAACACAGCCCGAAGATCAGACCTACACAGCAGCGTGTATATCCCTGCGGAACATCTGGATTATTACTTTTGCGCTCGAACAGCTCAGGAGAAATTAAGGAGAAATTCCCCTCAAGTGACAGTGGGCTAGCCCACTCGGTTTGGCGACAAGTGTCAGCGGAGGCGCCATATAAACAGCAGAATCAAAGCCTGAAGAAGTCGCGGTGCACTCGGTTCGGAACCGGCGGAAAGTACCAAGCTGAGTTCACCGGTCTGAGCCGCACTCCACCATGCAATCGGCACAGTCTCTCGAGAAGATGGATACTCGGAGCGTCCAGAATATACTTCAGAATTCAGGCCCCCTCGAAGCCCACGTCAATAGAGCGCGTGAAGCCACAACAGCAAGAGAAATCAAAGATATAATTGAAAATGCCGTGGAATCTCCACAGGTTCTGGTCTTCGGGGAACTCCTCGACTTGCCATCCGTGAAACAAGTGAGTCTAGACATTCGGTCCACCTGTAATGGTTCTTGCGCGGAAATATGAACCTTCGAGCGGACTCTTCGGAGTTGGAGCTATCCGGGCGCCTGATTTGGGATGCCGCCGGGAAGTGTTCGGATCTTGGCGGAGGGAATGCTCAAGCTTCGCAGCAGAAACCCTGCCCCTGGAATTCCACCGTACCGTTCCTCTCCGACGTTGATCCCTTCCGTGACCCTGAATCACCAGAAGTCCGCATTGAATTTCGGAGACTCATGTGTACAGCCGTGATCATATCAATATGACTATCATTCTGGCAGAGAAGGAATGGTTCGAATGACTTGATCGTCCGTAGGAATCATTCAATGGGTCGGAACTTCCAACGCGAACTCATTTTCAGTTAAGGGAGACCGAGTACGCAGATCACTTCAGACTTCTCGAGCTTTTCGCTTACGGGACCTTCAGAGACTATCAGAGTAAGTTCTATCGCAGACTGTCTCCTCGCTGATATCGAGCAGTTCCCGGAGCTTACTACGGGGAGCTTTGGAGGTGGAACCAGGTTCCGATGCTAGAGCCGGAGCTTTCATTCCACTCATCCCTTCATGAATTTCGTTCCAGGAGATCAAAATCCGTATCCACAACTGAGCGAGGCCATGATCAAGAAACTCCGGTATCTGACGGTAGCATCGCTTGCCTCGCGCTCTCGATCTTTGCGGTATTCAGAGCTGCTCACCGAGCTTGGTCTCTCGACTCGACGAGAGCTAGAAGATCTCATTATCGAAGCAATGTATGCCCGAATCGTCACTGGGAAACTCGATCAACGCAGCGCAAGTCTCGAAGTGGACCGTGCCTTGGCCAGAGACGTTTCCGAAGATTTATCTGCCGTCAGTCGAGTACTGGAAAATTGGAGCGCCAGTTGCGAAGCTACGTTAGAAGCGATCGAGAAGGAGTGTGAGAGATCGTCGAGGCTGAAAAACCAATATCAAGAAAGATTGAACGCTTTGGAAACCCGCGTGCTATCCCTGAGAGCGGCAAACAACGACGAATCAGAGGAGCAGCCTGCTTCAAAACATAAGGTTCGAGTGAAAATGTAGACCTTCGTGATCGAGGCAAGAATAAAAGCATTTTAAGAGGTTCCCGTGGAAGTTCGTTTCGATGAAGTTCGTCGTCATCCGGTCTCTCGTCCACCTGGTTCTCAGGGCTACATCGGATTCTACACGGTTCGGCCAACCGAACATCCTCGTAGCCGATCAGACCCTCAAGACAAATGTACATACCGTATTTCCCCTAATAGGAGGGCATGTTCTTATTAGCGAGCATGCTCTATTTGGCGGGCATAGTTTCAGAGATCTTATCCAGACGGGCATATTTAATTAACGCGCACTCTCCTGAACCTCTATTTGACGGGCACCCTCCGAGCGTAGATTCTAGAACGAACGTCTCACGGAAAGTTCAGAAAGTTCTATCCGGCGGATCTCTGTTGCCATTACGAACCGCGGAAGAGTCGCTGAATGTTCGGCGTTGCTGACTTTTCTTTGGAGAGATCGATTCTAAAATAGATAAATCTCCCGATCTAGACGGACATGCTCTTATTAACGGGCACTCCTAATTAACGGGCACCCCTTTAGAGCTTCTGAACGATAAACGGGCAGGCCCCCTTATTAGAGGAAATACGGTATATGTATGAAAATATACGCAGGTGGTTCGATATATCGGCGCGCCCCCTTGAACACGTCGCCCGCGCGGAGCCACTGGCAGAAATGAAACCATCGTCCACGTGACAACAGTGTCCTATTCCTCCAAGTTTTCAAACGAGGGCCCTCATCACCGAGGCATCGGATAGAGGCAGGGTGCCAGAGGGCTTCTTGTAGACCCAACATACATGAGGCTTTATCCCGGATGCGTCATCGGACCAAATGGGATTTGCGGAGTGAGCATTTCGGTTGGCGTTGGACAGCCCCTTGCCGACGGGTGTCATCGTATAGAGATCGTTCGCTCCTGCTGTCATCCATGCCCGCCCATCTCCCGTCGTTCATATACGAAGCGGATGTCACGGCCTCCTGTCCCATATCTTGGATGATATTTCTATTTCTGAAAATTCACGCCTCTATTCCGTTCGGAAATGAGCAAATGAGCTATTCAGGTTCGTCGATACGCTGGACTGTGCGCGAAGCTTCTTCTTGAACCAGGGAGATCTCGACAAGTGCGGGAATAATGATCTAGAAGCGCGTGGCCGGGGATGTTCCTCCGACACCAAGAGCACAGGGTTGTTTCCATTGTCCTCGTCTTGCACAGCTCCAAGCCCGCTCCCGGGACAGTGAGTGACTCTCATCCATCGTCGAGACGAACTCGTGCATACATATCGTGGCGCAGAAATTCAAGTTCGAAGAGCGACAAACACTTGATGAAGGTGGTTCTACGCAAGACCCCTGGAACCGTCGATGTACATATCTATCTCTACGCGGCATCAGAGCGCGATGACTGCTCTCGGCTCTCTGACGCCTGAGCGAAAAGGCTTCCGAACTTTTGATTGTAAGCAATGATTTTGAGCAGGAGACCGATGCTCGAGCAAGCTGCGGAGAGTGCGCATCGCCTGACTCGAGGATCATGCTCTCCATCACGCGGTGCAGCGAACGATTCGGGGGATAGGTGAGCATGCCATCAAGTGTAATTGGCTCTGATCCGAAATGAGAATAGCATGCTGTATTCTAGCTCAACGCTGTCTGTGATTCTTCGTGCATTGCACTTCTTTGTTCCGAGATAATCCTGCGCTCGGCCAGCGGGCGTCATTCACGAAAGATCGGACTTTTCGGTCAGAGCGAAAAATGTACCTCGCCAGACATGAGAAATATCAATACGGAATATTTAGGAACATGGCCCGTCGTCATAAGCGACCAACATTCTGGCAAGTGGGCATAGGTTAACGTCGACCGTCGGAATCAATGTCGGTATGTGAAGTTTGCGCAGCTGATATCAGGAAAAATTTCAATTCCTCCAATTAGGCCATGAATTATTTGCCGACTGAGTCTCCTGAGCCACAGTGAAGAATCAGACGAGATCCCTGCTCAGGGAAGAAAATCCCAGAGACTTGCGAGCTCGAATTCCCCATGGGATCCGTCGGGATGCACGTTTTCTTTTCAATCGGCTCTCTGATTTCGCTATGCATCGTCTATACTAGCGCAGAGCCGGTGACACAAGTAATGGGGAACTTCGATCCTGGAAAGGTGAGATATTTGAGTAGATACGGCTGTGATCCCCATCATCCAGAGTGGTAAGTGGCGGGGCTGCAGGACATTACCACCCGCATGCACGCTCAAAGTCTACAGGAATTCCCATGCCCAGTTTGTAGGAAAATGGTGGTTGATACGAGTGACAGAACGCGTTTTCAATAACGACGAGGACTGCGCGCATTTTGTAGTCACGAAGAAACAAGACAATATCTACCACGTTGTATCCCAGTTCCATAAGACGAAAAGGTTTGTGATCTCATGATGGAGAGTGCGAGTCATCCTAGATCAGTCAAACAGAACGTTCCAATAACACTCATTAAATGAACAATCAGCGACACGATCCGCGAGCTGAAATTTGACGTCGTGGACGAGAGGGAAGAACCCGCGGTCTACGATCTACTCATAAATGGTGAGATTCCCGATGTGGTGGGAGCAAGAACCGGATGCAAGCTATCGGGCGGCGACGTATTCTGCGCAATACGAACAGACTGAAGCGAGCTAACTGAACTGTATCGCAGGCAAGAAGTTTGTAGAGGTGAAGATCCTAGGGACGGACTACGATAATTGGGCTGCTATATACATCCAAGAAGGCACTTACAGTGAGTATATGTATTCGAGCAAGGAGTGTTCTTTTCTTCTATCATCTTCTTGCTTTTTCTGAACTTACATTCTTCTATATGCATATTTATATTTACAGGTATATACGCGATTGCGTCTCGTGGTCCGAAACTCGACGCTCAACATAGCCAGGCTGTCAATGAGATCATGAAGGCCAACAATGTGAACCCTGATTTCCAAGAAGTCAATGGAGCCTGTCCTGACACTATTTAAGGCTCATGCAACAGAACGACGCATTATCGCGACAGATTTTCGCTTATCAGACTGCCTCTCATCGCGAGTAGGCTCCTATTGAAGTACAATACATCATCATAATAAACCATAAGAGACACGACCCCGCGGACCGGCTTGATTTCGAAGATGATCGGAGCAGCGAGTCGAACTGCGACCGCCGTAAGGGCTCGCTCCCTTCCGCACATCGACTTCCGCCCGGGGTAGGATTTGAAACTGCGCTAGAATTCCTCTTGGTATTCGTCGACTGGGGCAATCTATTTTCGCTACTAATTGCAGTCTAGTTCGACCTCGATTCAAGGGTGAGAGCCGCCGAGGACTGTTTAATCTCTTTTTGATTGTGATAATGTTTCCCTCGCTCGCGACGGGGGCGAGCATCGTTTAAGAGCTCAGTACGATCTTCTCCTGGAAGATTCTATCGACAGCTCCGCCATGAGAGGAGCGACCTTGAGTTTTCTAATTTTAATCTCCTCGATGGTGCCAAGCTCGACGCTGCCCCCAGGACCCAAACCACACCCCCCGAAAAGAATACCGCCCGCTGCACCGTACCCGACGGCACCTCCTCCCGCTCCGCCTTATCCCCTTTATCCGTACATCAGGATACGAGAGCCACCAAAGAACCCATGTGCTCGCATGGCCGGTCAGGTGAGTTACCTACATGTAGATCTTAATAGAGCCGGAAAATAGAAATGAATTCTAGGATACAAAAGCCAATAGGGGACATCCGGGATCTACGGAATTTTTCCCTTACAGGATTGCCGTACGGGTTGCTGCTATCCTAGCTTGGTCTGTCATGCGAACTCCTTCAAGTGCATCAGCATCTATCGAATTACCAGCAGCGGCTATACGCGACCTCCCGTGAGACGTTGACTCTTCATATGAGCAAGAGACTTCCGCGAAATTCGTGCCGTAATTCCACCCGCATGACAGTTTCGATTGGCTCGCGCAACGGAGCCCCACACTGATCGATCCAAGCTCCTTCGTTCGAAAACTTCCGGCACGTCGTTCCTCACGTCAATTTCTGTCTATACGTATATGCTTGTAGAGGAGCCGAGCATGAGGCCGACACTTCATTAAACTCTCCGACCACCGTCATAGATCACCAGCGAACATGAACATTCTAGTCCATCATGGCTCCGGTAACCAATCCGCGCGTCAATCTCCAGGCGAGACGTCCTTGCTTAATTTACCAAGAATTGCAGCTCGGCTGCTCGCGTCATCGCTCCGTTCTTTCCACAGTCCGGCGTGAGCAGCCCCTCGCCCATATGGACCAACAACAAGACAGCTCACCCGATCGGCTACCAGCCGCTCGATATTCCTCCAGCTGATTCTCGAAAGGAAGTTTCGCTGCCATGTGACAGCTGACGCACGCCGATCCAGAGCTATATTTTTGTGTATGATCAGTGGATGAGTCGACCCGAGGGGAGTTTCAAGAAGGAGAGCGATACGATTGAATCGAATTGCCTAACGCATGTGTCGAAGATTCCTCCTCTCGACTGAGTTCTTTGACGGCTGGAGCAATCAATGTAAGTTCGCTCAACATCCCGCTCCGGAGAAGGACTATGGTACTGTCTATCCACGACCGAATTCAGCTTGATCCAGCATACTCGGACGCCAAAATGAACGGAAAATCACAGTGAATCAGAGTGACCGCCGTCGAGCTCGATCGTCGAAATGACTCACGTTGATCCGCTAACGGAAGCGCGTCGCACAGCATTTCCCTCGTCTGGAACCACTAGCTCTGGGAGGATTCAAATGTTTGAGAGTCATAATGGCCTTTTTGAAGAGTCGTCCCGCCTCTATGTAAATCTTGAGAATCCGAGTTTATGTTCATCCCGAACTTGAAATCACTCACAGGAGCTGGCAGGGGAACTACTGATGTTTCGGACAGCGTATCCATATCCACAACGAACTTGAAATTGGCGGAGCGTCAGTAATTCACTTCATGCACCGTTGATTAGGAAGCCTTCCTGGGCGGCTCCCATTTTTTTTGTGCATGATAAAGGCGATTCATTGATCGAACCGATGTTCTGCAAGCTTCACCCCGTTCGAGGCCCGCTGGCCTCTGTTACGAACAAGTGTCCGTAACATATATGTACAATAAATAATCCAGCCTTCCGTCTCAGCTTCACTCGAGAGAAGGAGTTTCGAAGCGCAGTTCTAGGCAAATGCTTCCCCAGGGGGGAGCCAAATATACTTCCGATTGCTCATTTAGTTCAGCCTCGCTGAGCTGCATCGTGAAACTCGACTTGATACTTCAAGAGCGTCCTATAATTCCCTGAAGGCCAAACCCACTAGAGTCCAGACGGCTGTATATCCGGCTCTCGTCGTATAGAGAGCTCAAAAACTTCGGAACGATATGATCTGGAATCGAGCGAGTTCTGACACGTTTCGAGACAACAATTGTGCTGTCCTGATGCTCGAACGCAGTCTATCTGTCAGGACTCGCGAGTGGATCTATCACAATTCCATTCGCATCCCGATTCAAATGATTGGCGCATGGGCCGATCTTGATCCCAGAGGATACGAGCCCCGAATCCTCGACGCTTTCTTATGGTCCGTGATTTGGTACGGAGACCAGGGATTCTGTTTCTGAGTGCCCGATCCTGCGGAAGAGGAGGAGCAGGGTTTGAGTTCCACGCGGGCCTCGATCGAGCGACTCCAGTCAGGGCAAACGGGCAATGGCACCGATCTCAGGAGCAGCCCACTAGATCAAAGTTTCCCTTTCGGAGAATCCAACTGCGGACACACTGTAAGAGGAGCTATACCAGTCTTCGTGTGACGAAAACTCGAGCTGCTCCTGTCGAGAACAATGCATGCCGGATTCGATATGATTGATGTTCGTGGAGACTTCATGCTTGTCTTCGGGATTTCAGCATGGAAAGCAAAATCTGTTCGTCGATCTCCGAAGCCGGCGCTTATTCCTATTGCGCCGTCCTCGCATTGGCTCTGCAGAAACTTTTCCCAGACGATACCGACGGCCAGTTCCGGCTCAAATTCATCAAGGACCTCTGCCGGCATCTCCATAGCGAGGTAAGGATCCCTACTGGGAAATTCGCGATGACAATTCCTCGAGGAGCTTGCGAGAACCTCGTCACTGCGTTGCTGATAGAAGGGGTCCGAACACTTTCAGGTGAAACCCGTCATGGTTGCTTTAGTGTCCGGAGAAATCAGCGGGAGTTACGAGCCATATTTCAAAATACTTAAGGAAGAGCCCGAAATCCGAGGCGACTTCTCAGTTTTCGTGAAAGATCTCATCCTGTTCTCCGTGAAGGACGGTGAGCTATCTAAGGACTCCCACGTCTGAATATGCTTAGAGACCAACGGAGCGAGCCGTGAATTGGTCTGACTTACGCCGCAGGTGTCTACGACGCCCGTTCCCGGGTTTGCATCCATTACGTCGCGATGAAACTCGCCCTACCGATTTCCGTTGTCGACGCAGCCGAACGCTCGCTGGTCCAATGTCTTTCGACGGAGAGAGCGAAATCATCATCGTGAGTACGACCCGGGAAGTTCTCGAGGCCTCACCGCCGGAAGTATCGGCCGCCCACCTTCCCCTCTCCCGGATCAAAGTCCGAAGTTTTCCACACCTCGAATCGATCAGGGTCTTCTGTTCCCAGCGCCGACGGTGAGGAAACCTCGAGACGCGACCGCACGAAAAAGATTAAGAGATACCTCATGATCGGAATCGCGACTGTCGGCGGAGGGGCCGTGCTTGGACTGACCGGAGGTTTAGCAGCTCCTCTAGTGGCCGCCGGCGCGGGAGCTTTCATCGGAGGAGCGGGTGCCGCGGTTCTCGGATCGGCAGCAGGTGTGGCAGTCATCTCTTCAATCATGGGTCTCGCCGGCGCGGGACTGACTGGCTACAAAATGAACAAACGATTGGGGGAGATCGAGGAATTTGCGTTCGAAGAACTCACTAAAGGCCAGGAGCTGCACGTGACTATTGCGATTTCTGGATGGATATCAAGCGACAACTTCTCAGGTGCAATGCTCGAATGGAGACGAATGCTCTTGCGTCCTAGCGATCCCGTGATTCCTGATTCAGACTTGTTAGATCATTGTACCACATATTTTTCCGGTTCTCCAGACGCGGTCATCCATCCTTGGCTAGCCCTGAACAGCTCCCGGGAACAATACGTCCTCCGCTACGAATCCAAGTATGATATCCAGACCCACATGCGTAGAATCAATGAATCCCACAAGGAATCGCCTTCGAACTTCCATTGACCCTCTCTTAGATACCTCTTGGATCTGGGAACTGCAATCGACTATTTGTACGCGTTCGCTGTATCAATGGCTGCCCAGGAAGCATTGAAGTACACAGTCTTATCAGGCCTCATAGCTGCGATTGCCTGGCCGGCTGCTCTCATCTCGGTACAGCTTCAACCTGCCTAGACTCATACGAGGGTTCGAATTGTCGCTCCAGACTCAGGATTAACGTCTTTGAATCAAATGACGACAGGTCGCGGGAGTTATCGACAATCCCTGGGGTGTGTGTCAAAGACGCTCCGCTCAGGTCGGTAGACACCTTGCAGAGGTTCTGATCCAACGCCAACAAGGCAACCGTCCCGTCACACTGATTGGATTCTCGCTGGGAGCCCGCGTGATTTATTACTGTTTGAAAGTATGTTCGGGAGAAAGGCATGGCATAGGGAAGTACCATCGGTTTTTGTAACCCATCTCATCGTAGATTCGAACTTTCAGGAATTGGCCCGTCGACAAACGTGTGAGGGCATCGTGGAGAACGCGGTCCTCCTTGGTGCGCCGGTTCCAGCTAAGACTGCAGACTGGGCGTCTTTCAAGCGGGTGGTTGCTGGGAGCATAGTCAATGGTTACTGCAGGTAGAGTAGCAACCAAAAAGATGGACCCACTCGAAAATTCGGATCCTTTTTCAAAATGTGCGTGACTCGTCGGAAATCGGAACAAATCCGATTTTTCCCGTATACATCGAGAAGGAGGATCTGAGGAAAATCACCCCATTCTTAACATTCACGATGACGATCAGGCAGCAAAAAACGCACAAAGTTTCAATTTTCCAAAACTCGTATACTCATATTTGAACCCATGTGATTTCGAACGAGGGTACCCGGTGGACTGGACGAGGTCGGCATCTTGTCGGCTGAGGGAAGAGCTTCTGATCCATCGCCCGTATGGTGGGATGTCAGGAAGTGAGGGCGCCCGGCTGGTCTGACCGTAACTATGAAGCGTCGAGTGATTGGTGCCCACCTCCAGGGGGGACGCGCGTCGAGAAAAAAACCGTCTATTTTTCCCGTTGGCACCGTCGAAGCTCAGGCGGACGTCCTTGAACTCACCGACCACCAGACGCGAATGACGGAGCATGGAGGAGGCCTGACTATGGTTCGAGATTGATGTTCTAGTTGTGGTCAAGGGTCCAAACCAACGCACTGAGAGAATCCTGAAAGGAGACATCTACGAAGATATCCAAGAACACTTACATGCCACCATAAGCGAGCGAAAGGATATCAGCCGGCTGAATCTTCCAACAAGACAACGAACCTGAACAGACTTATCGAATACTGCAAAGCTCCCCTGAGGGCAGGGGCGTCCGTCCCCTCGATAAGGCAGCTCAGTCCCCGGACTCGAATCGGATTAGGAACCTGAGGAATGATCGGTCGCAGCATGAGCTCGAACGTTCAGGAGCTTAGGATCGCAGTCGAAGAGCGTGTGAAGAGAGCCTGAGGTCACTGGACCGGGAATGCGGCGGCGGGAGTGGGAGGGAGGGGGGCTGCTGCACTGATTACTTGAGATGATTCGATAATAGGGGAGGGTCTCTCAGGACGTCGTGAATGTCCCATCGCGGCTCAGAACGTTGGGATCCGGCATCCATCGAGTCGTTCGAATCTTCGCCGGCGATTCAACGTGAAATGCCTGGAACTCAAGCAATCCGTCCGGAGGGGTACAGACATTCTGAGAGGCGGGCTTTCGAATTCTGAGGTCGCTCTTTTTTCTTTGGGGACTTCGTATGACAGACTGGGAGCCCGATTAGAGACCCGACTCCTGAACTTAAGAGAACTCATCGCTTACAGGGGTGATTGGTTGCTGAAGTTCGTCTACAGAACCTCAAGCGCTTGTATAAATATCGCCGGTCTTCAACCCATAAATTGGAGCGATCGACGAATGCGCAATTTGGATTTATCTGATGTGGTAATCATTTATCCTCTATACGCCGATTGTGTCGGACGGCTCATTTGAAATAATCGCCTCAATCCATCATGGAGGGATATATTCTCCCTGCTTCCAGATTACCGGCCACATGGACTACTACGATAAAATTGATCAAATACTCGATGTCATTGGCATAGGGACCAAATCAGGTGATAGACGTAAGAGATCTTCTGCGGGGAGGGGGCCAAGATCCGAAAAACCCAGACCTCAATCACTTCCGGATCTCCGGAGCTCGGTGAGTCGCCCGATTTCCTATGTTCCATTCTATTTTGCGGTATGCCCAGAGAAGCTCAAAGCGGCCCACCCACTCCTAAATCTCGGCAAATCGATTCCCGCTTGCAGGCGCTTGAGACATCCCAATCGGCTCCTTCTGTGTCCGGGTATTCCAGCTTGTATAACTTGAGCAGCGGTCTCGGATCATCTCGAAAACAAGCATCGTCCAATTTCTCCTTCACAGCCTCGACACAATCGCTGAGCAGAACGTCCAGATGCATCGAATCTGAGACGACTTTGAGCGACTTTTCGGAAATCGGAGACGAACTCGGAAAACTATAAGTCAGATTGCCGTCCCAGGCTCACCGCATCCGTGTCGGCGCAGTTCGTAGGCTCCGAATCCGGTCAATATTTAAAAAATACCTTCTGTCGCTGGAGACCGGTGGAAGGGGGTTGGCTTCCGATTTTGTGTGATCAAACTCAGGACCCCGTTAAAGGAGAGAACTTCAGACCTAATTCTGCAGCAGGGAGCGATGCCGTCTGGAAGCGAGATCTCGCTATCGAGACCGAAGGGACGTAGTCAGTCTCAAAAAGGAAGGTTCCGCACAAGGAGATTCATACCAAAAGATTCCGCAGTCGGGTCTCCATGACTCCTCGCCCGACGACAGCGCCTCGATGCAGAATCGGAGTCGTCTTCGTGTTCCAGTGGCTTTTATCGTTGTTGTGATACTCACGTAGATATCGGGCGAGGCGTGAACTGATGGGTAATTCGCTCCGAATCGGAGATTCGCATCACCCGATGCGGGAGACAAGCTCTCTGGGAAAACCATCGAATGCACACTCCAAAGTTGTTGAATAAAGTTCAGAATGGAGGGACAACCAAAGCCGTCAGTCTAGGTCTAGTTTCCAATGAGAAGGTTTCGTCGTGGAAGCGTGACAGGGATTCCGATATCGGAGGGGCAAGAATCATCGGCGTGAGAACGCACAGCTGCGATCCTCGCCTCCTCTGAAGGGATCCCTTTAGCAGGGTCCGCTCCATAATGATTCATTAGACATCTATTCATTCTCTAATCCCTAAACAGCTCTCTTCCGGGTCGTACACGGAAGAACTTCTCATGGAGCTTCGAAGCCTTACGCGAAGCTCTTCTCGCCTGAAGTGCTCGGCTTTCAGTCGGCGTTCGCTCGAGGCTTTTCCGCTCGTAGGCAGTATGGCTCGATGGATCTCCGGTCGGGGCGGAACCACGATTCCTTTCTCAAAAAGGGGTGAGACCCTATCGGTGTCGGGGGTGAGACCCTAGTGAGACCCTAATAAAGATAATGGAGAGACCAGAGACCCAGAGAGCAGTCACCTAGGAAACTTCGCCGGATCGAGCGTTTCGTATACGATGAAGATCTCGAAATTCTCTCCTCAAGAAAGCCCCGTCCTGTACTGCGGAATGATTATATTGGGTGTTCCATAATCGGCATGTATGTTTCCTGTGACCATCGATGCAAAAAAATCTCGAGATGCCGAGGCGAGCTCGGGGATTCCGCTTACATAGGCCGAGTTTTGAAAATGGCGCCTCCACAGCCCAGTGGCGCCTCCATCGCGAATTGCTCATGATGAGAGCTGGTCTGGATTTGTTGTGTTTGTAGAAGCAGCAGCTACTTTGGGAATTGGGAAATATTTTCTCCCGATGAAAAGTCAGACTCCTGACCGTGCATGTGCTGGTGTTTCGGTGTCAGCAGGGAGATTGGCATCCATGGATTAGGAAGAGCGTCGCCTTCGGACCGCGCCGGATTCCCGGTTCTCGGTATGCTTGCTCTAAGAATGGAGTGACATTAAATTCTCGGAAAATCAGTCACAAAAAACTTAGCCTGAGAGCACACTTCCGGAGAGCAACCGTCATATTTCCCACCCTCGGCGCTTGAACAGAGGCTTGAGACCCTGCTTGGTCCCGCACGGTCTTCGCAAAATATCCTATATCGTGAGATACCATCGTGTAGCCTCTGTCCTTAATCTTTTGTTGTCGTCGAAGCGACGCTGTCCTGATGCCCAATTAGTGCGGCGGATGCTTCCGTGCGATCTGAGCGAGTCGACGAACTCTACGATGTGTCTGGACGGCTTATTCAATCGCTCCAGTATTCCTTTACTGTCCATTTCGCGAAGATCTTCGAGAGGTATTTCCCGGACGAGTCTCATGCAGAGAGCAGCTGATCGGACTGGTGCCATGAATGCTGTACGAGGGGAATCCCGACTGTCGAATCTCAGTCTAGCCTTAAGGTCGGAAAAGCTCGTCATTTCTTCAGTCTGGCTTCGAGTTGCACTGTGGCTGAGCAATGGGATTCGTATTATATTTGATTTGAATTCGAAGTTCCGCTATGCTTACCCTCCGTGGTTCAGAAAGAGTTCCAGAGTTATACACGCCGCTCGCGCGTTACGGGAAAATACGACTGTGACCAATGTTTTGATCCAGGTGAGGCAACATGGCCTTGGAAGTCGGATTGCGGGTCGTTCGAGGACCCGATTGGAAATGGGGAGCTCAAGACGATGGAGAAGGCCACGTGGGAACCGTGGTCGAGATAGGGAAGGTAAGCTTTACGGACGACGCCTCAGCCCTGATTTCCGAAAGGATCATCGGAGACGGAGGGGAGGCTGTGACGAGGAACACTAGTCACGTGATATTCAAGTTCCCAAAGAGCCAAGAGTGGAACCGATCGGATTCCATATCCAGACGTAAACAAGTCACGGCATCTGACGCTGCTTCCAGGCGGGGAATCCTCATTCTCCGGAGAAGACGGTGGTCGTTCAATGGGATTCCGGAAGTCGAACGAACTATAGGGCGGGCTATCAGAAAGCCTACGATTTGCGGGTTCTGGACAACGCACCGACCGGTGAGTGAGACGCCTCTCCATGAAAGGCTTGCGCAAGCTACATCTCGATTTCACACCGAAACCGAGACCTTCGAATTTCATTTGGGTTCCCATCCGTCCTGCAGGTGTGAAACATCCAAATATTGTTTGCAACGCCTGTCACAGGCAAGGTATCGCAGGAGTTCGTTGGAAATGCTCTCGCTGTTACGACTTCGATCTTTGCTCGGCCTGCTACCACAGCGACGAGCACGATTTGAGCCATCCGTTCGTCCGTTTCGAAACGTCGAACTCTGAGGGTATACCGGTTTCATGTCGACAAGGGAGACCAAAACTCCAAGCTCGAGGAATATTCCTCGGAGCCCAGGTCGTCCGTGGCCACGATTGGGATTGGGGCAATCAGGACGGCGGAGATGGTAAAGTCGGGGAAATTCTCAACGTCATGGGTGAGTTTCCGTGGGCCCTTGCGTTCGGTGTCGCAGATACGCATCACGATGAAAGCTCTTCGGAGCCATTCGCACTCGCGGAAAGTACCTAAAATAATCCTCCTATCCTCAGATTGGGAGCAAGAGTCCGGTCGGAGTGTGGCTAACGTCACGTGGACTTCCGGATCGATGAACATCTATCGAGTGGGTCACAAGGGGAAAATGGATTTGCGATACGTTCAAGATGCGCCTGGTGGAGACTACTACAGGGACCATTTGCCCGTATTGGGAATAACGCCGGCTCAGACCGAGATCGCTGGTCCGTCTCAAGCAGCCTCGAGAGAACCATCTCGTTTCTCGGTCGGGGACCACGTCAAGATTCTCCAAGACATCGATATCCTCAAGGTTCTCCAAGACGGACACGGTGGTTGGAACCCAAGAATGTCGGAAACGATTGGAAAAGTCGGCAAAGTTCATCGAGTGACTGAGCGCGGCGATATCCGAGTTCAGTTCGACGGGCAAAACAATCGATGGACATTCAATCCAGACGCTCTGATAAAATGCATCGTCTTCAACGTGGGCGATATGGTTCGAGTCATTGACGATCTGAAGCGTTTCAAGGAGCTGCAAGATGGTCACGGGGAATATGTTGAGAACATGAAACCGGCTCTTGGGAAACTCGGAAAAGTGATCAAGATTTACACGGATGGTGATCTACGGGTGGGTATTCTGACATTTCTGAGAGGAATGTGTTTCTGCAAGTCCGTCTGGCAGGATCGGTGGGCAGAGAGTCAGAAAGCGCATCGGTAAAACTCCTCTTTACAGGTTATCGTCGACGGCACTACTTGGACGTTGAACCCAATGTGCCTCATTCCTGTTCCGGGTTCGCAAACTGAGCTCAATAACACGATGAATGCCAATACGCGCGAAGAGCATGCGAACCCCCTGCTCAGTCACTTTTTAACAACCAGCACAGGTAATGTTTGATGATGTCCATCAGAAGTTTTGTGAGACCTGCGAACCATGGTCTCGTTGTCAGCCCTGCGCCGCGCCGTCTGTGAAGCATCGGTCTGAAGCTCCCTACATGATCTCTCATTCATTCAGGCACCTCCACGGGGGCTTCGGGAGGAACACAACCCATCACAGGGGGCACGATGGCCTCGGTGGCTTTTCAGCATGAGAGACTTGTTCGAGACGCAGCTCTGGGCAAGGTCGAAGCCGTCCTCGAATATCTTTCCAAACATCCCGACAGAGTCAATTTGAAGAGTTCCTCTAAAACAGCTCTGCAAGTAGCGTGTCATCAGGGTCATCACGCGATTGTGGACATCTTGTTGAGGTGGGTGAAGTTTAGATATATCCATGGGTATCTATTTGACGATCAGGTACCTCGCATGAAACCTAGACATCCGAACGCTCGGGATCGGAACATCTCCTTTTCAAGGATCGAAAACGAAATATCAATAGGCGGGCAGGAGTCGGTGGAGTCTGTCGGGACGAGCTTTTCACGATTGCTCTTACAGATCGAAAGCTAACTTGGAAGCGCATGATGAGGATGGTGATACGGCTCTCCACTACGCCGCGTTCGGAAACCAACCCAAAGTCATCGAGACCCTATTAGCATCCGGAGCTAACATAAATGCTCAGAACAGAACGAAGTGCACCCCCTTACATGTCGCTGTGAACAAGCAGTACTCGGACTGCGTGAAGGTCCTCTTGCGTCCTCAATCGCACTCGGTGCACGCGCTCGATATCAACGTTCAGGATTCGTACGGAGACACAGCGTTGCACGATGCCATCAGTAAAGAGTCTGTGGGAATCACCGACTTACTCATCAACGTCCCGAGCGTGGACTTCAGTTTACGCAACGAGCGTGGCTTCAATGTTCTCCATCACGCGGCTCTGAAAGGAAATGCCTTCGCTGTCGAGAAACTCTTGGCTCGAACGAGACAGCTGGTCGACATAAAGAAGGAGGATGGGTTCGCCGCCTTGCATCTCGCAGCTTTGAATGGTCACTTCGCAGTGGTAGAGCTCCTCCTGGAGGTCGGTCGTTGCGACACGGACATTCGGAATAACCGGTTAGTTTGAAACGTTTTTTCTCTCCCGATCGCTCGAATCCGGAACTATCATGAGTTATTATATATTATTGTGTTTATCATCATCTATCACATATTTTCACGTACCATGATGTATCATCATCAATATATATGAAGTTTGATGTTTGATGTACATATATTATGTACGCATGATAATCAGCGATGGACTTTCAGGCAGCAGACGCCGCTTCTGCTGGCTGTATCCCAGGGACACGAGGCTATCGTTGAGCGTTTATTGGCCTCCGGAGCGGGAGTAAATGTACAAGATGAAGATGGCGATACCCCTCTGCATGTAGCATTGGTGAAACGTTCCGCTCTGAGGGGCACTGAGCTGGTCGAAACGTCTGATGCTCCAGGAATGGCGCAGATTTTGGCCACTTTGGCAACATCGCCCCTTGATGCCATCGAGGACAAGGGTCTCCTCATCGCTTGTTTCCTAGCAAAGTGAGTTTTATCCACATCCAGAATCATTGAACATTCCCCCCGGAGCCTCGATCGCCCTTATCCATAGTGCGAGGATCGATGACCGACCATCCCTGATAGCTCCGTCCTCTCGATTCCAGGGAGGGTTCAGATCTCCTGAAGGAGAACCATGCGAAGAGAACACCATTGTCTTTGGCTGGTTCGACGGAGGTTGAAGAGCTCCTCAGATTTTGGGCCGCCAATAGCGACATCCAGCCGGCGTCACCGTCTACGGGTAGGTGCCTTGTTCGTGAAAGAGCTCGGCGGGAGCGACATACGGTTTTCCGGCAGGTTTCTAAGCTGACACGCATATATTTTCTTGACTAGCTTTGTCGGATGCTCTGGTCGTCCTTCATATGGAACAGAAAGAGTGTGAGATCTGTCTCGAAGCGCCGGCCGTGGTGAAGTTCATGCCCTGCGGACATTGTGTGGCCTGTGAGGAGTGCTGCGTCCGCATGAAAAAGTGCATCACCTGCCAACAGATCGTCGCGTGCAAAACGAACAAGAACACGGGGGCCACCATACTATCTTCGCGACAACGCCAAGGCAGCTTGGAGAGGTCCGTAGCCTCGCAGCACTAACTTGATTGTGGTAGTATAACGATACGCTCGGGGCCATACTCTGAAATTCGCCGAAAACTGATGGCCGCCCCCCTTCGGGTTTGCAGGTTGAGGCAGCTGGAATCCCGTCTACAGGAAATGGAAGAAAGCGCTTCCTGTTCGATCTGCATGGAGCGTAAAAGGAATGTAGCATTTCTATGCGGTCACGCCGCGTGCGCGAAGTGCGCTGCGCCCTTAAAAACATGTCATATGTGCCGTAAACCGATCACAAAACGTATCCAACTCTACCTCTAGTTGACGAGTCGAGTGCATGCGTGTCTGCGTGTTTGCCTGAGAACGAATCTTCCAAATAGGCGTTTAGAGCTGCGCACATCAATTAGGCATCGTTGGGCAGGTGGACGATGCACCGACGGAAAGCATGATGAATTCACCCGTCGCCCCTCTTTTCTCAGAGATGTTCTGATTAGAAGGAACGTTTTGTTCGTTTGTGTCGAGCAGGATGCACTGGACCTAAGAATATACGACACGGATCTGATATTGATCACACATGGAGCGAACTCGTTGATCGTGATATTCGCAGAGAACAACTATATGCGTGAAAGTGAATTCTCTGCAACTCTTCGAAAACGGCGCATGCGACTCGAGACGGTTCACAGAGAAAGTCTCACGAAACTCCGGTCCCACGCTTGGTTCCCCTTTCAATCGGAGTGTTGCGTTTAGAAGTTCACTTGCTGGGAATGCGGTTCGTATCTGGTCGTTGGAGGAAGCATTGCCGATGGAGCACACGAAAAGTTGAGGGCAATGCCTTGTGCGTTGATCGAGTCACGGATCACGCTAGGAATTCGAGTGTGCATGGAATGGAGTGAGATGAGCGGCCAATGATCGAAAAGTGTTCCATATCATCAGTCTGGAGTCAATTTGATAATGAGTCAACTGCGTTCTAATTGAGATTTGAGAAGCTATTTGATCTGATGAAAATCGGTACTAGGCCGTGCCTGTACATATATGTATTTAAGCGAAATAAATATTTATTGATCCACGGAAAACACGAAAGGGTCATCCCTCAAGGTCGCTCCGGAGGTAATCTGAACGCTCAGCTGAAACCAATGCCGTGCTTGAGCAGTTCTGGGAGTTTTCGATGTTCCTGCCCTCAGGGTCTCCGGCAACATGCTCGGGTCGGGATATATCAACTCCCTGCCCCCCCTCCCTTCCATAAATGCGAGGGGGTACATGGACGCTGCTGAAAGGGGGAGACAGAAAGCAGACGGAGAGGTTTCCACCGTGACGGTCTCGAATAAAAGGTCCCATTTCGCTCTCTATCCCTCGACCAGACCAGAGACGATGGAATGGTCATGGTCGCATTTCAGGGAGGAAACTTGGAGCTCCCTCATCGAAGACGTGGAAGATCAGTTGACGAGGCAGTGAACGAGTCGGCGACTGACAGACTGACTGGCTCGCAGGCAAACACGGGGATTGAATGAAGGTCCGTCGATCTGGCTGACCCGTCCCTTGCCGCAGGTCCCTTGCCTCTGCTTGATCAATCCATCGACCTCCTCCTCTCGCTGTCGCCGTTTTCTCTCCGGGAACCCGTCTGTTCGAAAGCGCCGGGTCTTCGACCGAACGACCGACCGACTGAGCGAACGTCAGACCAAACGAACGAACCAACGAGCCAGCCCGCCAGCCAACCAACCAACCAGCGAGCGAGCGAAGGAACGACCGAACGGACGACTGAGAGCCGCCCTGTCGCTGCTTTTATCAAACGACGATTTTGGGGAGGTATAGCAGAAGACTCGTCCGCTTACCGCCATCTGTGAGAAGAAAGTGGCCAACAACACGAGTGGCATCGTTCCGGTCGCTGTCAACGTGCAATATTTCTGCGTGCTCCGATCAGTGGACTGCTATGTTTGATGAACTGCGCTCTCAGTGAAGTCAGAATGACAGGGACAACCTTCGCCAACAGAGCTCACGATCAGCAAGGATATAAAGGTTTTCCGTCGGGTTACGCGATGCTCCTCAGCTGAATCCCGACCCACTTCTTCAAGGCTCACGTGAGTTTTGAGTATATTCAGAATCTTTCAGCAGGTAATCCGCTCGGATCGAGTGCTTATGTCACAGACTGCTCCAGTGTGCCACTGTTTCTGGGCTGGTGTAGCCGGCGTTCCGCACGATATCGTCGGCGCATGGTGCACCGGCGGCTCACTGCTCGACGGTCAGCTGACCTGCACGGGGGGAGGGGCTGAAAGGTCCCTATAGCGGACTTCATAGGAGCTCGTCGAGGGAAAATTAATCACCGTCCAAAACGTTCCGAGCTCTCCGGTCTCGGGATCAAAAAGAGCGAAGAGTGTTCTTGCGGCCAAAGCTCACCCGTCCCTCGGTGAAGAGGAGATCAGAGTAGAGAAGTCGTCTCTTGTTCCTTTCGAATCCCCCAAATCATCGCACGCTGGTTGAACGCGCCTCGTTTTGCGATATGATTGGATTCCCCTCTTACACTGGACTGTCCACTCTTAGCGACCAAGCTGCGGAATCATCGATCAGACGTTCGCATCCAGGATCCGGGATCGTGCGTCGGAGTTGCAACTTGCCGAATTACTGCTGGCTGAACAAGAATTTCATTGAATTACCGTCGGAGAAATCGACAGTCCAGCCGTTCGTCCATCACTACATACCTGCGGCTGATGTCGGGTCACTTCCGTCTCTGTCAGATGCCCCTGTGGCTCGCCAGGTTCCGACTTTCTTGCCGCGGAGGCAAAACGTGGCCAGTGATTATTGGTCAATTGGCGAGCACTGCGCTTCGAGTCCTTCTCAATTTTAGCAATATCGGTGGCTTGATGCCCCACGCCGCTTGGACGCCCGCTTTTCGTCTCGATCCCCTCTCAGAGTATCAGCCCGTACAAGTGAAAATTCGTCGGGACTTAGTTTAGGGATGAGCCGAAAGTGTCTGCTGCAAGGCGACTTGCAGAGTCGTCGGAAGCCTTCACGAGTCTTTCGACGGATCATTCGATGGGAAAAACTGCCTGAAAGCATCGCTTAGACACTTAGTGTAACTGGTTACACGTTCCGCGGTGGATCGTCGTTGATGAGGTGCCGGGACTGCGGCAGCAGCAACAGCCGCCGCATCAAGAGACCGACCTGAAGATGGGGCCCGCAGTCGGCTGTCGAATACACGCCAGCGGGTATCAAGCGGCACCAGTGGCGGATTTACCCAGTAGGCTTAGTAGGCTATAGACTGGGGCGGCAGTTTTCGGGGGGCGGCGAATTCCTGGTTGGATCTTCTGCGATCCTCGACAACTCACTCAGTGAAATCATTCGAGACCGAGACGAGGACGTCAACTCTGTCCATGAGCTTGAGGCTGCCAGATTGAGGGAGCCGTCTCGAAAACGAACAGCGAGACATAACTTCTTAAATACCAGATCGATTATTTTGAGAAGGAACTCTTCTTTTTCCTCTTCTGGTATCGACTGGATGAGCAGAGCCAATCTCTGAGTCTATGGATCCTTCGGCTTTCTGAGGAATAGAAAAGAAATCTTAACAACTCGGAGCAAACGCCGGGAAGAATCGATATTCATCCCCAGATGGGTTTTATCAGGGCGGCGGTCCTGATTAAGCCTAGGTGCGGCGAATTCGTGAATCCGCCACTGAGCGCCACTCTCAGACGGCGGATCGCCGGATACCGGAGGATCAATCGTGAATTCTCTGCTTTTCGGCAATCACATCATTGACCAATCATTCGGGAATCAGTCGCGCAGGCATGCTCTCCGCGCTCGTAGCCTAGTCTGAAAACGATTCTACACGTGCATTGAAGCACAAGCCACAGGCTTCTCATCCTTCTCACTTCGAGTATCGATCTGTATGTCGTATTCAATAAATTTGGGAAATGGCGTTGCTTACGAGCTCCGTGCATGCTGGTCGAGAGGGAGATAAGACGATCCTCAGCACAGATGCTCTTGGTCGTGGAGCCACCTGGCGCGATGTAGGTTCTTCAGGAGACTCGCGATCTTCATAGAGCATGTCATGGGGAGACAGAGTTGAACAAAGGATAGAGGCCTCCTGATTCATCACGGAGGTCGGGTCGATCCCTGGAGAGCCGAACTGGGTCGTTCCGAGAACGTCTGCTTACTTTGATTCGGTCGAGAGAGAGAGCTGATCTGTCTGCAGATCGAAATATCTCATCCTCTGAAAAGACATGGTAGGAACTTCGGAAGCTTGGCGTGGCAACAGAGGATCGATTGCTGCTCCGGTTCGTAGCGCAACTCCGCGGTCACACAAGAATTTTCTTCTGTTGTTAACTTTTCAACAAGGTCAACAAGGCACTGCGAAGGAGAGCCGGTGACCATCTGCGGTGGCCAATATGCGACCGGTCAGCTCTGTTAGAATCGCAAAATATCTTTCTGAAGCATCCATCATGGAGCTTTTCCAGGAGGAAGAATTGAGAAGAATGCCCCGCTCGCAGCGGGGAAACGGGAACATCTGCTCAAGATGTTGGGTTGTTCCGTCCTCGCTGGACCATAATATGCGGATGCAAGTCGGCACAGCTTTTGAGACGCAATTCGCCCGCCCGGTCATGTCATACATTATACTTTCGATGGAACATCAAAAAAGTGCTCCATTGCCGCGGTTGCTTTAGCAGCCGAGAAGCGCTTCTAAATCTACACATATCGATGAATATGGCATTCGTGAGTGTCCCCAGAGAATTCTTTGAGGAAGAGATTCCCCACGTGTCATCCAGATCTTCGGATCGGCAATAGTCATAGGGCCGCGAGTCTTCATAGGGAAAATGCCAGATATTGTGCAGGGCAGATCAGCAGCGAGGAATGTGAAGCGCAAGCGAGTTCCGCCGTGCTTTTTCTCCGAAGACGAAAGGGGAAAGGTTCGCCCGCGACGCACCCGCTGCACTCTGAAAGACTATTTTCATAATTCAGCAGGTGGTTGCGATGACAATTGACACACTGGAACGGAGTCGAACTGAGAAAATGGCACCGTCGCATCCGAGTCTCGTGGATTTTCAGCAGCTGCGGATGTTCCCAGTGAGGCAGCTTCAAGTGGTGCAAGTAGTCGTGCCACCCGGAGTGTCGGGAGACCACATACAGGTTCTCCTAGTCCACGTCGGTAAGAAAAGGATTCTGATCGCTAATAACGCGTTCTTCTGGTGAGGGTCCATCCCGTCTCAGATTCCCATGTACAACAATTAAAGCTTTTGTGACTTCGCAGCGAGCGACAATCAAGTCGCTGTGCCGGCGACATTGGAGAAAAAGTCTCCCTCGCTGTATCTTATTCAGTTCGAGGTCGAGAAGGCTGGAAATTACGCGCTCGATGTTGCCGTGTCAGGACGTCGACTAAAGGACTGTCCCGTGGCTTGCAAAGCTTACGATGCCGCGCGGATACAGCTCACCAATGTGCCACAGTCTGCCGAAGTTGGTAAACCGGTTCAATTCCATGGTGAGTTCTCCGGTGCCCAAAGTCTTGGAAATCGCGCTTCGTGCTGCTCTATAGCTCGAGATTATCTCACTCAGCGTACCAACAAGGTGACGGGAACGTTTTCGCAGAGACATCTTCTTTATTTGCAGTGGACGCTTCGAAGGCAGGCGAGGGACAATTGGAAATTTCAATCAATAAAGGCGAAGTGGCCAATAAGGTAGACGTCCTATCATCGGGCAGGTGTATTGTGTCCTTCACACCAGAGAATCCGATTGTTCACACCGTTGAAATCAGGTTCGGTCTCTGAACAGCAATGTACATATTAGTAGCCCCTGGTCTCATTGAACTTTCGAGGATGATCGTCGAGTCTTCTGTTCCAGATTCAATGGGGATATTGTGCCTGGCTGTCCGCTGAATATCATAGCAACGGAGTCGACTGCCAATTACAGCGTGGATCTCTCAAAACTCGACCTCGTTCCTCTTAACCAACCAGTTTTATTCCCGATTCGAATCCCGAGAGGTCGGAGGGAACTCATTCGAGTGATGGTCCTTTCCCCCAAGAACAACAGCGTTCCAGTTTCGTTGAAAGCTGCTCATGAGGATCCCGATGTCGTCATGGTCGAGTTCACGCCGAAAGTCGTTGGAGATCATCTCGTGAACGTTGAGTACAACGGGAAAAGTCTCGACGGTGTGCCCTTCCCGCTCAAATGTTTCGGTGCCGAATTAGTGGCGGTCACAAATGTGTCGAAATGCGCCGTCGGAGGAACCGTCGAGTTCATCGGTGAGCTTACGCGTCTCAGCCTTTCGATCTGCTCTGAACGGACCTCTCTGAGGTCGAATGCATCCGAAATTCTGGGTCTTGCTGAACGAAAGAAATTCTGACAGCAGAAAACCTGCTACGAGTTTAGAGCTGAATTCGCTTGTAGCTCATTAGTAATTAGTGTCACACAGCGAGGGTTGACTTTTTTTCTGGCAAGTTCACAAGACAATAGCGGGGACCGGACAGCGGCTCGAAACGTAGCTGGTGGCGCTGTCACTTGACAGCGCTTGACCGCGGATGCTCAACAACTCGGTGTTTTCGTTCCGCAGTGGATGCTAGCTCGTCGGGCGAAGGCAACCTCGAAATAACTGTTACCGCAAACGAAGATCTCAACGTGCCAACCCAAGTCCGACCCTTAGGGGGTGCCAAGTTTGCTGTGTGTTTCGTTCCGAATCGGCTCTGTCCCCATCTCATCGGTATTACATTCAATGGAATCCACGTACCGGGTGAGTGCCTGCCCATAGTGTCCCCGAGGAACTTCGGGATCGACAAGCTCCCAGGGCGCGGTTCGCGAGCTCCACCCTGTCGATTGAGAACATTAGGCCCATTGGAACAGAACCGTGGGGATCCCACGATTTTCCGTCTGCGGGGGTTTCCTTGACGCTCATAACCAATATGGAGCTTATAAGCGGCTTGGCATAAGTCGCCACAGCCCGGATCACTGGAAGAAGACGATTCAAGCTCCTCGTCGAGGAGCAGGGTGGGGGTCAATCGACGCCCGTAAATGTCGGCTCAATAGAACATGACTTCCGCGGATGTGTTTGAACTCTAAGAACTTCCCGAGCGAAAGCAAGGTCAATGACTAGAGATTTTGCCTTTGACTTGGGCTGAAGCGAATTTTTGTTCGGAGCACTTCTTGCGAGCTCGGAATGCCGCGTCAGTAAAAACCTCTCCAAATGGGCGGATCGTTCCGTTACCGGTATTGAGGAACATGTGCAAGATCCCCTCTCACTTATCGGAATGATTCTAGGGTCCCCGTTCACCGTGAAGGTTACCGATGCTCTATTGGACATCGTTGAAGTCAATGCGATGAGCGATACACTCAGCTGCGCTGTCAATAAACCCGCGAGATTGGTGAGCGAGTGTTTTTCACTGTGAGAAAATCCTCCGGCTATCACGATTTAATGGTTCACTATCAGAGATTCGAATTCCGGTAACTATGGCATTCCAGAACCTCCGAGGGAACGTCTCGCCGCAACAACTCTATGCGAGAATCACGAATCCGGAAGGTAGTGTAGTTCCTTTCACATTGCGAGATGTCAATACCGGAGGTCAGATGGCGGTCGAGTTCACTCCCGCAGTCGTCGGTGAGTTCACAGTCCCCGTTCTGATGGAGTGATGAGAAATACAAAATAGTCCACACGCTGATTGATTGGGCGCTCATTTCGCAGGTGAATATCGCATTGAGGTACGGTACATGGATCAGCCATTAGCTGGAAGCCCTTTCATCTTTAAAGTCTACGATGTCTCCAAAATTCAAGTTTCCCAAGTACCCTCTCAGATCACTATCGGCAGCAACGCTTCGTTCTTAGGTGAGGCTCGCTTCGGCCCGAGTTCGTAGCTCACGATTGAAAAACGTTCGTGGAGAATCGAGCTTGAAAGGCAGTTTTTCGTTTTTGAGTGATTACCGGAAGTCGGTTGAGAAGACAACAGAAAGTCTGATTTCTCTTTCCGTTTCCTAGTTGAAACTGCCGGCGCAGGACCGGGGAACCTCGAGGTTATGGTTAATAAGGGCCGCGTGGCCACAACGCCGCAGGCACAGAGCATTTCTCTTTACGCCATTCATTTCACGCCGCAAGAAGCGACCCTCCATGAAATCGAAGTGAAATTCAATGGAGAGCATGTCCCAAGTAAGCTTCTGATATACTTCACTGACTCTGCCGCTGAATATCGCTCCCGAACGCTTTTTTCCCTCGAGAACACCCAAGCTGAACAGAAGAGTTCTTTCTTGATTCTCCAGGTTCGCCTTTCTCGTGTAATGTTGTGGATCTGTCGAGTGTGACCGTTTCTGGCGAAGGCGTCGATCGCTGTCCTTTGGGACAATTGACCACCATCAAGATAAATACCTCAGAACAGGTGGGTCTCTTCGAGCTCCGTGATCGCGGGGATATCGAAGCTCCCACCGGGTTTGTTTTCAGGGATCATTTCCGGCGCGTAGCTCCAAGCGCAGAATGCGTAGAGAAAGACGTTAGAAAACTCGAATTAATTGATTTCGATTGCAGAATGTCGGTCTGCTAGCGATCAATGTCAGTGGGCCGAGCAACGAGAGGGTTTCCGCCAAAATGATCGGCAATGAAAAAATTGGATACACAGTAGAGTACACACCCAATGAAGTCGGTATGTGTCGAGTCGACGACCACCTTGGCTCAAGATGCGACGGCGATACAAGCTCTCGACGAGGTCGCTAAATATCGCGTCACCATTTCCAGGAGACTATCTGATCGACATTCGGGTAAATCACACCCCCATACCTAATTCGCCTTTCATCTGCAAGGTAATAGTACAATATCTACTCAAGAGACTCCGACATGCATAAGCCGCTCATTCAGAACGGGGCTTCGGGCCCCTGTGCGGGCTTCAATAATAACGTGATGCTGTGTGCGACGCAGGTGTACGACCCATCCATGGTGCAAGTCGGTGACATTGGAAAAGGAACGGTTGGTTTTCCGCTATACTTCAGCATCGATGCCGCTGCTGCGGGAGCTGGAAATTTGGAGATCACTGTTTCCGTCGGAGGTCGAAATGTGCCAAACTTTGTACAGTCCGAGGGCAACGCCCGGTTCAAAGTCAATTTCAAACCAAGGTTAGACATAGAATCCTCGAGCGCCGCATCTTTCTTCGATTTCCTCGGAGGATTGACCCGATGTGCTATTTTCAGTGAACCGTTGGTCCATTCCATATCTGTGAAATTCAATGGCGTTCCCGTGCCGGGGAGTCCGTTCAATGTGCCAATACAAGATTCGCAACAGAGCATGGTCAGCGGATCTTCCCTGCGAATGACTTCTCTAGCTCATGGGACAAAGTTCACTGTCGACACCAAGGGCAGCGATAAACCCTTGAGGATTCAAGCCACCGGTGAGTGCTCTCCGATCGAGCATCTTTTCCTGAAACATCGATGGTGCCGAACTCGGCATCCATTCATTGCGGGTATAGCTGCTCGGTTTCCGTGCGACGGAAAGTCGGCAGAAGCTACTCCTGCGATGTGTATCTTTTCCCGCCCCTCCCGGCTTATGACTATTACCTAGGCTGGAACAAGGCCGGCGATGTTTCTGAGGTGAGGGGCACTCGGCTCGATACAGAAGTTTGCACAATCTCTAGAATCTATTATGAGGGAAATATCGTGGCCTTGTGTGGGGCAGAGCAGAGAAAAAGCGGTGCTTGATATACGGTCAGAGCGAAAGCCTCGAGAATGAATTTGAAGCTTGTTTTGTTTCCACTTCCGACGAGACCTGCTATTCAGCGCTGACTCACCGAAGAATGAATTCTCGAGCGCGGCTTGGTCCGCGTCTCGAATCAAGTTGATGGGGAGGAGTTTCGTAAATACTGAATACCTAGTATCATTCTGTTTCAGCTCCGAGCGGTGCGACTATTCCAGTGACTTTGTCGAAAATATCGGCTCATAATTATGAAGCGGCCTTCCGGCCCCTAGAAGTCGGACCTCAGCAAGTGGCTATTTTCCTTGGTGAAGAGCAGATCTCCGGTTCGCCCTACGTATGTAATGTGTTCGATGTGAACAGAGTCACAGTCTCCAGTCTGGGTCGAGGATCCGTGGGGAAACCAGTGACGTTTTGTGGTGAGTAGCTGTCACGGCGAAATCGTCTGGACCAACCCCATCGAGGGTGATTTGTCGATTCTGTTCGTCCTCCGTTCGCCGAGCTCATCTTTCTGCAACTGTTTCCGCGAGCTGTGGCTCGAAGAACTACCGTTCCTACCTTTTTTCGATCAACGTCTTTCTCCTATCGCAGTTGATGCTTCACATGCGGGTGAGGGGACATTGGAGCTCGTCGTAAGCACGAAGAAAGGATCCGTGAGGGCTGAGGTCTCGATGCGCTCCCGCGGAGTGTACAACGTCACCTTCCTGCCGACAGAAACCACGACTCACTTCGTCAACATCACGTTTAATGAAGAAGAAGTGCCAGGTCAGTAGATATCGCTCCTGAAGAACATGCTATCACTTCATTCGATTCAAGGGAAACCCGAAGCGTGTGCATCGTGGGAGCAAAAGTACTAGGTCGGTCTTCGGTCTTCCGGGAATGGATAAGACGTGACGCTCTATTTATGACTATGCAGTCGTCAAGTTTCACAGCGAGTGTCGCCCCATTCAATGACAAGCTGGCGCAATCAGAGCGGGAGAAAGATTTTATTCGCGCGTCTCGCTCCAAGCGGGAAGAACAGATTGTTGGAAAAGGGAGAAGAGAAGCTTTCTCCATTGACGGCAGTTCAGACGGAGCTCGACGCCCCACTCGGTTATAGGCATGGATCCGCCCCCGTTCCAAGTTAATCGAATCGAGCGGCTGACATCGAACGCTTCGAGTCGAGCTCGCATTTTCCGGATCTCGATGACGACCACGAACTTCCTGAGAGCGCCAGAATCAGAGTAATTTTGAATACTTTTGAACGCACCCCTTGAAATTCTGTGAGCCTCGTTTTCCCCCTCGCCGTACGCTCTGTCTGGCGAGAGAAGCCACCAAAGCGATTGATTCACCTCCGGATAGAGTTGAATCAATCCACCCCTGATAGATTCCGCCGACTAGTATTAGGTATTCCTGTTCCAATATTCGCATGCCGAGCACTGGCCAAGGACGGCAATTCTTCGGATCGCATTCTGTGACTCGGTCAAAAATGGAAGAAAGGTCCACTGCCGCAGCGCTCCTCACTGAATGAGCTATAACTTCCTGACGACCTCAAAGTCCCTCCGCTAAGACAGTAAGAGACAGGCCAGTCGAGCTCAATCGATTTCGTGATTGACAGCGGCCAGCGCTAATTTTCTCCACTTTACTGACTGTCTGATCAGACACGATGTGGGCAATGCTGTTCGGCTATCTGTCGAAGCCGTAGGCTCAGGTGAGCTCGCCACCCGGACCGATGAGCCAACCAATCCGTCTGGAGCTAACCACTTGCCCAGTTTACCGACCAAGCGTCCGCCTGCTGACTGTGCGCTTGCGGCTCGGTGTTGTGTGCTGCACTCACCCCTCGGCTCGCAATCGTTACCCGGTGCTCGGGTGTTGTTGCTCAGTCGTGTAGTTTTCAGCCGGGGCGTTCGCGGTCAACCGTCTTCTAGCTCTCAGCTGTGTCCGAAACAAAGTATTGCCAATCAGGGTCAATGTTCTCGCGAATGTGTTTACTTGTGTTTCGAACTCGAGTGCCTTGAGTCGCAACGCACGGATATCCATTGGTCTCTCGGAAATGAAGTGACTCGAAATGAAAGAGAGATCATCCTTGCCAGCGTCATGGATCTCCACAAGCAGTAGGTGCCACTTACAACCAGTCAGTTGATCGATCGATTGGAATCGAAGTCCAGGGTGCGGAGCGAAAATAACCGCACTTGATCGAACGTCTGGCAGCGGTTTTCCCCCATCATGAGCATCATTCGTCCGCGATATGCTCTCTCTTGTCCCGTGAGAAGCATGATGAAGACTTGCCCCGAGATCGGAGTCAGTGATGCAGGCTACGAATTTCGAATTCTTTGAATTTCACAGGCAACCCGTTCAGGATCGAGATGATTGACATGCCCCGAAACGGACGGAAAGTTGAAGTCCGAGGCGAGAAGAGAGCGGTTGTCGGTGTTCTCAGCGCTTTCGATGTCGAAGCCGAGGGAGAAATCACGGCAAGAATAACTGCCAGCAAAGACTCTCTCGTCCAGAATTCAGTGTCCCGGGTGGGGCCTACAACGTGGAGGTAAGCTTCGAATGAGCTTTCTGTTTCTCGACAAATCCTTCGCGCCTTGTTTCCCGATCGCCTCCCCCGTTCGGCAGCGATTGCTTGTCGATACGAATGAAGAGAGAAAACTTTTCCGACAGAATTGAGTACAAACCTCAGGAAGTTGGTACGCATCTCGTAGAGATCCTCCACGACGGCTACAAGGCGAAGAGTTTCCATGTAGCGGTTTCGGACCCGACGCGGGTCCGGGTTTTGGATCTGGACGATGGCATTGTGAACAAAGAACAATCTTTCCGAGGTTAGCTGCTGATGCCGGTCCCAATGACACTTTGAGAATATGACATGTTTCCCTTGCTAGAAGTACAGCGGATGTAAATTATCATTTCCTTCGAAGTGGACACGACACGCGCCGGCAAGGGACAGATCAAAGTCGTCATCGCAAGCCACGGCAAAGAAGTTCCCCACAAAATCGTCGAGTTGGCTCTCGGTGTTTATAAGGTGACGTTCACGCCGATGAAAGACGCTCCCAACGTCATTGACTTGAGATTCAACGGCACTGCGTGCCCTGGATTCCCCGCCACGGTCACCGTACGCGACCCGAGTCGCAGCATCATAGCTCACGGGAGCTCCCTCAAGTCAGCGCAAATCGGGAGAACAAACAAATTCTACATAGAGACAGGCGGATACGGAGATGCGAAAGATTTCGATATCTTGGTGTCGTCTCACTCGAATTCACCCCTGCCTGTGAAATGCTTCTCACAGAAAGACGCGAGTCTCTTGGTGGAATGGCAGCCGAACGAAACAGGTACTTTCCTGGGCGATACCTTTCACTCGGACGTCTGTGAGAACATGGATCGCTTACTCGGAGTCCCCCCGGTCTTCGAGGGTAATGGTTGCGCTGCTTTCCAGGCATCTACAAGATTGAAGTTCTGTACCGCGGAGAACCCGTAAACGGGTCTCCTTTCAAGTGTCAGGCCTTCGATGCAACTAAAGTTCATCTGCAGCAGATCAGTTCCACGAGTTTCAACGTCAACGAGAATATTTCCATTGCCTGTGAGTGAATGTTGTGAGCAGGATAGTGCGATTCCCTGTTTGGATAGACGAGTTGTAAACCACCATTCGATTCTCCCATCCTCAGTGAATCGAAGAGACGCTGGATACGCGGAGTTAGACGTCACCGTGACGTCTCCTCTGGGCAGAAATCTCCCCATCGAGGTTAAGGGTTCCCCAGATGGTGAAGTTATCGAATTTACGCCATCCGTGGCCGGCAAGTATCGCATCGCGATCAATTATGGAGGAATAGCGGTGCCTGGAAGTCCCGTGACCTTCATAGCTCATGACTCCGGCAGCCCAAAGGTCACAGGTCAGGGTCTGCAGAAAGGCCTCAAAGGAACAATGGCTTCGTTCAGAGTCGACGGACGAGGCTTGTGGGGCATGCCGGAAATCCGCATCGATGGGCCGAATTCGGAACCCGAGCTCAAGATCAAGGAGCTCGAGGAAGGTGAGTTCCCGGCAAGACGTTCTGCTCAATGATCCCACTCCACTCCAGGAGTCTCTAAGACCTAACACTCCATGCTCTTGAAGGTCTCTACAGCGTGGCTTATCTACCGCTCGAAGTGGGTCTCTACGAGATCACCATTCGATGGAACGGAAAAGATGTTCCTCATTCTCCTTTCAAAGCGAAAGTCACGGAAGCGAGAGATATCAGCTGTGTCGGGGGCTGGGGCCGATTCCTGGATGAGAATGGTGTTCTGAGGTTGATCGTCGGCGAGGAAATGAGCATCCCGCTTGAGGTCGGCCAATCTGCGGGCAAAATCGTCGCCGAACTAAGAACACCGAACGGTATGATCATCCCGGTCAACGTGGAGAAAGTGAGCTCCGGCCGAGTCCGGCTTTACTTCACACCGATAGAAAGCGGTGAGCAACCAAGTGCTTTCAGAACAAAAATGTCTGAAAATCACTTCGCAAGATGGCATTAGGCTTACGAAAAATCATTTAGTCGGGACAGCGGCAGCAGCACAAAGCTGGTATCTCCTCCCCAAGCCTGTGGATGTCCTTTCCCTCCGCTGAATCCACGATTGCTTCTATTTTGCGGATGATCAGAAAGTGTCTGTCGACAAAGGTTGCTGACGTATCGTTCACGCCGACAGGTAACTACTTGCTGACGATCATCCAGAACGGTATGGCGGTGGCGAACACTCCGATCAAAGGAAGAGCCGCCGATTTGTCAAACGGATCGCACAGAGCCGAGGGTCTCGACCTCTCGAAGGTTGTCGTGAAAGGAGCTGGTTTACTCTCCGCTCGAGTCGGTGAAAAGGCTGAATTCGTGATCGATGCTTCCCTCTTGGGTCGTGAGGGCGTTCCACGGGCCGTCCTGCAAGGACCAAGTGCAGAAATCAGAGTGCACATCCAACCCATGGCGAACCACGTTTACCGGTGAGAGATCTTAGACTGACAATAAACGGATACCTACCCCCATGCAAAGCCCGGTCTCACGGCAGAAATTCTAACCCTTTCATTCTCGTAGGGCCTGCTTCACACCAACACACACGGGCTCTTATCAGCTCAACGTGTATTGGGGGGACGATCTGCTCCCGAGCTGTCCCCACCAGGTCACTGTCGGGGCCATTTGCGACTCGTCCAGGGTCATTTGTTCTGGAGACGGCTTGTTGGGTGGAGTTGTCGGCAAAGAAATCAAGGCGTTCATTGATACTAGGAAAGGTGAGTGAAAAAAAATTGTCTCAATTCGTTTCGGGACTCAGAGAATCCACATTAGATTCGAACGCTGATGAAGCTGCCATCCATGAGCGAGGGTATTGTTGAAATCTTGAGGGAGACCCCGCGATAACTAAGAGCTCAATCATCTTCTGTGAACTATCAGACTGCAGTTGAAACTCGCGGGTCACGGTAAAAACGTCAGGTCGTCGTTCAGTCGATTGGTTCAGAGTTCAAGGTTGTGCTGACGCGCTAACATTTTCTTATGCGCAATAACTGTTGTTGGCGTGAATTCCTACCCGGCGGTTTCGGACCAAACTATAGGGGAAGTTTTTCAACTCCGCAAAGCAGGAAGCTGTCGGAATTCGCGTTATACATCATTTAAGGATTTCGCTCCACAGGTGGACCAGGTGAATTGACTGCACATTGTTCAGGACCCGCTAAAATGGCTCATTGTGAGCTCTTCGATCATCGGGATGGTACATTCACATTATTCATAAAGCCACAAGAGGGAGGACGCCATTTACTGAACGTCAAGTACGGAGGGAACCACGTTCCGGGTAAGAACCTCTCTTCTGCGATACGGCAAGGCTCTCACGGAATGAATCTAATGCTGTATTGCTGATTTCCAGGATCGCCTTTCACCATGAAAATCTGCGGAGCCCCTGATGCATCGAAAGTGAGAGTCTATGGGCCAGGAATCGAGCCCGGTGTTCTAGCTCTCTATCAGAGCCGATTCGTTTGTGACACGAAAGGCGCGGGGGCAGGTCAACTGACGGTTCGCATAAGAGGCCCGAAGGGCGCATTCAGGGTGGAGATGCAACGAGAAAATAACAAGGACCGGACGATCCTCTGCAAGTACGATCCCACGGAGCCTGGTGACTACCGAATCGAGGTTCGATGGTCGGGAGACCATGTAATAGGCAGTCCGTTCCTCGTAATGATTTTCGACACCCAGGAAGAATTGAGCCGACATATGCAGCAGCTGAAATTGAGTTCACCATCAACGCATAGCCTCCAACAAGCGCCCCTTCTGCCGATGCTAGGACACTGATTACGATCCGAGTCTTCTTATTCGTATACCGGCGGTTTCTAGATAATCAACACGAACGCCTGTCTCTAGGCCGTTCCCGCAGTGTCCAACGCACAAGCGTTCCGTTATAATTTTTCTCAAATGGAATCTCAATTTTATCGGGGTGAGATCAACGCGTCTCTCACGAAGGGACTTCGCTCAAAACGGAACGTACGGGCACGAAGAGGACGAGAATTCCTGAATGGACTCGATCAGGCTCCTCACTCCGGAAGTCACTACCAGGATCGGCGTCAAGGCGGGCGCTTGCGCCTGTGTCTCGCCCCGAGTGATCGAACACCACTGACCGAGTGAGAGACGATTCTTCTCGTCGTGATGCGAATTCGATTCGTTATGGAGCTTCGACTCGTCATCAATCTGAGCGGCGCTCAACATTCGGAGTATGCCCTGTCCATCGACTAATGTTTTTCCGCATAGAATGAATTACTAGTTTCGATCGTTTTCGCAACGGAAAATACTCTCGAAACGCATCGCCGCCACTCGAAAGTTGAGAATATCGAGAATATTATCAAAAATAAAGATCAATACCTGCCCTGACATCCGCCGCATTTCGATTCATCCATCCTAATCCCTGTGGAGAACATCGTAGTCTTCAAAATGAATCAAAATTAAGTTCAAGAAAGACTCTCAGCGGGATAAATCAACAACGGGGTTTATTCATCGACCGTATGGGCTTCGAAGTCCTAGTATTATAAGAATGATGCAGTACATTAGACTTTGAGGTGTACATCGGTATTTCTCGTCAGGCAAGTTCTCATGAACTTGAGAAACGTCAGATAAGAACGTCACGTGAAGTGAGCCCTGCTACCTGAATCTCAATTGTCGCCTCATTTCTCCCTCGATCCAGGAAAATGCTTCCTCTTCACTAGTATTGTCCTAAACAATCAAATTTCCAGAAAGGGAGATCCTTCGCCTGTCCTTCCGATCCGAAGAGTGTGCAGCTCACGGTGCGATTACGAGTTTTCAGATGCAGCTATTCGGCTGAATGCTCGATGTGCGTTAAAGAACTCCGAGAAGCTGGGAAAACTGTTCGTGACTCGCGATCGAATTCGATCGTTCGGGTATTAGACCAGCCTGTAGGTGCACCTTATAGGTGTATCGGAGCTCCCTTCACATGCTTACGTTTCAGGCGGGGAGTGGGCTTCGGACAGCTCAAGAAGTTATCATCACAGGCTTCGCCGATTCGAACGGCATCGTCGAAAGAAAAGTGACTAGAAAGAAAGAATTCTGGCTTTGCCAGGTAGAACCCTGCCCTGGACGACGTCGGTGTGAGCAATTTCTCCATCAATAGTGATGATACTGTCATCAAAACTTTCGAGTCGGAAAGCCCGGACAGGAATAATCTTCACCCACGGCAGGTCAACGTGCTTGCCGACTTCCTGATTGATGAAGTACGAGAGAATCTGTCGTCTCGATGCCTCGCCTTTAATCATCATCAGCCAAGTCACTCCATCATCGAGGCGGGCTTCAGGCGCAAAAAACAGTTTAGTGCCGAGATGGCTTACGAGTGATGAGTAGATTATAACGAACCGACCCTCCTCAACTAGCCAATCATCTGGGACCTTCTGTTCGAGAGTCGGGAAAGTGTCATCGGCCGTGACGTTCGCGTTGGCGTCCTGATCCCCGATCAGTGGATCGTTGTTATTTCGTCGGAGGTGGAAGCCCCGGTAGGGCGAGATTTCTATGGAAATTTGCCGATCTTCTGTGGATAGAATTGAGGATATTGAACGATCACGGACGTCGTTTCCTACATGAGTGCATGTCAGTCCCGATGCTTCAGATCCGATACTTACCTATTCTATTGATTTCGTTGTCGTCCACCCTTTCCAGGAGTGAGTCACGCAGTTCCTGATTGATATCCGCCATCACGCTCCTAGATCGAGCCATCCTGTTGAGCAGAAATCGGACATAAGGGTGAGATTGCCAGGTGAGATAAGAGTTGAGTGAGGCGTCGGTATTCAGGACGAGATTCTATTCGTGACTCACCTGCCGACGTTCGATCCGTTAGTGCCTTGACTCGAGGAAGGCATGTGATTGGGATCTGCGCCGAAAAGGAAGGTACTATCCGGAGGAGGAGGTGGCGGTCTCGGAATGCGACTTATGGAGTCCTCGCGCGAGTTAACTTCGCTGCTGGGCACAGAGGATTTCTTCACGACGGGTGAGGACATGATCCGCTTCTCTTTGGCCGGCATGTACGAAATGCGGCCAGAGTACGTACGCAGATCTGTAAGCAAGCGACTTTCGAGCCGATTCTTCGGAACGGATACGAATGATCTCATATCGAGCAGTAACCTTACTGAAGATCCTCCAGAAAGCCCACAGGGTGAACCTGATCTCTCCAATGGAACGCAATTTCTCAGATTCGATGTCGATATCTGACATGATGCCCCAGCCGAACGACAGGAATGAATATATTGGTGGCTTGCTTGGCATCTCGATGCGAAAAAGATCCAGTTCTTGAAGGCGACCCTTCACGCAGGCCAGGGTGCAAGCGAGAATAGGATCAACCAAATATGGTTCCCTGGAAAAACACCGCTGGGCTATGGACCGGATAGAACGATAGATAGGAGCTGATTCCTCGCACACTATGTATCCTAGAGCCCGGAAAACAGTGTTGTGAGCAAGGATTACCCCGAAGCGTGACAAATCGATCTGGCCAATCCGTTGCCTGATCCACCTGGAATCATGCCGATCGGTATCTTGATGGCTTCTTCAGCATCCGATCGCTCCATGAGTCCATTGTACACTTCATGGAGGAGTCCATCGCCTGATATGATTACGATGCCGCACCACTGGTCCAACTCGAGATTTCGGACGAAGTCTCTGGCGTGGTTTATCCGCTCTGCAAGCGGCGTTACGTCATAGATGTCACAAGCTGATCAGGTGCAGCTCAGCAGCGAGATTATGTAATTAGAGCTCCCCTTAAGTGATTGGTGACAGATATGAGCTCACCTGTGACAAGTAATAGATGTGACACATCTGCTTCCGAAAGGACTGGTCGGACGCGCTCCAAAAATATCTCCAGACTCTTCCCGGGACCGGATTTCGGATTGACGAGGCAAAGGTATCGTCGTTGAGCAGGTAAGGATTCCGGGATCAAGGGTTCGTCTCCAGCTGTAAGGTCGCAAGGAAAAGTTTGCATGATGGACGTCATCATCGAGTTTTTTCAACTCCCACCTCAATAGCTCTCGCGACGGTCCCGCGAATCCGTGATCCATGGAGAACGAACAAGCCCGTTGATGACGCAATTAGCTCTGTCCTACCGGATCGTCGACGGAATTCAAGCAGCACCGCTCAAGACAGCCCAGCTTTTTTTCGTGCAAGCCGCTTTCAAAAACCCTTTGTTCGACCCGATACTTCTTCCGGGAATTTCCGCGCTCTTTCATCGAGATCATTGAAGCGCGAAAGAAACCCCGACTTTTGAAACTGAGGCGCCGTGTACCGCTGAACTATGAGGTCATCCGGGCCAGAGAAGCTTGGAATAATTGGCAGAGTCGAAGCGGATCATCGGCGGAAATCAAGTTCACATAGCGAGGACTTTCAATCCGTAATGCCGGAGTCTCCATGCGGCGATCACCGAGCTTGACAATCCTCAACTGCCCAGAGTGGATGCCGTACCGGCTAGGCGAATATGCCCGTCGCAGGTTGACCCAATCCAGACTATAGAGACAAAACATCGATCCCGGAGACTTCCGTGTCCCTTCACTGATTCCTTCCGTTCTCAGTAAATGATTCCGTGCACAATGAGCGGCATGCTTTGACGCGACTCGGTGTCCCTCAGTGATGCTCCTGCTCACATTTGAGCGTAACCCGGAAATTCTGAAGTTCCTCGCTCGGATCGAAAGCGATGAGACAAGTGAATACTAATCATTCTGAATCTCGACGCAAATCTATAAGAAATCGAGACATCCCTGCGAAAGGAGCAGGAAGCGATCCACGTGGATCCATGCAGCCTCAATGAATCATTAATTTACAGAGACAATCACTTGATAAGGCAGCTGCGGGCTTTTGCTGCTAAGTATCTCGATCCCTGGATGGAGAATATCATTCCCGGATATGAGAATGTATTGAAGGGAGCCCTTAGGATGACTGCGAAATCGAAACGGGCGGAATCGGCTCCGATGATGAGCACGATTGAATGATGAGCCCTTTGGAGTGTTGGTCCCTTGAGCGCGTAAGGATTACTCTGTTTGCTCAACTCTGCGACTTCGAAACCAGAGCTTCCGCTCAGACAGGATTGCTCCAAACACGAAATTTTATTGCTTCCGCTTCGTCAATTTATCGGTCTGGCTACCTAATGGAATGTCCCCGGATACTCACAGCCATTTATCAGGAAACGGTGTCCCCGGAGCAGCCACAAGACGGCACTTTGCCATTTTCGCGCAACTTTGAGATTGTTCTCATAGGTCGCACAGATGTCTACTTCGAAAATGTATGTATGCCTCTGCCGAGCCAGACCGCCCTTGATCCCCTTCCGCGTCGCCAAGTGATAGGCGTAGAGGGAAAAAAAAGCCGAATCTTTCGACGTTCCATCGTCTGAGCGATCAGACGAGAATCGCATCACATGGCATCCGATCACATCTTCGAGTCGAACCTCGGTCAGTTTACCTGAAATTCCAAATGAGGCATTGGGAACTCCGTCTTCAATGAGACGTCGAACATATTTTTCCCCCTCCCCCCCTGGGGGGCAATCGAGAAGCACCCGAGCGAGCTACGAGCGTTACCAGAAGGTAGACGGGTCGCCCGACCCTATGGAGACGGGACTGAAGCGAACGAACCTTTCGCCTGGAAGACGAATTTATCTTCCAAAAGCTTCAGCTGATATCGAACACCTGTTGTGTTGGGATAACGGTGATAGCAGCCGTCCAAGATAACGAAATCCTCTTTCTTGATCGCCATATCGCTGTGGGTCAAAGATAAACGAGTTATTTCCTCGGAGCGAAAAGTACCGTCGTAATTTCGCGCCCGATTCAAATCTCAGCCTCACGCGGCTTTTAGCGTTCAAAGGAGTTACGGTGATGAATCTCCACGGGAGTCTACCCTATCTTGCGCTGTCTGCCACAAGGATCATTTCGAGTCTATGTGGAGGAGCTAGTAAGGTAACCACTCTCGGTCTCCGAGCTTCAAGGAGAGGACCCGAAAATGTTGTCATCCGCTATGAGTAGGGCTCGACTTTTGGCGCGGCATTTTAGGCCAAAAATCGCGGCGAGGGCGCGGCTTCTCCTTCGAAAAATCGCGGTGCCGCGATTTTCTGGCTTACGTGCGGTAGATATGGACATTCAGAGCGCGATTCTCTGCTCGAAAAACTTATCCAAGAAAATCTTCGCATCGGAGAGACATGAGCTGTCTTTGATGAACGCCGATCATCCCTCAGAACATCAGAACAACAGCCGAAAGTCGAGCCCTAGCTATGAGATATGAGCCATCGGCCCAGTCTCCAGAAACAGCGACCTTGATGCCCCTACAGCGAACTCCTTTCTCGCTTGCACGTTTCGGCGAACGGAATTGTATGCCTGAATTGGATATAATATTCTCCTGATTGTCCTTAGTATACTCGCTCGGAACAGTCATTCGAGAAAGCTTTCTGACTGCTTGAGTCCTGATGCTGTTGAATATATGCGGGGAAAAGATGCTGACGATTTTGAGCGCGTTCCCATAATCTGACTGGCATGGGAAAGCCGGACCCTGACAATGAGCTCGAATTTGAGCACTTCCGATTCGATCTCTCAGTCATCAAAGAATTTCGCGATTGCGTCGTATGCTGTTCTCCCCGGGGGCTAATGATCCGGCCCAGAATCGGTGTTCGCCTGTCACCGAAAAGAGCGGAATAGATCCGAGAAACTCCGGCTTACCGGAATATATGAAGCCGGGAATCTCGATGGCTTCTCTGATATCTTCTCAAAGACCTCTAATGTCGGATATTACACAACGAGCGGTGGTTCCCGATTTCGAATATCTACATTTCCCTAGCTCGTTCCCGGGACATGCGCACGGACATTTGGGCAGTCTGTAAAGTAACCCGAGCTAATCCTCATTCCTTTCAGGACCGAGAACTTTCGACAACGGATATCATAGCGATCGGAGGCAAATGCATCAGGATCGAACAAGGCAAGGAGCTCCATCGTCCAGAAGACCCTCGATCCCAGCCGACCGACGTTGAGCAGCGAATGTCGCTAAAGCACAGCTGATGATTGTTTCAGCATGGAGGCTACTTATGTGTTTTTCGTTGTGGAAGTGGCTGAGAGCGAGCGAGGCGTTTTTTCATTCCATCTTGCCGTCACTCAGATTACTTTCTTAGATACCAATACTCAGGTGACGGCTGTCACTGTGTAGCGGCGGAACAGAGGGAAGCTCATGCCAACAGCTCGCAGAAGCAATCCGATGTAGTCCCCGAACGTAATCAAAATTTATTAGTCAACCGCGTTCTTATGAATACAATGGGTCATGCGACTTGGCAACAATGCAAGGGACGTGGTGAAATGGAATGACAGACTGACGATAGGTGCTGCGAAAGCATTCGACTTGCCGAACACGTCGACCTTGGCGGAACCATTTTCGTGCGCTTCGAGACTAAATCGAGCGATGGAAGCTAGAACTTCGAACGGGCTCTCTCAATGACGAGTTCCGACAATGGTCACAACAAGTGTATGTTGGAAATCCCCAGCTGATGCCGTTGATAGGATCCCAGATCTGTCAGAGATTCAAAGTCATTGTCAGATCGGAATCGGATCTCGCGCAATAACGTCGAACATTAGCAGAGCACATGCTTGTATCTCATTGGAGCTTGGAATTCTCTCATCACCGTCGCTTCGATCCCGTCAGATGCACACGCTTCTAGATCCTCTCTCGTTCCGCGTCAGATAGATAGCTTTGGCCATCACGTTGAATCTACCATTCAGTCGAGCGAGCGTCACGTATATCCGTTAATCGCAAGAGTAACGTCGTATTGTCCGAATCAGTACCGTGTGAAGCCGGGCTGCGTCGATTGGAACCGATCAGCTGTTCCCACTGGTATCTATACCGCTCGCGAATGTTTCGTCACGAAAAAGCCTTTGACTGGTTTCGCCAGAGTCGATCATTATCACCAAGGGTTATCGCACCTTGAGCCGTTTCGCGTGAAGTTCTCGGCTGGTGGCTCGAGCTACAGATTTATTCACAATTGAGTCGATGAGTTCTTGGGGTAATTCTACTCCTCTCGGTACATCTGGACCCTAGTCTCAGCTGCTCCAAAGCTCTTCAGCTCTCGCGCTCGCTATAATCTACATACCTGTATGTGCAGCTCTCTGACGCACGATCACTTTCTATCCGGCGATTCCTGCATTTCGAACGTCGCGGTCACTCCTTATCGTACTCTGCAAGATGGTGATGAAAAACGAGCGATGAAATCCGCACTGCTCGGTCCAGACTCCGACGATCCGTTTGTTATGGAGCGTCAGTAGTCAAACTCACTCGCTCACTCACGGCGGATACGATGAAGGAAAGGGCAAAGGTACCAGTGGACAGCGAGGAATCATCGTGAGAAAGAGAAGGCCGCCATCACCACCAAAGTCAACGCCGCCAATCACGACAGATCGACATCAGAATTGCCACACCCACTCTACCGCCTGCCGGGGAGAGTTCTCGGTGCTCGGAACGAACCGGGACAACACTCGAGAAGATCTCCAGTTCCAAGTCCCGACTCAAACGGAAGGACCCGTGCAAATCACGCTCCAGATGAATCTGCTGTCGCGCTCCGCGGGCTCGAGTCATGATTTGGTCATCCGCGCATGAGTCGCTGAAGTCATCCTCGGCTGGAGAAGTTCGCCTCGCATCCCTCGATTCCCCGATTAGAGCCTCCGCGATGTCATTGACGAGTGTGTGGGGCCTGCTACCGGGATTCGATTTTGGAAATGACAGGCTGAGCTTAAAGGAGCGTGGAATGAGGGATGGAATCACCTTCTCTGGTATTCGATAGTGGATAATCCCAGAGCGTTGCAAGTGGAAAAATTGGCGAGGATTATCGTGATTGATCAATTGTGATGCTCGCTCTTCGTCGGGAACGAGTTGGGGCAGAGTTGGGGGCAGGGAATATCGCGCACTATCCGAAGGTAGCCAGGAGGCTCTTTGAGCAGCGAAACAGCTCCCCCGGCTTTATCTTCAGGGTAGTCACATGTTTCTTCATCGTTCTCTCATACAGTATGACATGATCTGCTTCATTATGATGTCGATCTCCTCGTAGGTAATCGCCAATGAAAGGGATCCTTGGAACCGGAACTGTCGGCCGGAGCGAGGAGGATCGGCGAGCGTTGCCGGGGACGCGCTTTGTCACAGGAATCTTCACCGTCACCGCTTTCGCCGGTCAGAGATTTGATGCGATTCCTGATCTCTCCCAGGAAACGGGCTGCCTTCCCGACTCTTTCGAGCGATGCCGACGTCTCGCAGTGACTGAGGGTTTCACTATCTATTGGCCTGCGAACGAAGCGTAACGTGTAGCGTCGAATGCTGTCTCGCTCAGCATGGCGCCATCGAATCGTTCTCGCCAGAGAACTCATCGTTCCAAGGAGCTCCCCCTTATCCTGAATCACGGTTGGCAGACCCCGCTTCTGTCTGAGAATGGATGTCGCAGTGTCTCCCGTGCCCCATGCAGGCGAAGATTGAAGATGAATCCGAGATGAATGATTAAGACATTCTGAGAAAGGGACAAGGTCTGGGACCGAAATGGCAATACCTTGGATCGGCGAGCTGGAGCTGGGGTCGGGGTCTCATGGCTCTTTTCGAGAATCGAGAGGGTTTCCAGTGGTTCCCGGAGTAGTCCATTCGGACCCCCAGGTTCCATGGCGATTTCCGGGTGCCCATAGGACTCGTCCTAAGAACCCCACTGTTGATGAGGTCGTACTGCTGATTTCAACAAGAAATCCATAGTAAACCTTGATCCAATAGTATCCTCTCTGCGATGGCATCTCCTCACCGGGGGCATTCTGTCATACATCTGTCTCCTTCAGCATGGAATTAGAAGTCTCGGCAACCATTACTATAACTGCTCCGTAAATTGATCGCTGAAGTGTATCGCCTCTTATGATGCTCGATTGGCTTCTTATCAGCTCCAATGTCAACCCGGAATCATCAGAAAGATTTTTCCCAGCATGATTGTAGATATGACGACCATGTGCTCGGTCGCCGGGCGATACTATTCTTCGAAGGCCTTCGGAGTAAAATGCGTTAGCTCCCCCGTGGGACGCGAGACGTATGTCGGGATAGCACACCTGCTCGCTGGCTCATCCTTGGTGGACTAAGTCCCTCTATCTCTCCTGTCGTTTTCCGATGTCACGCTCATGACGACGATTCGATGCTCCTCCAGCTCCGACGTACTGCGAGATTTATGAGCGGCTCCTGCCTAGTAGGACTCGTAAGGAGGGCCTAATGCTATCAGCAAACGAATGTGGTAAAGTGCGTTCGGGTGCTGATGGTCTATCGCGTCAATACTTCGTCAGAAACGAGCCTCTGGCTCGCTTCGAGTCAACTTAAGACATCGGTCTCCCTACCATCACGACGCGGCCCTGAGCTCCGACCCGCACTTGCAAGCTTAGGCCTGACGATTCTGTGATGGCCCGTCGTCCCCGATGTTTATCTCTGCCTTCATGATATGTATTATACGTCGAACCTGTTCCTGAGTATGCATCTCACTCGGGTGTGCGCGGCCCACCTTCAAAGTTAGTTAGAGATTGCGACGATTCCCGAGGTCGGCCGAACCCCGCTGTGGCCTTCATCTACCCCGCCGGTCCGACAAGGATAAACTCACAATTTGCGATGCCGGTTCTGAGACCTTGTGCAAGATGATAAAGATTTTCAAAGGGAATCATGTTTCGTGATTTTGCGCTTCCGAGCGTCGCCGATTTTCAGACTGCTGAGAATGCCGCAGTCATTCGCCTAGTAATACTCCCCGAAGATGATTGTTATAGAGTTAGTAGGCATGTCCGACTTACTCGAATAATCGAAAGTTAGTTTAGAAATATAAAAATTCGAGAGCTCCTGAACTACTTAGGGTCCCGAGAGGTCCATAATCCGATTATGGAGTGCGCAAATCGACGACCCACCCTTGCTTTCGAAATCTGGACGAGGGTCCTGCGAAGGGGGACATGCAATATAAGGTGACTGAAGTCATTGGAGTCTCTACATGGGAGGGCGCCGCAACGAGTAGGAAGCTTTCGCTTACCTCCTCCGCGCATCTCTGTCGAGAATCGAGATGAAGATAAAATAAAGCATCTGTCTCTTATTCCACTACCAGCTAGAAAGTTTCGACTATTACAGTGAGAGGAATGTGAGATACTACCGAAGAATGCGGGGGGAGTGGTCGATACAATGAAGCACATACTTTCTGTAGCGTTGAGGATTTACAAAACTCGTACTCTATTGAACTGTCAGAGAGCACAAAGGGGTCGTTGAGAATCACCGAGATTCTCCTAATCAACTCCAGAAACGATATCGGTATAAATCTCTTAAAGTCGGTACTTGTCGTGCAAAGAGTCGGCCGTTCCCGGTGCCTCCGCGAAGCACGGTCTTCCGGTGCTCCTCTTGTCTCGCTGAGCAATTTATCAGTCCGGATTCCCCGACCGTCTCTTCCTATTTAGCGTATCCTCCGCCTGCTCGCCTTCTGCTTCGCCGGCGACCTGTTTTTGAAGAATTTCGAGATAGCAAGATACGATAGTTCGTCTAGCCTGAAAATCCTCTGTCTCACTTCCGTGCGTGCTCTTGCCTGACTGGACCCACATATCTCCGAAAGCCCACGTAATTTTGTTATATATATATATATACCGACTAGTATTTCCGAAATAACCTCGCAAGGGGTTCCGACTCCTGAGCTCAGTCGAGAAATTTGGAGGGGGTCTCACGCTGGAAAGAAATCGGCTGCTCCATATGTGGGGGGGGGGGGGTTCTCTTCTATCTCCATTTGAGCTTCGCTCCTTCTTCTGATAGGGTATGTGTTCCTGATAGAGTGCCGTTCTTATAATAGAGAAAGTACGGTCTTGCACCTCAAGGTAGATGTGCTGGAATCGATGCTTCTCGACGATTTTTTCCGCTTCAACTTGGTGGGGCGCCTCTGCGGGGCTCCGAGGGAACTCGGCTTTGAGGCGTTTAACGCAGTCCAGCACGGACACACGCAAGAGCATTCCGGATTCCCAAAGCACGACATCGCGACCATGAGAATTTAAAGTTTATTTGAAGCATAGGAATCCTTCTTGGGGGTCCAACGCCTGATGGAAGACTCCGGGGCAGTTTCTGGGATGAGTGACCATCACTCCACCGCGGAATCCTTGCGAGAACAACACGGAATATAAATACGGAATGTTTTAGGCGGTCTTGACCACTTCCCGGAAGGGATCGTGGTCGAAACTGTATCCCATGTGATGGTACTCCTTCTTTCTCTGCTCGGCCAGTAACGGAAGCGGGGTCGGTAGTTTCGGGGCGGAAACATATATCATATGCTCTCGGCTCTCCGCCGCGTCGAGGACAGCCCGGAGATCTTCGGTCGCACTGAATCGGGGGAGTCTAATCGTGAGTGGACTTACTTTCCGAATGATCGAGCAGGTCCGACTAAAGGGATCTCTCACCTCCGGCCTCTGCCGTCAGCGTACGACGGATGGGGGTTCTGGAAGTTTTGTTGATTGTTCAATCGTTTGTGCTCGAGGAAAAGCCGGCCCGGCTCCTCAGTGCTGCTTCCGACTCGAGCGGCATCGCCGAGGCTCGTAGCGGCAGAAGACGCGACTCCTGGTCGTGCGGATGATGAAGACGTTGGACTTTGATGTTCACCTACAAGAGATAGTTGATAGAAACACTCTACCGAGAGAAACATGTCTCCGGAGCATGGACGGATCAGATGATCCTTCTCCTGAGCCCACTTCGATCACTCATTTGTAGGTAAGCTTACGGCGGAATCCGGGCTGTATAGAGGGCGCTCTCTCCTGTCGACCCGTCATCAGAGGAGCTTCCACGTAAGGAACACCGCCTGCAGAATCAGAACTTAGAGCGCTGAATCTTATCCGAACACCGAAATTGTTGACAATTATGCCGGTATCCTGGGTGTATATCATCATGTTCGTCCATTGTCCGAAATGGCTTTGGTAGAGGGAGTGAAATCATGTTCGGACCCAGATCAGATACATCCGAAGAGCTGCTTGGAGAGGATCAAGCCTTGCCTTGATTCCGTTGAAAGTTACGGAGGTCTTCGGCATTCAGCTGGACGGGCGATTCCCGGCTGTCGGCGTCTGGGGCGCCGAAGTCATCCGTAAAGTAGCGATCCGGGCTTATGGTCCGCCCCTGGAGGTCGAGGATACCCGACTGCGGCGGCTGAACAATCGTTCGAAGTGAGAATTCTCTACAGGCGACAGGGGGGACGAATTTATGGTCTTTTCCATAGAATCAGGGAGACTCACCTTCTCCATTGCCGATCGGACGTACTCTCTCTCGCCGTAGTTCCTGGCTTTCGTTGGAGTGTTGTCTTTCATAGGCTCCCCGACGTAGGAAGGAACGAAGCCTGAGTTCACCACATATCTCCCTTTGAGATCGAAGTTGCCCTGATCGCTGACGACAGGCTGCGTAGCTCCATGCTCCTCAGTTGGCTGTGAGTCGTTCCGATTGCTCCGCGATTGGGGAATACCCCGATTATTAGAAGAGTATTCCTCAGTTCGGTCTCCGATGTGCTCTTGGTCTGAATGATTGTGGTGTTCGCCATGGGAATGATCGTAGACTACTTGATGAGTTGTCGAGTATGAAACAGCTTCCGGATGATGCATAATGTGAGAGTGATTGAAGCGCGATCTCGAAGGGATCGCCACCTTACGCTCATCGGCGACGGTGGAGTTTGATTCTTGTTGTTCCTGATGATGCTGCTGTCTGTTATCACGGTCCTTATGATGATATCGATGACGAGAACGATCGTGTTGATGATGCTCGTCCTGAGGTCGACCATTATACTGGCTGTCCTCTCTAGTGTAATGATCTATCCTGATATCCGTCGTGCGAGTTTGTTCTCCTGACTGATAGATATCTGTGGTAGGCACTCGATAGGGATGCGTACCACCAGCACCAGTATCGGGCGGGATGAATCGGCGATTGTCCTGTCGAGGATCGTATACCGGAGTGCTCGCGAATCCCGGAGTGCTCGCGAATCCCGGAGTGCTCTCATATCCCTGGATGCTCCCGTAACCCGAAGGATTTCTCGCCTGAACGTGGCCGTAGCGTTGACTCAAGGAGGATCTCGAATCGATTGGGTCCTCGCTCGCGGCTGCGGGTGGGACTCGCCTAAATTCCACGTTACCGCCAGGGTTACTCGCATCGGCAGTTCGTGAAGAGGTTGCGGAATTGGAGCAATCAACCTGAAGGAGGGGGAGCCAAGTCAGATTTTCGCAACCCAAGTCCCTGCTTCTCCAGGCGGAACAGAACTGTCGTCTCTCCTCTTCTTTGTGAAAGTGAATCAGAACCATCCGTTTCTCTCAAGCTCACCATGTGAATGTGGTTGCAAACGTGCAGCAGAGGATCGAACGCTGTTCCCGGACCGCATTGCTGCCTGTGAGCGGTGCAATGAGCGCAGTTGTAGAAAGCTGTGCAATCGTCCGGGACTGGGAACAGTCCATTCGCTTGTGGACAGGGGCTCGATCCGCAACCGGAATCCTGGAGGAGTCCGAGAACATCGCTTATCAAATCGTGGCCACCGTGGAATCACTCAGAGCCGCTGCTTTGAGCTTCGAAAGAAGAAAACAGGATTCCGAGCGCACTGGGGAGCGGCGGGGAACTCGTCGCGACCTTACCTGCGCGGTCGCGGACTCGAAGAGAACGAGCAGGATGAGAAACGAGCGAAAACCACGATTCCGACTCATGTTTGATTCAAGAGAATGCACAGTTTTCTGAACGAGGACTTTCTCTTCTCCCAAAGCTTGCGGCGAAAGTAATCAGCGGACACGATTTATTCTATCTATATTTGTGGCCAGTGGCCAGTTGGTGCAGAGAGAGGAGAATCTCTCCTTCTGTGCTAGAGAAGAGCACTGCAGGAGTGATGTCAACTGCCGTCTCATCGCGTTTTGAGACATCCAGCGGGCTGCCGCAACGACCGCCGGCGATGACGACTCTCATGATGATGCTGAAGGGCAACGATATTGAAGAGAGCGGGAGCGCGTCTCTTCCGTTCGCCGGGGGGCTGGCTTGAAGCCCAAGCAGAACAGATCCAATCTCTCCTCTGAGTGAAGCTGTCAGGTCTTTTTCCAGCTGAGGAATAGCCGGAGTCCGGTAGGTACGAATACCTCCTTTCAACCATCATCAATAGTGACGGCTAACAGAGGTCACCGAGGCATTCGCCTTATCTCAACCTTCAGGTAAGGATAGTGTTACGTTCAGGGGAGCGGAAGACAGCACTCGTGATTCCGGCCGAATTTCGTGGACCGGGAAATCGCTCGAATCGCGTTCCCGAGAAACCCGAGGACGGATGCGCCTCGTGAGCTGGTACCCCATGCTCGGAGAACTTTCCGCCCGCAGGGAGAGCGTGGTGGATACCTCCTTTCGATGAAGCAAAATCAAATCACGGGCTGTTAATCTGCTATCCGATAGTATCCGATTATCACACTGGGATCGCAAACAAGCCTGTGACAGTTCGCTGATGTGAGTGGGTCACGGTGTCGAGCTACTTGGGTATCGCCCGAGGACGAATCAGTGGTGCAGGTGTCGAAAAGAAACGGAGTCCGTTTGAGAAAGACGATTGGAGCAAGAAGGACTCTTTTCTTCGAGCTTCGAATGGATTGCCTCTGAGTCAGGAAGGAATTATGGGATGATGTGAAAGCGATGAGGAGTTCGCGGCATTCATTTTACGAATCGTGAAATGCTCCCAAAGTGAGGAACTTTGTTTGGGACAAGATGTCTCCATGTCCGTCTTATCGCGCGCGAGATTTCCACCCGCAATACTCGAGGAACAAGGCCGTTGCTTGCGAAGGTTGTCAACAAATTCTCGAAAACACTATGAGCCACGTTGTGGCGGTAAGGGGAACCCTCGTCTGCGTAGCGCGCAAACACAGGCGATGACGGCCCGTGACGCTATACGGCGCATTTGTACCCTACCAACCTGCGCGCAGGTCTCTTCATCGACTATCGTTGCGGTTCAGTGATACCGAATCCGACGCACACGTCAGGCATCTGTGCCACGATAATTTAGGATCGACTCAGTGATTTCTGCAGCCCCCCCACCAGGAGGGAGCAGCCGGAGGTTCGGATCAGACCGTCCGCTGGGACGAAGCCATTTGGAGCAGGGCGGCTGTGATCGAGATCCGAATAATCGCGTGACTCCCGTCCTGAGAAACTCCCGGAATCCATCTGTCTTTCGAGCTACTATGGTCCTCGATCATCAATTTGCCCCTATTCTCCGAATCTGAATCTGGTATTGATGAAGAAATGGCACAAGCGACGACTACTGAAATCCTTGGAGGTCCGACTCCTCTCTCTAGGGCTCTCGAGTCTTGTCTGCGGAAGCGTGACGCAGGTCCAGCTGATTCATCGCCCAGGACAATTCTCCACGCACCACGGAGAGATGAGGGATGAGCAGCGTTATTCCTGGGATTTCTCGGAAATGGATTCATGAACACCGCGGAGATGCGGACACGACTCTGACGGTTCATGAGTCGTCATGATCGCAAACTCCTAAACCGTTCACGAGAGATCTACCCCCTCAATCGAGGTCCAATCAACTCCCGAGGGAAATCGGAATCGCCCGAAGGGAACCGGTGCATTGCAGAAGTTTGTTCTCTGCCACGCTCCGAAGCGACCCAAGCCTAGGCATCGGAGATGAGCTCTAGAAATCGTGACCTGATGTTATTTCTTGAACTTGAAAGCGAGACCAGCAGTATGGAGATACACATTATACCGAATCGAGCCGTTCTCTGCCTGGAAACGCGCGTACTGCCGCTCAGCCTCGCCGGAAGGACGAGATAATTCGGCTTGAAAACTATGTCAGATCGATCTCATCGATATTGAATTGACAGAATGGAGAAAAAAACAAGCAAAGAATCCTGATCTGACCCGGTAAAGACTGTCCGCTCGTCCTACAGATTGAACTTCAATATTTATCGAGCAGAGTTTTCCTGCTTTCCGAGGGAGCCCGCACAAGGCGGAGAGAGTTTGATCAGGAACATCAGTTCTCGCGTCCGTTGCAACAAAGATTGACCTTATCGCTAGGTGTGTCTCAATTTATTCAAAATCCGAATAGACGTGAATGGTTTGAGGTCCGACGGCTCGCGATCAAAGATGGCGATTCCAGGCATGAACGTCGAGTGCCTACATCTCGGTGAAGTCCTCGGAAATGAATCCCGTCACTCAATGAATCCTGCCATGGAGCTCTTTGATCTACTCCGCCGTTTCGTTGGCAGCGATGAGCGGAAGCCGCAGGTTCCAGAAACTCGACTCATTATAGGAGGTATTTTTCTAATCTGTAAAGCATAGACGGCGATTGCTCCTCATGGATCGAGAGCAACTGAAGCGTAACGATCAGCATTATTGTTGTCCTATCGACTGAGCCGAGAACAGCTTCTCTCACTCGCCTGTTCGCTTACAGGTATCGACGGTGCGGACCGGAAAAGCAACGCAGGATGCGCGGACGGCCCACCGGCGCACAAGCCGAGTGGCAGAATAGCAGTCGGATGTTTTGCAGCTTCCCGACGTCTACTCACGCCTAAGCCGCCGTGGCGAACATTTTATGACTGTGCTTTCGGTGTCAATATCGTGTATAGTCGTGGGCATGCTGCTTACCATGGAAGTGCTGGAGTCGCTCTCTTCACGTCGGCCTTCACTGAAGCGTAGATCCACTGAGAGCCATTCTTCGAGCTCGTGCTGATTCTAAAGTGCGGCAGATTCCACAGAGCCCGTTCTGTGGGTTTTGCGCGGAAGAGGTTCGTCTGCGCGCTCCGTCAATGCCTGGAAGGGAAGAGGAAAAGCCCAAGACCTTACAGTTATTCAAGTCCGAGCTGGCTAGTGTTCTTGAGAATAATGCGGCCAAACTCCTGGAGAATCACAGTGAACAAACCGACCTTGCCTCGAGCTCGAAGCTGTCCCAGAAGAAAGCGTCCCAAATAAGCTTGGCGAGGCTATTCAACTCCGGCTCTCCCAGTACGCTCACAGTCCATTCAGGCAAATCCGACACAGCAGAAAGGAGTAGTGAGCTTAGAATTTCTACCGAATCACAAGATCGCAACGGCAACCGGAAGACCTCGAATGCGGCGCAAGTCGGTATGAGAGACTTCCCGAAGTCGAGGAGTGTTTCTTCGTCTGACACCGAGGACTCAGATATAGAGTACAGCAAATTCTCGTCCAAGGAGAGGAGCCGATTCTTTGTCGCCTTGCCAGCTAAGACAAAGCACAGACCCAAGACACCACTGCAAACCGAAGCTTCGGTGCCCGACACTGCAGTGAAACCAGAGTCCGAGGAGAATACGGGAACCGGGGGCACCGAATTCGTGCGGAACGTGATAGGCTTCGGGGCTCAAATTCGTAAATCCTTCTTTAGGAGGAAAGTCCAAAGATCCGAGGAGAAATTAGGCCCTCTCAAGCAGATCCGGTCGGATGACGACTCCTCAGATTCCGAAGCTGAGGATGTAACGATATTCATGCCCCGATTGGCAAAAGCCTCACACGCACAGCCTGGTGTGCCAGAAACCACGCCGTCCTCACACCATTCAGACGGAGGGCCCGAACTACGGAGCGAGGCTCTAATGAAAAAGACGAAGAAGTCCGGATTTTTCTTCCGGAAGAACAACAATCAGAAAACCGAGAAAGATTGTAAGCTGCCTTCGAATTCCGCGACGGAGGCTGTCCAGCTGCGCGGGGGCGACTCTTCGACTAAATGCGGTGGTTGTGAAGTAGTGAGTGGGGAGGAGAAATCTGAGAGTAGATTCTACGTCAATGCGGAAATCATTCCGAATCGCGCCAGTGAAGACACCGATTCTCAGGGTAATGGCTTGAGGCAGTACTTCGAGGAGGCTCTGGCGACCGAAGACTCAGCGAGAGGTCCAAAACGTCGACATCTCAGCTGGTTCACTCGCAAACGAAAATCTGAAAGACCTGCAGTAGTGGCGGCGGCGGTCAAGAGCTGCACGGATATCGGAACCCAGTTTCCTGAAGTCGAAGAGCCCGACGTGAGCCCTGAGGACCCGGATACCGAGGCGCACCGCGCGATGCTCGAGAGAACTTCAATATCCCAGGAATTGTTATGGAAGGTACCTCGAGAAACGGCGGAGATCAAAGAGGTAGGTTTCAGATGTCAGGATCGAGAGGTAAAGCGCAGCAGAACCGATACAGCGATAGAAGCTCTCAGAAAGTTGCGGAGACTTGTCTCCTTCTATTCCGCTTCTTTCCAGCAGCAAGACGTCCGAGGGGTGATGTTCCAATGCTCATCGAGTCATAACGAGTTTCCAGTCCACGAATCGGATTATGTGCCGGGTGATTCAGAGCTGACACTGTCGTCGTTGGACGTCACCGACAAGGTAAACAGCATCTGAAGGATCACAAATCACAATGATACCATTCCCGAGAGCATATCTATGGTTTAGTCATCGAATCATCTGAGCGTGATGTGAATACAATCTCCCTTCCAGGTGAACGTCGTCAGCCCACCAACTTATTACGGCTCGAATCCGAAACCTGCCAGGATCCCAATATTCAGTGCTTGTTGTCCAGCCAAAGCAACCGATCTGAGCGTCCCATACGTGAAATCTGCGATAGAGGGTGCCGAGAGTAGACCACAGAAAGTTCTGAGAGAACGTGAAGCCCGAGAGCTCAATCCCGCAATGGCTATTGTGAAGACGGTCGCAAAACAGGTCGGTGCCGATATGCGCGACTCGACTGAGCTCGAAAATTCGCCGCTCTGAAATATTTAATTCTTTGTAGTGGCTGCATCTTTTACCCGTCAACGTTCTTCTCCCCAGGTTGTGGTCAAATTGCGCGAACGCGAGAGGAGAAAGAAGAAAACAGAGGCCATTTTCTACCCGAAGACATATAGCAGTTCGCGCAGGTGGAATAGTTGTGCGGATTTAGAGCGGACGAAGTATACCGATCATCTCGCGAATCATTCGGAAAGGCGTCGATCGTTATAGGGTCGCTGTTTTCCAGGTTCGAGTAATTCGCCGCCTCGATGTGAATCGAGATTTGTCCGTGAATAAATTCAGGTGAATCGAACCTCCTCCGACCTCCGTAGTCTAGGATGATTTTGTTGGTACAGCGTCAAAGCATGATGAATGATGACCATAGGATATGCGGGAAGTCGAGCCATTCAACCCTTCATGTTGAAACATATTGAGAAGGAAAATGACCCTTTAACACCGAGTATGTACGTATATTATCCTTACGCGGGCCCCTCTTTCAACTATAACATGTGGTGTACAATCCTCCTCAGCTAGTCTCCAAGGAGACACAGAGCTTAGTTTGGCTCTTGAACGAGTGATGGTCAACATAATGATTCAGGCTTTTATTCTCGACCTTCTCGAAATCGGTTCTAAAGTAATTTACATTGTGTAACAACCACGCGAGACAGACAAAAGCTACACACTATTTCCAGAAACGATCTCCAGCGTAATTTCTCCCAAGAGTCCAGAGACGGTGGGGAGAATTATCCGAGATTTCGAGATGGAGTCCCGATAGAAGAGGATAATCTTTGAGGAAACGACTGCTCTCCTAGCCAGATGAGGAGGTTGTCCACAACTATATATTAGATTCTGGGGAAATTGACACCATAGATTCTGTGTGACCTTGAGAACTCCCAGTAGGGGGAACCTTCTACTGCCGTAGGATTCGCGTGGAAAGGCAGCCTTGTCTTAATCGGGCCGCCAAGTGGATTTTCCTCATCTTCTTTGCTCCTCGTTAGCGAGACTCCGGGGCGATTTTTCTTCCCTTCTCATTCTGCTTGGGATCATGACTTTTCTTGAGAGGGCGGCTTTCTCGACAACGAAGGGCGACGTGGACCGCTTGAATCGATGGACAGCGTAGGAAATATCCTCGGCTATTGGGGCAGGAGGACAATCCTCTTCTTCTCGCCCCCTTCCCGACTCAAATTCTTGAGATCTTGAATATCCACTTCGTTGATGATGGCCACCTCCTTCTGAGGGCGTCGCGTAGGTGGGAACGACATCCTCCAACTCTTGTCGGTCTTTGAGGTGAGTGGAGTCCCTGCGAGCCGTTTTCGACGTTTCTTGGTGCAATCGTCCAGCTGCTCCAAGGATTTACTCGATCCTGTAGTGACCTCCCGATTCGGGACGCCCAGACGAGCTCCAATGTTTTCTCTCCGACTGATAGTGATATTAGGTAGTTAATTCAAGATAGACAGTTCCCCCACATTGATAGTTCGAGGAATTCATTAGAAGTATCAAAACGTTTCGTAGCGCCACTCACTTGGAAATGTACTGAGGCGGTAAGAAAGGCTCATCGGGATCTTTAGGGAGCTCTGTGAGTCTTATCTTCAAACCTTCACCCATAGGATACAGGGGCCTGTAGTAGGTCTCGCGTACTGTGCCGAAGAGCGACGTATCGCTTTGTACGCTATTGGTGCTGGTGGCTCTCGACATGTCCTTGAGAAAAGCGGAAAAATTATGATTCGAGCTTATTCACGACAGATCTCCCCATAACGGTTATTTCCACCTACATAGGGTCTCAGTCTCCGCTTGCGTCTAATGTAGTAGATAAAAACAGCAATTATGGCGGTGATGAGAACGGCTCCGCAAATTATCGACACCAAAGTCAGAACGTTGGATAAACCTGTGAATTCATGGTAGCATTGTGGAGCCCTGGAAGAATATTCGAGCGCGAAGCTTTCGATCGGCGCGATCATTCACTAGAGTGAAGAGCGTTAGAACTTAGAACCATACATACATTTTTCATCCGAGTCATCTCCACAGTTGTTGATGCCGTCGCAATAGAATTTATGGTAGATACAGCTATCGCCTCCGCTACAGGCTGCTTCGTCGCGGAAACATCGTTTTGAGGCGCCTGAGGAGGGAGCATCGAGGATCAGAACAAGTGGGGAGGGCCCGAACTATGGGGAGCTCTGCGAGGCTTCGAAGAGGGAACTCACTTATCCGCAGGGCAGTCACTGTGATGACGAAACCGATCCGATCGAATCCCCAGTCATCCCGATGAGTAACCATTTTCAAATAGAAAACGTTTCCGCGGAAGGTTCGGCCGGTCTTGCCTCGAGGATCGTCTACTTCGTCACAAAGCTTGGTCACCTGATCTTCTGTTTGGTCGCCACCCCACAACTAGACGATAGAGCGGGAGGCAATCGCGTCAAGAGCCGAGAAGGTTCAAATCAGGGGAAATTCGATGCCGGAAAGCGTCGAAGAGAGGCGGCATTCTCACCTTCAAGTACGACTTGCACGCATGGGGTATATCCAGCACTTGAATACTGTACGCGAGTTTCGAGGAGTTCGAGGTTGTTGTGAACTTGACGACACAGTGGAAGCTCCCAGGAAGTCCCCGATTGTGAGTTCCTCGGATCTGAGAATCGACCGACAGATGTGAGGAAGAGCCTCGAACACGGCGAGCAGACTCCACCGTTACCGACAACGTACACTCACTTCGATAACGGACCCCGGTCCGGTGGAGTTGACCTTAACGATTCCACTGTGAGAATTCCCACAAATGTTCTCCAAGGACTCTGAAACCAGGAAACGAGCGTCAGATTTTGAATGCACCCTCTGTTAACCCCCCGTAATCGCACTGGAAGGGGGTTATCTCCATTGGCGAAAATTTCGAGATTGCTCTTCGTCGGATAAGTGTCACGAGCATCGACTCGCTGCTTGACTCAAGAATGTCATACGTAACGCCGCGGCCCCTTATCAGGATAGGGAATCGCGCATTTGAGTCTGGGGAAGTATTGATGTATTTTTTTTTGTGTGCCACAGATCGCTTCCGCTTCCAGCGCCGCGCCGACCCCGCTATCGGTGTCAAGAGGCAGAAGCCTAGAGAGCTGGTTTGGATCTACGAGCTTCTACGTTCGCTCACGTATAGCAGCGAGTTTCTTTCCTCGCCTTTCAGGGAGCGTCAGTGGCGCTGAATACTGTATGATAAATTTTGCTCTGAGTATGTCCAGCAACTATAGGCTCCAATGTCTGCGCTCCGACTGCTCTTGCACAACTATTCGAAGGCCAGCGATTGAGGAGCTTGATTGAACTAATTGTAATGACTTCCGTCGTCGATATGAACAACATTCTCTGTCTCGAACTGGTATATTTTTCCGAAAATTTGAGAACAGAGAGAACTTCAAGCGTCTCAGAGACAGCCTCGTGCAGGTGCCAGCGAGGGATGAACCCCACAGGAGAGAGGACACGGACATCTGAAGCGCTACGTCAGAGATCTTGTCCACAGAATTATTATCGTATCCCGCGGTAATTGTGTATTTTGTAAAGTCGGAGTCGGTCCCTTCAGGGACCGACTCCTCCAGGAAACCTGCTCTTGCGTTCGAGGCTCAGGGTCGCGCTGATTGTAAGCCCGAGGAAAACAGTTCGCGGTCCGCTTTGATTGCCGTCTCATCTATCCATCAGCCAACAAGCTACATACATACAAGGGAAGCCTACTGGAGACACAGCCGGCTTTTTTCTATTGAGCACGATTGGCCATGCCGCGACTAGGCTCCAGAGTAAGATATCGGGGATGCCCTCCCCGGATAAGATCCTCGACTTCGGACGATCATCGAAATCGATATCGATGCTTTTCGTGAACACAGCTTTGTGCTTCGAGAGGGGAATCCGTAACTGACCTGGCTTTCGGCGCTGTCCGGCTGAAACCGATGGAACATGATAGAGGATCACAGCGACTACTTGTGCAAGGAGCAAGCAGAATCTGCTGACTTGTGCCATTAGGCTGGTCACATCCTCCTTCTGCAGACTCGGATTAGCGTAGGCTGAGATGAGATAAGAAGATGAAACGAGTTCGAACCTCCCGGTGAATCGGAACTTCACGAGGCGCCGATTCCTCTGACGCACTCCTCGATTGTGTTCAGAATCACCGGTCAGCCGTATTATCGCGAGAGCTCTGCCGTAGAGCGCGATCCAACGGATGCTTTCGTCAGGAAGCGTCCTGTAGCGACGGAGGGAACTCACCCTCGGTGACGATAGCGGAGGAGAGTGGTGTGCTTGGTAAATGTTAGAGACCCGTCCGCCGGCGAACGGGCGCACTGTCGCTCAGTTGACAGTGACAAGGCCTTCTGGCTCTCTCGTTCATGTCGACAGTAGTCACTCTCCTTCTCACAGTTTTTCCGCGGCAAACGACACGACACATTGCCTAGTGGGAATTCTCTTGAGTATTCCCTGCAGTGGAGCTTGACTGTTTTGAAGCTTTCATTAATTCTATCCGTTGTGACCCGACTCAGAAAATCGAAGGCGTGCGCTACTGATCTTCGAGAGATCGGAAAAGATGCATCCAGCACAGCGGAACGGAGAGAAACCGAGCTGCAAAATTTGAAAGCCAGGTAAGCGTACACACGCGTGAAAAAGCACTAATTGCCTATCGCTCGTCGATGAGATTGACGGAAGCTCGCGAGGAAGCTCTTCATTCTTGCGTCGTTGCCTCGGTGCGTTCTAGGATCGAGACACTCGGCTCGATCTCTCGCCGCTCTGCCTTCTACCTTCTGTCCTCAATTATGACTAAAAGTTACTGCAATCAATCATCACTTGCCTCCCCGACTTCGTACCTTTGACGGAGGGGTGCAATCGCTATCATCGCTGAGACCTAGTTGGTCGCCATGGCCGAAGGATCTCGTTCCTCCTCCGGCCGACCTCCCAAGGCGAAGAACAGAGATCGGATATGGTTTCCCTATCGCCAGAATAAGGAAAGCCTCGAAATCACGATAGCCGAGCGCCCGGAAAGACATTCAAAGAAAAGATCATGATCCCCAATTTCCGTTCACCCATTTGGGAGCTCCTCAAGAATCACGTCCATTCCGGGAAAACTGGGATGCACCAGATCCCCAAATCTTGACTACTCCGGGAGTCCTTTACTTGAACTGCACTAATTCCGAACCATCGCTGGATAGTATCCCGGTACGAATTCGCATGATGATCGGCCGATTCAATGACTTTGATAAAACTCTGGGTCGAACTCAGCGGTCGTGTCTCGTGTCGCTTATTTGTTGCTCTGAGATACATGACGATTCGCGTGTCATGCTCCCCACAGAAAACGCAGAAAGTATCGGTTCGAACATCGATATTCTCTCTGTTTGAGTCATCCTTCGATTTAGACTCCTTGGTTCCTCGTGAACGGTCCGTTGGTGATAGAGGGACTCGCATAACTTCCGCGAGGAAAGAAATATAGTTGCATTATGTCGAGCGAGCTTATAAATTACTTTACTCAGTATTTCGGTTCCCCATAATTTTTGACTTATGCACCACCGGGACGCTCTAACCTGCTTTTCAGGCCAGCTCAACGATCTTCTACGCGGGGAATACCGGCAGGGCCGTTGAGGCGAAGTGCGGGGGTAGGACTTTTCAAGGACGCCTCATTTCTCGGGCGGGATTGACCCACCGAGAGCGTGCTACTTCCACCAGAACCCGTACTTTCGCGTGGGTGATCGGGCCAGCGAGCGTGAATGTGAAATGGGTTTCCTTCGTGAGATCGCCCTGTGAAGCTCAGCCTCTCATCGGGGAATTCATGGGTGGATAATGATTGATGCTGTGCCAATACGCTCGCCGTGCCTCCTGGCGCGCCAGCCTCTCTCCTGCAGACGACAGAAGTCCTTATCCATCTTATCGATCTTCCCCCAGGAGAGCGAGCGGTTCCTCCGAAAGTTCGTGGCTTATAGTTCAAGCTCGGTGTCATCAGTCATCTCTAGCGTGCCTATGGGGGCTCCTCCGAGTATGAGATAGGACCGCTGATGTTCAAATGGACCCCGAAGAGTCTTTCTTCGTACTTATCAGTTAGTTCCAGAAGAGTTCTGGGGAACTTGGTCACTGAACTATTCTTCCCTCACACCGTCGCCGCAGAAGGCATCAGGAGTCTCTCTGATCTTCTTCCGTAGGTGGCAACATCTGGGAGTATGAAGTACGAAGTTGCACCCATCGGGGCTGGAACGCCCGCATGCGAGAACGGTATGCCGCTGTGAGCGGAGTGCCGAGGTCTCGAGAGCGGCTGTTTGTTCGGATCCCGTATCCCCTTATTCAGATGGGAGTGGAAATACGGGTCATTCTGACTGTCTTGAATTTTTCCGTGAGAAAATCCCTCGGTGCTTCGCAACGTCTTCGTGATGACTTGGGTATCGCGCTGTCTCCTCCGGGGGTAGGTGCTATAATTTTGGCCAAGATAAATTTGATACTGATGCGCAATCAAATGATGATTTCCCGATCGCGGCAAGATCTCCGTTCCGACAAGAATTCACCGCATCCTCATTCATTAGATCGCGCATCGCGCTGTCTCTTTCGCGCTGAGGTCGCCCCGCCAATCTAGCCGCCTGACGGATCCGCAGAGTCCGACGACCGACGATGGGCCTTCCGCCATCTTGCTCCGCGGTCAAATGGCGGCGATCAGGTGCCACCCTGCTGCCTGCTGTCTCCTCGAAAGAAGGAGAGACATCTCAGAAATATTTCGAGTATTCGTCGAGAAGCTTCTGCGAGTGGAGACAAGCGCACTCCTATAAGCCAAAGGCAGTGATCGAGATACGAGATTTGGTGTGCGCGCACCACAGCCGCCTAGCCTCTTACTGACCGCTGCTCTTCCCGCTAACAGTCGCAGTCCTGTGTTGATGCGAAGTGAGACCTACGACGACGACCACTACCCTTGATCGTTTCATTCGAAAACAATCCGCCAGAGCTCGGGCGGGTTGTTGAGCTCGGTGACGGTGTACGCAGTCCATACTTGAGAGTAGTCGGCGGAGTCGTCTTCTCGGAAGAAGTCGTTTGGACAGATCGGATATCCGTGGGGAAATTCTCGGATCTGTTCATCGGTGCCGCGATTGGGAACAGCCAGCAAGCGGTGCTGTTCTGGTTTGCTTCCTCTGAGGCTGTCGACCTGTTCCTGAAACTTCTTCGGGAGCAGCAACATGTATCTGGAGACGTATTTAGACAGTAAGTCAAATCTAAAGCTCCGTTCCTGGGCAGGAATGGCTCACGGCGGTTGCAAACACTTATCAGTGCCTCTGTGAAGCTTTGACATGTATATTTCTGGAAACTGATTTGTGGCGCCACTTTCGTGTCTCCGCGATCTGACGATTCCCACACCATCTGGACAGGATGTGGAACAGATGGAATTACGTCGAGCCGCTCGCCTGCATACCTCCAGGGATTGAGAGGATGCATCGCGAGCATCTTGTAGCCTCAAAGAGTGAATTCGCTCGGAGACTCACAGAGCATGTACCACTCGGGCATCAATTCTGATCTGATACAGACCGAGATTCCTCGCTGTCACGAACGTTTCGAATTGAGGGCTCAAGAAAATGCGCACATTTTCAGCTTTGGAGTCTCTGCCGCAAGATCTCCATAGGAGTTTCATTCTCATGAGAGATCTCGATGGAAAAGTCCAAGATATCCTCAAAGGAATCGATAAGGTAAGAGTCTATTCTGTTTTCCCGGGGGATCATTCTTGCCGCTTAGATCGATGTAGAAGATTCGCCGCTGAGACATTGGCTCATGCGCAGGAATCTCACAACTACATGGATAATACGGCGAAATTGTCGCCATCAAAGCGTCGCGAAGCTACCGACAAGATCACGAAGATGTATGCGAAAGCAAAAGAGCTCGCCGATGACAAAGTTCAGCTGGCCATGTCGACATACGAAACGGTGGACAAGCACATTCGACGACTCGATACGGAACTGGCGCGCTTCGAAAACGAGCTAAAGGAGAAGCTCTTGTCGAAAAATGGTGCACCTACCATCAAAGGAGACAAACGCAAACGTGACCGCAAGAAGGACGCACCTAAACAGCGCAAGAAAGGAAAGAACGTGCACAACATCATAGAGTGAGTAGATTCTCAATGATGCTCGATGGGAGGATACTCTGTTCTCTTTTAGCGCAGGATTCCCAAGCTTCCGTGTTTTCTCCCCAGACCGGATCCTATGCTTCTTCCGTCGCTCCAGAGCATAACGAACAGCGGCGACGTCATGGATATGCCCGTTGACCCCAACGAGCCAACATACTGCTTATGCCACCAGGTCTCCTACGGAGAAATGATCGGATGCGATAACCTAGAGGTGAGCAGCAACCGGAGACGTCAATCTTAGCCCACCGCTCTAAATTACAGTCTGAAAAGATCGATGCCAATGAATTCCGTGGAATTTCAGTGTCCAATCGAATGGTTTCACTTCGTCTGCGTGGATCTGAAAACGAAACCCAAGGGCAAGTGGTTTTGTCCGAAGTGTGGTCCACCAGCGACGACAGAGAAGAAGAAGAAGTGATGGGTGACCCTCCCGGGAGGAGTGACGAAACGCACGACGAGATGATCTCAAATCATTGATTCCGAAATTCTCGAGACGAATTCCATCGTTCCAAGATCCTCTTGATGGTCCTCCTCTCATGCCTCCCAGTGGGGAAATCGCCGAACTCGGAAGAGTGGAAGCCTCTCGGCGATCGATATGATTCGGTGTGAGACATTTCATTACTGATTTATCCTTTACAAAGCATCCAGGGAATCGTCGTGGAATGGCTCGTCGGATACGCTATCGATGCATATTGTTATCATTTGTCTATGAATATCATCTCGATTGAGATGGGGTAATAAACATGTACAGTGATTGTCTTGATAATTGATTGAGACCTTGTTTTTTCTATAGGGGCAAATGCTTGCCATCTCGATCTCAGTTTTCGGTTTCGGGTAGTCTGGGATGAATTGATTTCCGAGCTCAAACCACAGCACCGGTATTGTACATATTTTATTGCTTAACAAATTCGGAGTAACACATCTTCGTCCTTTTGAAATCCGATCACTTCTTATGGATTTCCCGCACGCTTCACAACTAGAACGGCGCCGCGACGGCGACATCGCATGTCCCACGAGTTCTGAACCTCTAAAATTATTATATGTCATCTCGACGTCCGAAAACACAACGCGCCCACTTCTCCATCCACCTTACGATTAGGATGCCGTATGATCGATGTCTTACAAGAGGCGTCAATACCTTATATACAACAGCTCGCCTCGAAAACATCAAATTCGCATCTATTGACTTCAGAAGCGAATGCGCCTCTTTCCGAGGAACGCTCCGCGGGGCTCAGTACATATTGGAATGATGATGAGAGAAACATGATTTCGAATCGGTGGGTCGAACTCAGCTATTCAAGCAGGAATATGTTTCAGGACGTCACATCGAGAATCCACTGTACAAAACCGACTGATCAAAATCTATGGTTCAAGCCCGAAGGGAGCCCCCGGCATCAATAGTCTCCGGGATCTTGCGGGAACCTTCGTTTCTCCATGTTCAGGCGTCTCCGGAGAAGGACGACGACAAGGTTTTAATCTCTTAAACGGTCTGGGATGGAGAGGTATTCGGATACCCCAAGCATATGTAAAAGCTTGTGGCGTTTTCCCACAATCTGTGGCAGTCCATGCCTCGCGACGCGGCGCTCGGAGTCCCCGGGCAACATGCTCGCAGATTTTCCTAAAACAAAATGTGCGCAACTTCGTCTCGGCCAATCGGCTGGCAATGGTCCGCGATCATCATAGAGGCTTATCGCTGTCATTCATGAATATATCATGAATCTTCTGAAGATGCTGTAAGAGGAATCCTCTGGAAAGCAGGCATTTGTTAGGTCGGGGACGTAAGCGTCAACAGATGTTCGGGGAAGAAGAAAGCTATCGAGGTCGCAGATTACTCACCTCCGAATGGACCGATAAGGGCAAATGTGGCACTTGTATGGCATATCTCCTGTATGGAGAGCTTTCTCGTGCTTTATGAGGTTCCCGTTATCGGAGAACGCTCTACCGCAATACTTGCAGTTGAAAGGCTTCTCGCCGGTGTGGGTTCGTTCATGGCGTCTCAACTCCGGACCCGTCACGGCGGAAAATAAACAGTACCTGCACCTTTGAGAGAGGAAATGTCTTTTCGAAATAAATTCCTTTCCGCTTCCTCGATTCCCCAGATTCCAAGTGAAACTTCGGAAAACCTCACCGGTGACGTCGCTCGTTCACATGTTCTCGCATATGCGCTTGCAGCTCCAGTTTCAAGTCGGACGAGTAGGTACAGTGAGGGCATTTCCTGCCGAAACGATTCGAGGAGGGAGACGGACCTAGACTAAAATCCAAGTCTCCGAGTATTATCGCTGAAAAAAGGAATAGCGTGGCAATGAGGCTGGGGCGGACGACCAGATGACTTACTAGAGAATATCTTGCCTGCTCCGAATTCAGTCGGGAGGAACTCAGGTACACGTGCATCATTTATTCACTGGAGAATGGAACGTTGATACAGCTTATCTAAGGATTCGGAGATCGCGCAAAGGGAGCGAACGAGGTATGAAGGCCGACCGAGCTCCCGAGAAGCGCTCTTTTGGTATCTGGAAGGATAGGCGTCTTAGAAGCAGTCGCTGCAAGTCTTCAGAAATCGTCAGATGTCAAGCTCGTCTAAGAATCATTCATATTTTCTCCCGCGCGCATCCCAACACTCAAACACCACGGCGCGCTGGAACCGTTCGAGGGAGAGGAATGCGATCGGCACGAGATCCTCGAGCGATTTGTGAGCTCGATTCCCCGCAAAGTACGACGACTTCTTTGATGGAAGAAAGTGATCGATGTTGAAACTGCTTCTCCCCTTGATTGGGGTCGGGATCGACCGAGGAAACACCGAAAAGCACGCTCACCACGGTTCGCCACTTCATCAACGACACTATCGAGCAAGGGTTCCGAGAATAAGTTCATCTTGTGTCACACTAACAAAACGGCAACGGGCCACAACAACAGCCGAAATTCGAGCAATAGTGGAACCGGCGTCGAGCAGTTGAGGAGCCACGGCATTCGTCCACAGCACACCACGGCGTGAGTTCGTGATTCGCGGCTCTGTGCGGGCACAATCACGAACACTGAACAGGCGCGCTACATCTCCGGCGTATGTCGAGAATTTCGCACCGAACGTCTTCCGTGACTTCGGCCTTCGTGGAGCCTCTCCGCCCTCCAGTGGTGGATCGGTCGCAGTTCTATGAATTGATAGTAAGGCAATCTCGAACTGCAGCGCTTGTCCGTCTCGTCTTCCTTTCTTCGGGGACTTTTTTCGAGAGTCGGAGTGAGCAGCGAAATTATTATTCGGCTCGATGAATCTGATCGGTCACAGCCTAATAAATGGGACTTCGTCGCGAACTCCCCCCGCAGCCCGTGTTCCTCCACAGCGGAGGGAAGTTTCCCTACCGAGATCAGCTTTGAGCGCGGGGATGAGCCCGGAGACGACTTTCATTCTCGAGCGTTCATTCACTCTGAGTACCAAGATCGCCGAGACACTTCGACGGGATCCGGGGTTCCTTCGCCGCACACCCGCGTTCTCGAGCCGCGGAGTCGGACATCTCAGCGCGAGGTCCCGATCTTTCCGCGGAGAACGATGATCGGCACTTGCGCCCATCGAGAACCGTCCCGTGAGATACGAGATGTCGGCAATGAGAAAAAGACACGAAGACAACAATCTTCTGGGCTGGCTGGCTGGCTTGCAGGCAGACGGACAGGCGGAGAAGCAAGGCGGGCGACCTGGCGGGTGGATTTCTGTACCAGATGAACAGCTTCTGTACTTCCGATGTGAGCGGGACCCGATCCTCTGGGATGGGGAGCGCGCGCACTGTTCACGTAAACTGAAGGTAACAAAAGATAATCACGCACACACTGGGGGTCGAACGGCGCTATCGTCCAAATCGAAGATCCATCGTGGTCTTCGTTAGAAGAATCTCACGCACTCTTCTAACGAAGATGGCATGAGCACGCCTGGATCCGCGATCGTCCTCGACTCGATTGCCTCCTCACTCGCTCGTGCTGTTCTCTCCCCAAGCGGTTTGTTCGGCGCCCAGACGAAAGAATTGAGTGAAGAGCCGTCGAAGAGCAGATCACCTCGGCACTCGGTTCCATGCGCACTACGCGCACGCCGGCGAGTGGAAGTTCGGGCCAGCAGGTGGATAGGTGTCTGCAGAGGCATCGCAAAACGCTCAGCATCGATAGAGTTAACAGTCAGAGAGCGAAGAAGTGAGAAGAGACACCGTTGTCCACCGGGGCCACAGGACCGTCTCTACAGGTGGTTGCCGACAGTGCGAGCTGCGCATCGGCAGATGAACTCCTCGTTCACTCCGACACTCACGCAGACTGCATGCAGATGTTGATTCTGGGTACTTGATTTCGTAAGACGCTCTTCTCGCGGTGACTGATGGTCGGATATCTGTAAGGATGGACTGCACGCTGGTTGCTGGCAAAACTTATGCCACGGCGTCACGATCCACGACTTACGTGAGTGGCCTGTCGGAGAGGCAGGCAGAACAACGCTAGACGCTCACTCACTCGCTCGCTCGCTCGTTCGCACAGAAACACACACGGCACAAGAAGCCAGCGCGCATGCAGGCCGCCAGCAATCCAGTCACTTGAACAGGCCGCCGCCGCCGCTGCAGCAGCAGCAGAAATCCACAGATGATAGACCCGAGCAGCGGCAGCGACGAAGGGAGGGTTGAACTGCTGCGGCTTTAGCTGCGGCAGCCGCTGAAGAATCGACGAGAAAGGAGGATCGTGTTCCACGCCAGATGGCCAAACGTGAGAAGAGAAAAAGCAGCCGTGCTCTGCGTGTGTCTGCCTGTCTGTCCGTGCGTCCGCCTGTATCTATCTCCCGATATATGTAGCTGCCCGGACTTTCACAGCCAGCGTCTGACCGAATTCTCCACCAAAGGAACCGCGCTGATATCGCGCGCCTGCAGTTCTCCGTCGCAGGCGCTGGGAAAGACAATCCGCGACTCAGTCTCACTGCACTCCAGAGATCATCTGAAGACTTGAAAGGGAACTTCGGAGGTATTGACAGCGAGATCGGGATGGAGGCTTCGCCTTCCGTCGAATACGAAAACCCCCCCACTCCTGCTTTATCTGCGACGTCGAAGATGTCTGATCGAGCTCCCGCGCTAAACGCGACCATGACGGATGAAGAGCCGATCATTTCCACCATTTGCGCGGGAGATTCGGCATTTATTCCGAAGATCGGAGAAAGGGATTAGGGCAAAAGGAAATTGGCGTCTTTAGGAGCGATGTATCTCCATTATGAGGCTTGTCGCATCGAGCGCAGTTCCTCGCGCTTTCCCCAAGCTCGGGCCCGCACTGTCTGACAGAGTGCCGTGAGGCAGTCACGCTCTAATGGCTTGTAGCCGACGTTTCCTTGTCGATACTCGGGCCCTCACATACGCATGCAGGCCGTATAGGCTCAGAGGCGGGCCCTACATCATATCGATTCATGTTCCAGTGAGTACGTTCCATATTCCGTCAGGGTGGCGGAGCTCTCACTCTCTGCGAAGAATGTGACCTCTTGACTCCTTCCAAGCCGTCTTGCAAATCCGGGAGAGGCTGACGACTGGTTTCCATACGATCCTTCTTCGGAGCCTGCTACTTTCCCGAGAGTCTTGATGATAACGCAAGGCACAATCGAGCTCGAATTTTCCTGTGAATCCTCCGCTTTTCTCTCACTGAATTCAGGTCTCCTCGTCGAGCGGCCATGTAAATGTAAGGCTCAAGAAAGATATCCTATCGACAAGTACACGGTTCCAGAAGTCGATACGCCTAGGTATGTCACGTTCGTTTGATTTGCATCCCAAGGAATCCCATAGGTGAAGTCCACCCAATGGCAGACCCTCAACACGATTCGAAAGGATGACACCCACGCGCTACACGCCGACTTGAACCGCGCTCTAGAGGTTCCCCCTCAATGCATTTGCCTATTGACAAGTTGTCTCGTCACTGCTCACGCTCCCTCGATATCAGATGGGATGGAGGGATGCGATTCATCATTGGAGAGGGCCCTCATGATGGATCATGTCCAGTGCCTGGCACATATGCGGTATACAGCCGATTTCACGATGAAGGGACATAATATCCATCCAATTCCAGGTCCCATGATAGTGAAATTGAGGTTTCCGAGTCCAAACTCCGAACCAGGCCGCATTTTTGCACTACGCAATCCCGAGTGATATCATGGTGTTACAGCGCGGTTCTTCTGACAACTCGACTGCTTCCGGAAATTCGGGCGACGACGAGGGCTCTTTCTGATTCGGATCGACTGATGAGATTCGCCATGCTGCCGGAGGGAAATGCGAATCGGGAAACAAGGTCATAGATACCGTCGGGCGCGGGAAAGACTCCCATTCCATGAATAATCAGTCAGCTGGTTGACGTGAGATACCCCTCTGATAGTCGGGTGCGAGTACGAAAAGTTTTTGCGCGCACCGAGGAGAACTGCTCCGCTCCAGATCGATTTGTTCAACGCTGAGAGGAGCGGGTCTAGGTTCCGAACGACTGCAGGTAAGCCTCATCCAGTGTAGGTTTCTGACATCACCGACACATAAATGCTCGAGTCCTCCTGATACGCTTCCTTGAATTCTCCCCGAGGGAGAAGCTTCCGCTTGGCCAAGCGCGGAGTCTGGGGTTAGAGAGATTCCCTAAGGACGAACCCCCCGCAGATTTCCAGTGACGCTGATGGCGGATCTCGCTGATGTACGATGGGGATGAAGGTCATGGAACAACGATTCCATCCTATTCTTTTTTGAGGCTTCAAGTCTTCCCGCGAATGTGACAGTTCCCCCGATCGATTAAGTCGATTCCCTCCCAACGAGGAAGGAGAGGAGACATCCGTGATTCTGGGAAAATCTTCCTGAATCATCGTGAGACCTGAGAATTCGAACTCGCTCCGCTGTCTCCTCCAGATCCGCTTGTTTCACCTGAAGAAGGGAGCGCAGGCTGTACACCATTCCAATCTTCCGAAGGGTCCCCCTCCAGATTAAAAAACCCTTTTCCCGGACCGGATCCCAGGGCGGCTTAAAATTAATAATGCCCTTCTGGAATCGAAATTCATTTGGAGTGCCCGTCGATTAGAGGGAGCGTGCCCTCTAATTCGGAGAGATTCGGTATCGTGGGAACAATAATTGACCCGCTCGGACTTATGTAGCTGAAGGCGCACGAGGAGAGACCGGTATTTATATTTCCTCTCCAGGACACGACCTCGCGAGGTCTGGTCGAGATCAAGGGGATCGGGTCTGCACTTCTTGAGCCCGCACGCTGCCCATAGGGGATTTACTGTTGAGAAGCTCTCGAAATGACGCATGATGAGTTCAGCAGGTCCATTCCTCCCGCTTCAATCACACCCGGACGACGCCGACAGTCGCTCTAGCTTCGGGCTTCCAGACTTCCAGTGCGAACGAAGCTCCCCGCTAATCAAGCGATGGATCGCGGGGGGACTAATTCACCCGAATCCGGCACCCGAAGCGATTTCCCTTCGAGGAATCTCACGGAGATGTCTGCCCTAGTCGTGGGGCTCGGGGAACCCAGCATACTCAAATGATTGTATTCCACTCGCTAACGCTCACCAGTCCTCTCCTCAGGCAGACCCCACCGCGACCGACTGACGGTCGGATGCCCTGATCAACAACTCATCTCTGCTGACCTCTCCCTTCGCGCCCAACTTTCGAATTGTAAACAAACCGCGCATTCGCCCTCACTCACGTGGACCATGGGTAACAGATGACGAGCGGTGTCGTGAGATCCGCGAGTACCTTTCCCGGGATGTGTTGAATGTCATCCTAGATACATATAAGGTGCTTCTCCGGGGAGTCGCGGAGATGCAGTGGCAACGAACAACCTGTACAGCTTGTAGATATCTAGCTAGCAGGGCTCCCCCAAGGTATGGAGTGTCGGTATCAAAACATCTTTCTCCATCAATGTTCTTGATGCGTCGTTATGGTGCTCGGAAGTGCCATTACGCTAAGAGTTGCGTATTGTCTCCAAGCTCGGGCGAATGGATGTGCCGGAGGCCCTTGACGACGATGAGCCCTGGGGCGTTCCCCCCGAAGTTCGTGCCTTTACCACTGCGTGCCTTATGGGATTCGAGCGTCGGCAGTTCAATAGTCGACTGCTTGGGGGAGCATTCCCAGGCGCAACTTCTGAGGCGGTCGCTCCCTTTGAGTCAACGCTTGACAGATCTGTTCAGAGGAACGGAAATGCAGAGGCGGGGACAGGTTGCGATCTTGATGCCGAATGACCACAGGTAGATACCGTGAATTCCGTGCCCGTGTGAATTACTTGGTGCATGAATGACGAGGACAATCGCCTCGAATCACTCTGAACGGAAATCCCCGCTAAGGATATGGATCGCCCTCATTGCGCTTGATTTCATGTAGATACGCTGTTTGCCAGTGGGCGGCATGGCTGTCAGGTCTCTGCGCGGTCCCTCTCCACCAAGGTTTACCCGCATCTTTATTGGATTACCATATCAAGGACAGTCAATCCGAGCTCGTCATCGTTTCGGAAGACCTCCTCGGGAAACTGGCAGACGTTCGAATTGACCAGGATAAAATCATTGTCATCCCAGAGCTCATGGAGGAATCAACGCTGGAGGCTGCGAAAAAAGCGGTTAGTCGCTCGATCCCCGCGCTCGATGGTCAGACCTGACCTATATTAGGTCGGAATATCATTTCTCAGAGTGGAATTTCCGATTCCAGCTCTCGGACGAGCAGCACTTCATCTTCAAATTAAGGGATCGAGATGCTCAAATTGTGTACACTTCAGGCACAACTGGCTCTCCGAAGGGAGTCGTGACTTCTCATCGGCAGATACACGCACAAGTAAGGAAAGGGTTCCCTCCGCATGAAGGATACCGCGAACATTCCGACAAGCGATAGTCCAACTTCATCGCATCACGATCGCTCTTTTGCTCTGCACGCTGTCACATTTAGGTCAGAGGTCCTAGTATGTAGATTAGCCGTCCTGAAATCAATGGATGTTCCCTCAGACTGCGGCGGTAGTCTCGGAATGGGCATTGACCGCAGACGATACGGTTCTCCATCATTTACCGCTGCATCACGTTCACGGAATCGTGAACGCACTCATGGCGCCCCTGTATGCGCAGGCCAAGGTCCGCATGTTGCCCAAATTCTCGCCGGATGAGGTGAGTTCCTACATGAGTAGCTCCATTCCACTCCCACACACGACGGGGTTCGCTCGACCGAGTCTACATGTCTCGCGACAGAGGTGATCCGTTACTATCATGGGGTGGCTCGCCTTGTTGTTCCTCCTCGTCAAAGTCACGGAGATAATAATGGAATTTTTTCTTCTTCCAAAGGTTTGGAGAGAGCTTTTGCGGGAAGACAGCACCGTCAATGTTCTTATGGGCGTGCCCACGACGTACGCGAAACTTATCGATTTCGCAAGGGAACGCTTCCTTTCGTCTGGAGAAAAAGCTTCCATCAGAGATCTCCTGCAAGTGAAGCTTCGCTTATGCACCTGCGGGTCGGCTTCGCTTCCCGACTCGATACTCGAAGCGTGGCGGGAGTTGACCGGACACATGCTCTTGGAACGGTACGGCATGTCCGAGTTCGGCATGGGACTCGGCAACCCCTTGGCAGAGGAGGGTAGGAAAGTAGGTTTCGTGGGACGTCCTTTCCCTGGGATCGAAGTGAGGATCTCGAGACGCGATGCTTATTCGAAGGGAGGTCTTAAGACATTGATCCAAGCGGTGAGTTCTATGGTCTGGCGTTTTCTCTCATCAGACTTTTCACGCCGTCCCTTTTTCTGACATCCGGTGGGTTTCCAGGACAAATATTCTACCAGGACCATCGAGTACGAGGAGGGGGGAAACGGCGATCTCCTGATAAGGGGACCGCAGGTCTTCTCTTCATACTTCAATAGACCGGAGGAGACGAAAAAGAGTTTCACACATGACGGCTGGTTCATCACCGGTGCGTGAAGATCTCACTTACCTTGGGGGATGCCGATGAGCTCACGCATGTCCTCGATTGAGGCTCTTCATTTCCCGGACCTTGCAGGTGACATCGCCTCGTTCGATGGCGAAGCATTCAAAATTTTGGGGCGAAGCTCGGTGGATATAATCAAACGCGGAGGCTATAAAGTAAGTACAGCAGCTCGAATGAACAACTCGTGAACTTCCAGATTATGCTCTCGTCGTCTCTACGTATGATCTCCGACAGGTATCTGCTCTCGAGGTGGAGAGAGCTCTTCTCCAGCACCCAGAGATATCAGAAGCAGCTGTCTTCGGTATTCCGGACGTGGTATACGGAGAGAAGATCGTTGCTGCTATAGTCACTCCGAAAGGATTGGTTTTGTCGCAAGTTCAAGAGTTTTGTGCCAAGCATGTACCCCCAAGCTCTGTACCGAATGAGTTAGTGATTGTCGAGAGTATACCCAGAAACGCACTGGGCAAAGTCAACAAGGTGGAATTCAAGACGAAGCTCTTCCCGAATATCAAAGGTGTAGATAAATAAACAACTTCACAGGATTGTCTTATCTGTTCGTCTCGAATTTTTTCCCCTGGAACCTACTTCTGGATCTCTGAAACTCGACTGAATCGACGTCAATCCCATCATTGTTGTGGGGGACGGGAGTGAATTTAAAACTTCTCGCTGGCTTCCGTGACGACCGCGGAAAATGTGTTTCTCCTGGCGGCACGAAGGATCCTTTTACTCCGAAACAGCAAGAATCGCGAGGCATACTCCGAGGTGCAGAATTCGATGACGCTATCCATCTGTCAGTACGTCAGATCTCATTGTCACTCTTGCTTCGAGGGAGTATGAAGAGAGAAGACCCCGCGGCTTGAAGGTTATAGAATTCCAGAGCTTAGAGTCGAGACGTTGCTGGAACAAGATATGTATACCCACTGGCACCACACTCGCCAAAAGTAAGTACCTGTCGCTGTCTTTTTTTGGAATGAGGATAGCGCTAGCCGTCGAAGATTCGGTCGGGCATATTGGTGACTCGACTTAGAGATCAGCGGCGGAGTCGCGATTCCGTTAAGGATCACCTGCTCCATTCCACCCAGGAGTCGAGCTTTTTCTGCTGACTCCTACTTCAGTGTTGAGCTCCGTGATGTTTTCCTGATTTCCGACTCGCCAGTGTGTAAACCTGAGCTGTCGTCATAGGCTTATTTCTAGGGCTGAACAGTCCCCAACGTCGATGGAGAGTACCGTCGTTTGCGCTCCTTGCGCAACTCTGTGCGAACACAGGTACCAAGAGAGTGGTTCCATGATAGGCGAGGATCCCAGCGGAGGCGGGGACTCAGCCAAGACTGGGAAGGCGGACTCGGTCGCGAACTGCTATGAGCCCGTTCGATGACGGATCCCGTCGGAGGACGTACTCGATCCACTTGGTCTTGAGAAGCTCTAACACTCGAAAAACGCGATCACGATATCGTCCATATCGAGTCTGAAGTCTCATACTTCGGCGTCTTCCCATCGCTAGCGGCGATGATGGCTGTTCGCGGACGTCCTGAGAGGGGAGCATCCTCGTACCTCGTACCGATGACCTCAGTGGTATGCCCTGTACGATATAATGTGCGTTGGAACACGCGTTAACGAGGATTCAGGCCCCCGTCATGCTCCGAGTGCGAGTTTCTCGATCATGCTGCTTGTCTGCTTGGTGGCTTTCAGGAGTCTGACCCCTGAACCACCCTCTCTCCTCACGCGAACCCTTACCTCTACGGAGCCCTCACTTTCGGATCGGCGACTACGACAATGCAATCGTTCGTACGTACGTACGTACACATCGGCCGCTCTCCTGATGTCCTGTCGTGACGGAAGTCGCTCCTGGCTTCCTTGAATTCCGCGAATGCCCCACGCAATTACCCTCATCAGGTAAGCGAGGAACCGAAATATGGGTCGTGGTCACTGAAAATGCAACTCGTGTCCACTCATCAAGGAAGCGAGGACATAAATCTACCGGTGAGCTCTTAACATGGACCTCGCGAGAAAAGTAGCAGGAAGAAAATGTTTCGTCGGAGGCTGTCCGGGTGCACCAATCCACTCAACGGAGGCTCTCCGTGGCGCAACCGAGATAGAGCTCAATCATCGCGAGCGCTGGATCAGGCTTACGCGCGGCACCCAACGACAGAGCTCAACAGAGTGTAACGATACCTCCTGCTGACGTTTCGGTCAGGGTCCCCGATGTCCCTGAGTGCATTCTCAATGATAATCTACCTCGCGCCGTTATCCAGACGCTGAAACACTCCGCAGGACTGAAAGAGCGCGTCTTGTACCCTAGGTTCTCGAGCGAGCAGAAAGGTCTTCCTTGGGCTTCTTCCATTCTCAAAAACGTGCCAACGCACGGTCGCCTCTCGAGCGGCCTCTCAGAGCTGAACGCGAGCGCAGAACTAAGTCCCAGGATCGAGGACTGTCTCCGAAAGGTCTGCATGAAATTTCGACAACGTACGCGGAATGTCTCGGACCGCCGCGCTTGATGGCTAAAGATACATTCTCAAGGCAAGCGGTATGAGAATCGTCTGGTCGTAGAAGTCCATATCGACGCCCATGTTTCGACTGTCGTCCGATTCCGGTGAGGACAACGGAGTCGATGGGAACTCTTTGAAAAGTGCGCACAAACTCCATAAGTTCCCATCGCTGAGACGCCAAACATCGAGCATTCCTGGCTCCGCGGATAGCTTGAGCAACGCATCGATGGAAACCCCCATACTCAATGTTCATGGACCGAATCTCACTCACGGAAGCATCGACAAGTTCCCTGTGGCGTCGGATCACCAGATCAAGGAAACTACCTCAGGTGAGTGACAACAGGATCGACATCCGGGCGTTGTCTTCCTCGATCGGAGCACAGATCTCTCGCTTGGCGTCAGCCGCCGGCGAACACCAGCCCACCTGTCAAAACCAGAACACAGCGAGGAGCAGGCGCCATGCTCAGACTTCAAGAGCTCGAAGAAAGTTCCGTCCAAGCGACAACAATTACTTAGAGGTCCTTCGATCCGAAAATGTGACGCTTAGACGAGCAGCGACTCCGTAGAACGGCTCCCCAACTCTGTGATCACTTCCGTCAACGACCTCGGGCTCGGCTCGCCGCTTCCTTGTAAGGTGAGCGTGGAACGAGCGT